GTCAAAGCAAGGACAACTGGTTGACTGCTACTACCAAGACTGGATAGTAATCCTCATGTGTGATTGCCTAGAGTTTGAGTGATGACCTTTGTCCCTTACTTTATAGGTTTACAGCTCTTCTGATCAATTAATGCTTCACATGATGAGAGAAAACAGATAATGTTACGGGATTGTAGCTAAGAAACACCACACACCCGATACAACCTATCAATATTGTCAATCTTTGGAGGTGGGCTCTAATGCTATTTGAAACCCTAGGCTCCTTATATCAATGATACACATGGTTTTTTTGTTTCATCTGATAAGTCCATCCATGCGTGTTATAAATTATATACTGGTTGAAGACGTGAATTATCAAAGAATAAAGTACAAAGTGTAAACGTAATTTGAGATTATTCAAGCAGAAATATACAGGGAGCAACCCACTCTTCCGTCATTTAAAAGAAAATATGGGGACATTTTTGTCTAATATGACACTGCACATGCTGGCTACTTTTGTTAAACATGCTTTAGAAATCCTCCAAAATTTATCATTTATAACAAGCAGAGCCAACATCTCCAATATTTTATCAGTCCGAAAATCTCCCGCGCGATAGTTTTGATGAAAAGTTGCTAACTGTTGACAAGGAGCCCAATTGATCCTGAGGCTCTCCCGAATAGAATTTTTATTTGACAAATGTGGATGAGTTTTAGATAAAATTCTTGATGCGGTGACAAGCAATCCTTATTTTGAACGTAATGCCATGTTTAAAACATGGTTTGTATGGTTGGCATGGCGGCCTACTGTATATGAATCACGAAACCGATGGAAGCGAAAAATCTAAGGTGAAAATCGCCAGCTTGTCAACCATCTAATTCACCAGTTTGCGGCATATCTCTATAGAACTTTTCTTACGTCCTATTTACACTCATTATACTGCAATATTATCTTGCTTGATATTTCAAATACTCTTAGAACGGAATGGGAAGAGAGACAGTTATCGGGCTCGTGGGAAAACCATCGAGCGGAAAGTCGACCACTTTGAACGCCCTCACGGATGCCAATGCCAAGGTGGGATCATTTCCGTTCACCACTATTGACCCAAATAAAGCAACTGGATACATGGAAATGGACTGCGCGTGCAAGAGATTCGGCAAGGAGCTGTTATGCAAACCTAATTACGGATACTGCAGAAACGGCACCCGAGGAGTCCCTGTAATGCTTCTTGACGTGGCTGGATTGGTCCCCAATGCTCATTTGGGCCGCGGTTTGGGCAATAAGTTTCTTAGTGATCTTACAGAAGCAGACTGCTTAATTCACATTGTTGATGTAAGCGGCACGACGGACGCGGAGGGCAAAGAAACCAGAGGATACGATCCATTGCAAGACATCGAGTGGCTTCAAGACGAGATCTTCCGTTGGATTTTGGGCAATTTGACAGAGAAATGGGGATCTGTAGTGAGACGCCATACCTCTACCAAGTCTTCGACTCTAGAGACTTTGAGAGCTCAGCTTGGTGGATACTATGCCAACAAGCAACTCATTGGCAAAGCTCTAGATCAAATTCCCAACTTGCCTCCTCTCCAAGAATGGGACTCAGAAATGGTGGAGACTGTGGTGAAGGCTTTTATGAGCGTCAAGTTCCCGACAATATTGGCCCTCAACAAGATGGATCATCCTGACTCGGACAAAAATGTCTCGAAAATTATGTTGAAGCATCCTGATACAAAGTGCGTCTTGGTATCTTCGTTGACCGAGGTGTTGCTACGGAAACTCGCTGCGCAAAACTTCATTAAATACGAGCTGGGCACTGAATTTGTCGATACTGCCGAAGACCTCCCTGATGCTGGGCTCCGAGAGCTAGACGAGAAGCTTGCAAACAGAATTGAGAACATCAAGGATTTGGTTCTCTACAGGTTTGGATCCACGGGTGTGTCACAACTACTACAAACAGCTGCCGAGGTCTTGAACCTTGTGCCTGTATATCCAGTGCGGAATATTAATACATTTGGTGGAAGCACGGGACCTAATGTTTTTAGAGATTGCGTTTTGGTTAAGAGAGGCACGCCAGTCATCCAGGTAGCGCGAAAGATCATGGGTGATGTCACCATTGCGGCCATCGAAGGTGTAGGTGGAACAAGGGTCGGAGAGGAGGATACAGTCGAGATTGGGAAGAATGACATTTTGTCTTTCCGTCTAGTCCCCGGTGGTCATTGATCTGGTAATATAGTGAGAGGAGATATGAATAGAACTATGGTTCCCAAGGTATGTTTGGCGAATTCTTTGTACTTAGGAGCCTGTTCTCTGTGTGAAAAGATTTCCAATGAAACGATTTACACTGAACATCAGTGGTTCGGAGAGCCAAGACCCACAGGTGATATTTGGAGACCATGTGAGCGAAGTGTCACATACATTAATACAAATGCCACAGAGCTGCCAATTCCATGTTTTGACAAAATTTCTACTATGTTTTGTCGAAAGGCCCTGAGCACGTGTCTGGCAAACTGGGGGAAAACTAACACGAATAACGCTTCGCTGCTTGTAAGGCTTCGCACGCACGGCTATTAATTGACTCAATGGCCGAGCCGGACATAACATAATATATGCAAGCACACGGCTTTTTACGCGTCTATTCTTGATCCAGGTCCTTCTTCCCTTCTTCCGAAAAATACACACATTTTTATTCTCTTGGTATCAGCAAACTTCCTCTTGCTACTTTATTCCAATTATCAAGAAAATACCATGTCTCTCGTGTCTTCGCAGGAATTGACCCTGGAGCAGACCCTGAAGCTCCAGGAATTAGTAGAGGCCGTGCCGCAGATCTTGGCCGAAACAGACCACCCTGAATACGACGAAATCTATGGATACCGGATTGGAATTGACGGCGCAGATCACGTGGATACCGCTATTAGAAACGAGATCTTGCTCAAGTTTTTGATTGCCACAGACTACGATGTGGCAGCGGCACAACAGAAGGTGGTTAACACATTGAATTGGCGTAGGGAGTTTCAAGTCTTGAGTGCCGCCTACTACGAGAAATTTGACGCCGGGCTCGAGAAGATGGGTGTCATTACCGAGTATCCTGGAAATGCCGACAATTTCCGTGTGGTGACGTGGAACTTGTATGCAAACTTAAAGAACCCCAAGAAGCTCTTTGCCAAATACGGTGTTGGCGTTACGGATGACGGCTCAGCGGCTGCGGAGAATGACAAAAACAGTGTTCCTGGAACAATGTTTTTGCGTTGGAGAGTAGGGCTCATGGAGCGTTCTTTATCTTTACTTGACTTCACTAACAAGGACAACAACAAGGCAGCGCAGGTGCACGACTATTACAACGTGTCAATGTTCCGCATGGACCCTGGCATGAAGGCCGCCACCAAGGAGATTATCCAGGTGTTTGGCGACAATTATCCCGAGGTTCTTTCGAAAAAATACTTCATCAATGTGCCTTTGCTTATGGGGTGGATTTTCACCTTTTTTAAGGCAACGGGCTTGATGAGCGCCGCTACAATCAAAAAGTTCGAGATGCAAAACCATGGTGACTTGAGCACGTCTTTTGGCAAAGATAATTTGCCCAAAGAGTATAACGGCGGGCACGAGAACAAGGCCGTGCCTGACATTTTTGCTCTCGCTACCGTTGATTCTAAAATTGTTGTTCCCGAGTACGGTGCTATTTTGTTGCAGAAACTCAAGGATAAGTCCAGTCAAGAAGCTTCAAGTGCGACGAGAGATACCGAGGTTGCGGAGGAGATTACTAATGCAGCCTAATTCTTCTGCTTTATAGCCATATTATAATTTTCAATTCTTTTTCTACGTGCTATATTTGTTTGTGTTTCATGTATGAACTGATGACATGCAATTGGTATATTACAACTCTGATCGCCATATAATGCGATGAAAGCGCCGCGTGTGGGGATTCCGCGGGGCCTACTGCCTTTCTCGGTATAAGACAATTTTTAAAATGCATTATCTTGTCTGTTTTGGTTCAAAATCTTTTGAGCATGGAGATTTGTTTTTTTTCTTCAAACTTCTGTTTTTGTAAAATCCAAACATTTTTGTGAGTGGGTATATGTGTTAAGACCACTCAAAACTATGTAGTGGTCACGTGGACAGATCAAAATAACATGTTATATGTGCAAGTCTGCAAGCCATTCGAGTCATATCCTAAGATACACAGCGAAAACTACAGAATGCCTTCCGACTATTATGCGGCTCTTGGAGTATCTAGCATAGCATCACAAGACGAGATTAAGAAGCAGTACAAGAAACTTGCCATAAAGTTCCATCCTGACAAGACAAAGGATAAGGACCACCACCAGAAGTTCTTGCTCATAAGGGAGGCATATGACACGCTAAAAGAGGAGGAGCTGCGACAGAAATACAATCGTGAAAAAGGAATTGGGCTATCACTGCGGCCATCAACAACATTTTCCAGAGAAACGACTTCTGGCTCCGATTTCCCGTCCCATTCACGCTATCAATACCTGCGTACGTCGTATGGTGACACCCCTTTTGGCTCGTCCTTCTACGACTTTTACCAGCGCAGCTCCAGAATGTATAACGACCATTTTAGCAGAACGTCTCGTCGTGAAGCAGCAAGGGAAAACGATGACAAGGCGGCAATGTACGCCGAAATCACGCGTCAAAAAATAAGGGAGGATCAGGAGCGCAGACAGGCTGAGTACATGAGAAATGCACGCAAGCAGCGTGAAGAAGAGGAGCTCCGAAAAAAAATGGAAGAGTCTGTACGCCGGCAGAAACAAGAGAAGATGGCGGCGCAGACAGCACAAGAAGCTTTTGCGAAAAGCCAAGGGTTTGGCGACGCAAAAGCTGAGTATGAGCATGCAAAATCAGAGGCTTATTGTAAGGCACGTTATGATGAGAGTCAATACCACAATTCTCGTCACACAAGCGTCCCACATGAATTCATAGTAGTCGAAGACGAAGAAGACGAGAGTGAAAGTGACAGTCAAACAGATAGCGAGAAAGGAAGCTATTATGACAGCGAAGTAACAAACTCGAACGTGAAGCAAGAATTCTCAACGGGGTTTGAGCCTCTGACAGGAGGCAGCCCGGAGAATCTAAGCAATGAAGGAGAGGAGGCGAATGAAGATAATGACGATATGGCCGACAACTCAGAGGCGGAAAGAACGAATGAAATGGAAAGCGATGGACAAGAAGATCAAACCGGTAGTGCGTTTGGCGAAAGTGTTCCCCCCGCAGAAGCAACTGGCGATTATACAAATACGTCATTTCCTCCTGGTTCCGAAGAGTACACCAATCCTCCAACCTCAAAGAATGAACCTGAGGTGGTCGAAATACTGGAGGATAGTGAATATGATGGCATATACAATGATTACGACGACATGTCAGCCAGGGAAACTAGACCGCAATCATCAAGTGAGTCTTCGCGTACACGCTCTTACTCACTGGCCCAACAGCCTCAAACCAGCTTTGATGAAAGGCTCATGGGGTCATACAATGGCCCGAAGAAGCCACGTCTCTCAAACTTTGCCGATTTGAAAGACTCACTCAATACCTTTCTTGACGATGTGGACTTCTCGGACATACGAAGCACTTTACCTGACTACCCTCCGCGTACGAGGAAGGCAAGCTCTTCTACAACATCACATCCCCACAAACGAGCTAGATTTGCCGAATACGCTGATGGAAAGTCCAATGCCGAGACCCTTCATACGCCAGTAAATAAGGGGTTCGTGCGAGATTCCACTGCCACCATTTCGGTCTCTGATTTGTCTCCGAAGATGGATGATTCTGCGCTAATATTTTCAGCTAACATACCTTCATTGACAGTGAGCGAGGACACAAAAAAGACAGACTGGGATGAATATGTACATCAAATCCTAGAGTATCAACAGAAGTTTGCAAACTATAGGAAAGCTGTCATGGGCTACCAGATGGGAAGACTTAATAAGGACGAGCGTCATCATAACATTATTTATTCAGATACGTCATGTCTTGATGTCTACCAGTCATGCTTGTTCAACGACGTGCTATTGTTGCAAAATTTTACACGTGCAATGCAGGAATTCCGCCAAACGCTTCGGACATTCCATATCAATTTTGAGGCTGTGAACAAAATGAGGGGTAAGATTCGATAGGAGGCGCTTTCCGTTTTCACATTGATGTTTTACCTTGCATATAGTCTCTTGGGGGGCCTTCAACCCATGCTTGTTAAATATACTATTTGGGTGGCAACTGAATCAATAGGTCTCTGGAATAAATTATGGTGATTCTTTGGAAACGTGTTTCCATTATAAATATTTGCTCGTTCTCCTAGACTATTGGTAACAACTTGTACGTTCACCCAGCTTTCACTAGACTACAATATTATCGACGATTTGGAGATTGACAAGTCTGCTGTTTAATTAAGAAGTCTGCTCTTCAATACAAAACTTCACTTCAAAAAACCATGTGTATGACTGAAGCGACAATTTTGTGAAGATGTGGGCCAAATCAGGTCGGAAAGCCTGCGACTCCAAAGACTACTTTGAATCAGGAGCGCGTCTGTTCAAGCGCAATTAATTCAAAGCTGCCTCAATCTTCCAAGCACTTTTAAAGCACACAGATATTCATTGGCTTTTCGTTCACTATCAAAATTGTGGGACGAAGTTTCCGATTTAGTCCAGATGTCATTACGCCGTTCTCGAATAACCACGCTTCCATTGAATAGCGCGCAGATGAAAAGTCGCGTCGTCCCGGCGCGATCTCTCTATGAAGCGCTATCATCAGCTAATTAAGTTAGATACTCCTTCGCAGATACTCAGAAGAATCAGCAAAAATGGGGCTACAGCGCCAGGTTTTCATCATAATTGGGGTGCTTTTTCACTTCTACTATCTCTGGCTGATATTTGACATCTACTTCGTGTCTCCCTTAGTACATGGGATGGCACAGCACAAGTCTACTCTGGACCCACCTGCGAAACGGCTTTTCCTAATTGTGGGCGACGGATTGCGGGCAGACAAGACATTCAAAAGGCTCGAACACCCCACCTCAGGTAGGCAGGAGTATTTGGCGCCTTACCTTAGAAACCTAGTTGAAACCGAGGCCACATGGGGTATTTCGAACACAAGAATGCCTACGGAATCAAGGCCTGGGCACGTGGCCATGATTGCTGGCTTCTACGAAGACGTGAGTGCTGTGACAAAAGGATGGAAAGAAAATCCGGTAGACTTTGACTCCTTTTTTAACCAGTCGACCCACACATACTCATTTGGCCTGCCAGATATCTTGCCTATGTTTGCCTACGGCGAAAATGTGGTGCCTGGCAGAATCGACGTGTGTATGTACGGACATGAATTTGAAGATTTCACACAGAGCTCTATCGAGTTGGATTCTTTTGTGTTCAAGCATTTCGACGAGCTTATGGAGAGTTCTAAAACCAACAGAACGCTACGCGACGAGTTGCACCAAAAAGGCAATGTGTTTTTTCTCCACTTACTTGGTCCTGATACTGCAGGCCATGCGTACCGGCCATACTCCGCAGAATACTACGACAATATCAAATACATAGACGCAAAGCTATCCAAACTCGTCCCGGCAATCCACGAGTTTTTTGGCGATGAAGAGTCTGCGTTTGTATTCACAGCTGACCATGGAATGTCAGATTTCGGGTCGCATGGAGACGGACATCCAGATAATACTCGTACGCCTCTTATAGCTTGGGGCGCAGGAGTCAACAAGCCTGTGTTGGCATCCGAGAACCGCAAGTTGGAACAGGCTCCCTTAGCCAGTGGGTACGAAGAAGACTATTTTGACACATGGGGTTTCGACCACTTGGAGCGCCACGATGTGCGACAGGCCGACATAGCGTCTTTGATGGCGTACTTGATCGGCGCTAATTACCCCGCAAACTCTGTGGGCGAGTTGCCCTTGGCGTACATTCAAGGCTCTTCTTTAAACAAGATTAAGGCGCTCTACGAGAACGCATTAGCCGTGGTTGAACAGTATGTTGTCAAGGAAAGCGAGGTTTATGACCACCAGTTCCGCTACAAACCATTTGACCCTTTCACGGAAAAGCCAATCGCCGTGTATAAGCAAGAAATCGAGGCGCTCATCACATCGATCGAAGACGGGGCACCAAACGCCCCTGAGCTTATTAATGAGGCTGTTGCGATGACAGAGCTGTTGATGAAATGTGCTTTAGATGGGCTAGGCTATCTTCAAACATACAACTGGCTCCTCTTGCGGTCAATTGTCACGCTTGGATTTTTCGGCTGGATCACTTATTCATTCACTGTTTTCTTGAAATTGTTTATCTTGAACGAGTATGAACAGCCATCACACTCAAAGACTCTTCTTCCCGCGTTTGGTGCAATTGCAATTGGAATTAACTACTTGCTATTTTACCAAAACTCGCCGCTCAACTACTATATGTATGCTGCTTTTCCGCTCTTTTTTTGGTACACAATTCTTAACGAACGAGCATTGTTTACTGAGGGCTTGGGTCAACTTTTCTTTGGAGTCTCAAATACCACTAAGGCGTTCACGCTTGTTTGTTTTCTCGGCATGTATGAAAGCATTGTCTATGGTTTCTTTGATAGGAACATGTTCTCAATTCTTTTCTTTCTTGTGGGATTGTATCCTTTCTTTGTCGCCAAGCCATTGTATCTTCACACAAAGTTACTTTGGTTCACAAGCTGTATAAGCATGTGCACCTTCACGAACTTAGATGCTGTAAAAACAGAGAGCTTGATGCAAATCAACTTTAGTGCAGCCGCATCTTTCATGGTGGGTGTCTTAGCAGCTCAGAAAGTCTTCAGAAGAAACATTCCACCTATCTCGAAGTACATAGTGGGCGCGCAGTTGGTTACTATACTTGTGATGACATGGGCAACTAACATCTCTGTGTTGTCATTGCAGGCCAGAAACGGACTTCCTTTTATGTCTCAGATCTTGGGATGGGTGACTTTTGTAACGTCATTGGTAGTTTTGCCCGGTTTACACACTGTCTGGTCTTCGGCAGATTACCAATTGAGGTTGTTGATTGTGTACCTCACGTTCATTCCCACTTTCGTCATATTGACCATATCATTCGAGCTTTTTTTCTATGTTGGATACTCGTTGGTATTGTTGCAGTGGCTTAACATAGAATCACAGCTCAAATGCAGCAGTGAGAGTATTACAAACATTAAAGACAGGAAAAACCAATTGCCAGAAGGGTATTGGCTTCAGATTATCAGAATTTCAATCATCGGATTTTTTTTCCTTCAGTTTGCCTTCTTTGGCACTGGAAATGTGGCATCAATCTCTTCCTTTTCCTTGGATTCTGTCTACAGATTGATACCTATATTCGACCCGTTCCCAATGGGAGCATTACTTATGCTCAAATTGATCATTCCGTATGTTTTGCTATCGACATGCTTCGGAATATTGAATTTCCAGCTACAAATTCGGAAGTTCACCATTTCAACTTTGATAATATCCACTTCAGACTTCTTGTCTTTAAATTTCTTCTATTTAGTTAAGACTGAGGGGTCTTGGCTCGACATCGGTGTCACAATATCCAATTATGTTTTGGCGATAATTTCTTCTTTATTCATGCTAATTCTTGAACTTGTGAGCACGGTTATCTTGAGAGGGGTTAGGTTCGACGATGGCGAAACCAAGGCTGAACTCCAGATCCAAAGGATAGTAAATGACGATGCTCCAGTCAGTTCAAGAATGAGAAGCAAGAGAAAAACTGATTGAACCCCGTCAATGTTAGATCTGCTTTGACTTTTCTGTTCACAAAACTCAGCTATCTGAAGTCGTTTTCTCGATTTTGCTTCCACACGATATCTTCAATAAATCGAAAGGACGATGAAAAAGGCGAAATTGCAATCAAATGTCTTCAAAGAAGAATAGCAAACAATAACTGGTTGTTTTTCCCCGCATGTTTAAATATAGAAATGAAAATTCTTACAAAATATTGAGACTCATATGATCCACTTTTTATACGTGAGCGAGATAAGGCATTGTCAATCACAGCAGTTGGCGATTTGCCCATTCGAAGCTAAATAAATCACGTTCTCTCACCTACGCAACTCCCAATTTTTTCTTAAAGACTTAGTGGGTGGCCTGCATTTGTGTGCACATGTTACTTGCTCATTAATACACGGGGATACTAGACGGTTCCATACGATTATATAGGGGGTCACATTGTGCAGCATGTCACAAAATATGACAATAGAAAATTCCTGTCTAGACCTGGCACACATAGGTGATTCCTGTTGGAAGTCAATCACATGACCTGCATGACTCTTCAAAACCTGCGTTAAATAGCGAGCCGTTAGCCACCAGCCGGAGCAAAGCATCAAATTTCAGGTGGAGAAAAAATGAAGATGACCAGTACTTCCAGCGGAAAACGCGTTGTTATGATCGACAACTATGACTCTTTCACCTGGAATTTGTATCAGTTTTTGTGTCAATCGAAGTACAGTGCTGTGGTGGAGGTGTACCGGAACGATGAGATCGATATTGAGACCATTGAAAATGTTGTGAAGCCCGACATTCTATTCATTTCCCCGGGCCCCGGTCATCCTTCAACCGATGCCGGAATATCAAAATCGGTAATTGATCACTTCAAGGGTAAGATCCCAATTTTCGGTGTCTGCATGGGTCAACAGTGCATGGTCGAGGTATTTGGTGGTACTGTTTCCTTTGCAGGAGAGATTGTGCACGGCAAAACTTCTACCATAAGACACGACGGAAAGGGTGTTTTTGCAGGAGTTCCACAAGGTGCGGCCGTGACCAGATACCACTCTTTGGCCGGCTTAAAGGCCAATCTTCCGGAGTGCTTGGAGGTCACAGCTACCACTGAAACTGACCCTGAGGTCATCATGGGTATTCGCCACAAGGAATACACCATTGAAGGTGTGCAGTTTCATCCCGAGTCTATTTTGACAGAGGCAGGCCAGATTCTTATAGACAATGTCTTAAAGTTAGAGGGAGGCTACTGGGCTGATAACAAAGTATCTGAGCCAGTCAAGGAAAACATATTGACAAAGATTTACAAAGCTAGAGTGGCGGACTATGAGAAAATCGAGCAAGTCCCTGGACAAAAGTTTTCTGATTTGGAAACGAGCCTTGCTCTTGGCGTCGCACCTCCTGTGATTAACTTTTACGAGCGTCTCATACACACGAGAAACAAAGGCCAGAATGTCATTTTGTCTGAGTTCAAGCGCGCCTCTCCATCCAAGGGAGATATCAACATCAATGCTCATCCTGCCGTACAGGCGCTCACGTATGCGCAAAACGGGTGCTCTGCAATCTCTGTTTTGACTGAGCCAACTTGGTTCAAAGGCTCTTTGGGTGACATGTCTGTTATCCGAAAAGTTATTGATCAATCTCCTGAACTGAAAGACTACACGAGACCTGCTGTTTTGCGCAAGGAGTTTATTTTCAACGAGTATCAGATCTTGGAGGCCCGCTTGGCTGGCGCCGACACTGTTTTGTTGATCGTCAAGATGTTGCAAGATGCTGCATTGCTCCAACGGTTGTATGAGTACTCTTTATCGTTGGGAATGGTTCCATTAGTGGAAGTGAACGATGGCCCGGAGTTAAAAACAGCTCTTGCATTGACAGTAGGGGGTACCACGGAAGAGTCTCTTGTGATTGGTGTCAACAACAGGAACTTGACTACCTTTGATGTCGATCTTGGTACCACCAGCTCCTTGGTACTGGCTGCAAAAAACAGTGGAAGGAAGGGCGATGTTTTGGTATTGGCATTATCTGGAATCAGCTTGGTCGAGGATGTCAGTAACTACAAAAAAGACAATGTTGACGGATTTTTGATTGGTGAAAGTTTGATGAGAGCACAGGAAAGGGGTGAGGCTGGTAAGTTCTTGAACGAGCTCATCAATGTTTAAGTAAGAAGTACTGATGTTGAAATTTACATGAATTTGAGTCTTACAAATTTTTGAACAAGAGCAATTTTTTTTTTCTATTTTTGTTGGGATGTTCGGAGCAAATTGGGCTGGTGCTTCCGTATCAAACCAGTTTTCGGAAAACGGGAATCTCGAATCTAAACACAAACAATTCAAAGCTCAAATGGCAGAATTTTCCACAAGAAGTACGTAACATGAGTCTCAAGCATGTAACCTGAAAAATGTCTCCTTTCGTTTTTCCACCCTATGTTTCTCCTTGAAGTGCCTCAAGTAATTGGAAAGAGGTTTCGTTGTCTTGGTTGACGACCAGCACAGAATCTCTACAACTTCGTAGCAGGCGGGACACACGACACCCTCGTGGCTTCTCTGTCTTGGCAGTGTCTTCCTAGTGGGACTGGATTTTTTTGACAACAGGTACCGACCGATTAAAAGGGGATCAGGCGTCAAATAGTCATCCGTATAAATCCCATGAGAATGGCTCATATGCTGAGAATAGCACGAGTTTTTGAGCTCGTAAAAATGAAAGTTCTCGCAATAGACACAGAGAGCACTTCTGGTCTCCATTATCGGAGCGCCTGTTAAGGGGTTCAACTCCACTCTAGTGAACTCCTGCTGATATGGGCGATGTGGCTTGAAGTATGGATTCCTTTCGTAGAATACATGAGGGTGCAAATCATGAAGGTAATCGATGTCTCCACGGATATGCCGGATTCTTTTGATTGCACCGAGACTTGGATCCCAGAGCTCAATAAGCACACTCTCATATTCTTCGACGTTCTGTGGAGGGTTTTTCGCAACATTCTGAAGATGGGGCTCTTTGACCACGAGATTCTTTGGCTTTACCGAGGAGTAGTCGAACTTTCTCTTTTCTTTCTTTGGTCTTTTAGGACGCTCAGGTTTGGAATCATCGGGGTTTCCGTCCAGTGTCCGTGGTGGGCTGTTGCGGTTGGATGATGACCCAGTAGTCGAAGAATTAAATGGTGTCAGCTGCGACCCAAACTGATAGTTTTCGCCCCTATTAAACTCATTGATGGATGCCAGACCACCAATCCCAAAGTCTAGCAGACCTCTAAGTGGGATTGGAAGGTTGGGTACCTCTGGAAACGATCTTGGTACCGTCGACAAAATCAGCGGAGTGATTCCAACGGTCGCGGAGTGCATTTCTTCTGCATTCAGATAAACGTATGAGTTTTGGAAAGCCGAATCATACCCATAATCAATGTTGTTATCAAAGTCAAATTCTGTCCCATGTCTTTGTGATAAGTCCTGTAGGGTAGTCTCATAGAACAAGTTTTGAACAAAGAGTGGTGCTAGCTCATTAGACAACTGATCTAGTTCCAGGCTTGGTTCAATATAGTCATAGGAATTTTCAAAGTGAACATGAGGAGTTTGTCTGGTACCCGAAAGTCCTGCTCTCGTGCTGCTTTCCTCGACGGTTTGCAGTACTCCAGCTGCGAATTGCGAGAGTTCGAGCTCCATAGCGAAAGTGTCTTCAAACGTTCTGGAATTGTCGCTTGATAGCAATTCAAACGACAAATCGTTTTCAACAAATGGAACGGCGAATTGGTCATCGGTCAATTCATGTTCACACTTGTAGAACTCGCCATTGGCTGCGCGGTTCGAGTCAACCTCATCAACAGCTTCGATTTGCAAAGTCATGCCACAAGTCTGCGAAGCAATAAGCGGAAGCGATAAATCTTGGGAAGCAGAAAAAGTGAGCGATAATAACGATGAGTCAAGTAGCAAAGAATTTTCGGGTGGTGAAGCCTTATTCGAATTATGGGATAAATGAATCTTTGTGGATTTAGCAGGAGCATTTTGCTGCGGCTGCGAAAGCAAGGACTCATTGATTTGGTTTCGCAGCTCCTCTTCCAAAAAGTCTTCTAAAGTCTCTTCAATTTGTTGAATCGTCGAATCCTCAGGTCCAAAGATACTTTTGTCATCGGTTTGAGCCAAAAAAGGGTTTCCCCCTCCAAAATCGAACTGCTCAAGTAATTCGTCAATTTCGTCTTTGGCTGAACCCTCGCCCTCAGGGTCCAATCCGTTGACTTCCCAATGGCTGAAGTAATCTGTAGTCTGCTTCGAAATGTCAGGACACCCAATAAGGTCAAAACAGTCGTCAGCAGCTTCGACGGCTAAGAAATCAACCGTGCTTCCTTGAAAAGACAGGCCTCCAAGCAGAGTGTACTGCTCGAAGTCAGATCTCAAAAACGCCATTCAGATGAGTTCAAGATACTACTTCTTTTGCAAAGTACTGTGATCACAGGTGAAAAATATATTTCATTATCCATGGATAGCTGATGTGAACCGTCTCATCTTATAGTAGTTGGATTTTGTCATATGCTACAAGCATGTACGAAATCACGATACGGTATCTACGATTTCACTACATCATAATATACTCTTTGTTAGGAGCATGTTGTAAAACATGGGTTATCTATACCCGACCATAAATGTCCAGGGTTTAATTTCAACTTCACAAGCATGAACTACAGAAGTCAATCAATCTTTAATCAGCTTGGTGACTATCAATGAGACAGAAGAGCTGAATGTTTTCTTTTTGGACAAAAGCCCGGTTTGGTCCGCACCTACTCCGAGTTAATTTTGTACTCAGACTTCTTATTTATCAAAAATTGGCTTTGTCATTTTCCCTCCAAAAACCTGATCGCATACTTTCAATGCATTTTCCCCTGCTCATTCAACATACCAGTTAAGCGTTTTTACTCTGCGCTGGTTGCAAAATTTTTATTACGCTGGAGCACATACCCGTGATTCAACATTTATAGAAAAGTAAATGCAGCTAGAAGTCGAACAGCCACATATATTTTTCTGATACCCCAGTAAGTTTTAAACTCTATGCCTTGCTTTGTATGTGCATAAATATCTTCAGGCAGTAAAAAAATAGCTGCCCGAAGATTCTACAGTTCTTCGCAAATTCTTTGGATCAAGCATCTTTGCAAAGCCGCACGCGGATCCCATTTCCGTATGTACGGGTTCGAAGGTCCGCGACGCCTCTCGCAGCAAAACGCGTCACTTTTCACGTCTACCTCGCAGGATCTAACCTTGGTCGAACACACAATTCAATCCAAATTTACCACAAAATGAACGCCGCAAGCATAAGAGTAAACGCATCTACAGTCAAAGATTTCCCAGGAAGAGTTGTGAGAGTCATTGGGAAAGCCACCTCCGTTGACAACTATTCTAACACCGCCACGCTAGACGCTGGCGGACCAATCGATGTTTCGACCCTCAGTTCAGATCCGCTCGAGGTGGGAAAAATCTACGAAGTTGTCGGAAAATGTAACGTCAATGATTTAAAAGTTAGCTCATACTCGGTGACTCAGTTGTCAGACAATGTGAACTTAGAAATGGCCGCCAAATTGGCAAGCATGGTGCCAAAGGTGAGTGAGTTGTTCTACTGAGCAGCGACGTTGTTCACGCATTGGAAGCAGCACGACTCTAAGTATTTGTATATTAACCCAGTAACTTCAAGATCACATGTAGAATGAGCTCAAACAAGTTTTGCGATCTCTGTTTGCACGTCCGTAAACCTGGCCAGAGAATATTTGTTTCGAGCCATCTCATACCACTTGGGGTTGGAAATACTGCCACCAAGAACCAAAAGGTTACCATAGGTGACGGCCAAACGGTAAGCAGCCTCTTCATCTGCCTGTACCAAATCTTCCCCTATGTCCTCAAGCACAGCAAGCAAGGTTTTCCAAGACGAAGGGGAGGATTTAATTGATTTGTTCAACAAGATGTATACCAGCACATCGAAAAAGAACGACGCGATTGACGAGATGGCCATCTTAAAGTGCTTGTGAGCTCCTGCAACAGACGAAGAGGTCAACACTTTCACAATGACAGTAAGATTCTGGGTCAAATCATCAAAATACTCATTGAAGACCACAGACCCATCATCACCAACTGTCAAGAAAATCTGCGTGAAGAGTGTACCCGTGGTCAAGTTACTCAAGAATCTAGACATCATCATGAACAATGTAACGTCTTCATCCAGGACTTCCTCGAGACTACGTGTGAGCAAGTGGAACACATTCTCTGCCGCTTCAGTAGATTGAAGAAGATCCACTGTAGTTATCTTAGCAATGCTGATGCGCAAGAAGTCAAAACCAATCAATCTTTGTGATTTCGACCAGTTCTCAAGAATCACAGGAATCACGTCAGTGATCAAGTAAAGAGCGTCCTTCGATTTGAGGTCAATCAAAGTGGATTGAACTCTCGCAACAATGCTGTGGGAAAAGGCAAGCCCTGCAGGCTGTTCTGAATTCAACTTGGAAAACCCCCGCACAAGCTGCTCTGGCTTGAAATCTGTGAATACGATGGGCAGCTTCTGCGGAAAAAACCTGCTCGAATGCTGGGTTGGCGCCTGGTTGGTTGTAGGGTTAGGATAAAGGTTCTCCACCGGACCGGCGCCGCTAGCAGGTTGCAGGTCCAAGGACATTCCGGCAGTGTTTTGATTGATGAACTTGACCACTTCCTCGGTGTAGGAGCCTGGCAAGTCATTTGCGGCCAAGAACCGTTCAGCAGCAATGTAAGGATTTTCTGTGCAGTTGAAAGGCAACTTGAGCGGCGGCTTTCCATCTTCGACATCCACGTCAAACACGTAGTCGTACTCAGCGCCCTGGTACTCTACTTTACCGGAAGAGGCACCGGCCGAGCTAACCACGTCTCCGATTTTCACCCATTGACCCCCCGACCACTGGTGTGCCTCGATCACACCAGCGGGGCTTTTCACCATGACCGTGGCGCCCTCTTCTTTTCCAGGGCTGTTCAAGCGGTCGTACCCAGGAATATCTGTCTTCTTGAGATCGTCGATCGACTGCTCGGAAATGGCAGACAGCTGTACCAAGTCTGCGAAAGCCTTGATCCCTTGGGCAGTGGCCATGCGTGTTTGTTCCGCGGTGAAAACGTAGATCTGCTTGTCGGAGCCGCCCACCGCAATGTCGTCATTTGGAAGCACGGCAACGCACCACACAGAGATGCAAGGAAGTGTGATGGCCTGCAAGACCGCGCCGTTTCGCCAGATTCGCACGGTGCGGTCTTCTGCGGTGGACACGAGATCGCCGTTGGACAACATGGCAAGGTCGTATATGAAGGAGTTGTGCCCCTCGAGCGTCTGGAGCACGCGTCCAGACGCAAGGTCCCAGATCTTGATGGTGCAGTCGTTGGACGCGGACGCGAATTGTTTGCCTCCAGGAAACACCAACAACTTTCTGACGACGTCGGCGTGGCCCGTGAAGCTGGCGGTCTGCGAGCCACGATGCCACATACGAATGGTTCGGTCTGCTGAGCATGTGAGGTACGTTTCTTGGGCTGGGTCTACGATCTTAGCGTCCCATACGGATGCCTGGTGGCCTACCAAATCGTGCTTCACAGAGAACAGATTCAAGTCCCACACTTTGGCCGTGCAGTCCCAAGACCCGGAGATTAACAGGCCGCCCAGAGCATGGAGCGAGCACACGTTTCCCAGGTGGCCCGGCAATTGGAATTTGCCGAAATCGTCGCCTGGTTTGGCAAAGCTCTCGTGGCTCTCACTGAGATATATGACTGCGTCGTTCCCGCCACAAGCAACCACGGGGCCTGTGGATTCGCAGCACACGGACTCGACGCTGTTGATAAAAGAGCCTGTGGGTGACAGAAAACAGATGATGTTTTCGTGGTTTTTGTCAAGAGGCATGTCCATTTGCCATCGCCTGGCAGTGCCGTCTCGGGACCCGGAAACTAGCACGTCCAGCGATAAGGCGGTTATGCCGCGCACGTCCAGCTCGTGGCCATGAAGGATAGAGCGCAATTGATACATTCAGTGGTCGAAAAGGTGTGTATTTGTGTGGAAAAAGAAAGCCTATCGAAGCAAAGAAAAACTGGGGTGATATCTGGAGGTTCTGTTGAGATTCGCAGTAGCCCTACTGCATCCGGTGCGAAGTTATTTTGTTCAGATAGATGACCCAACCAGTATGTGTGAGAACTAGACGCTTAGCCCTAATTAATCATGTGACAAATGAGACATTAAAGTTCGCACCACTTACCCGGAACCAAATAGCACGACGAGTATATGAAGGGAAGAGAATTCCCTCTAGAGATCTTTTTAGAAGGTCAGTTGACACAAAAGTGGTTTTAGTTTTTCCTAAATAAAGGTTTATTTCCACACGCTAGTACATCATGTCGAATCCGATATCTCAACTGTACCAGTTGGGAACCACTTGTGGACAGGACATTGAGTTGGAATATCCTGTACTCAAGCAGAAATACAAACAGTATGGTGGTTGACACGTACTCTAAAGACGAAGCCACTCTCGCAGTGGTCAGCCATTTAAGACATGAAAAACTTTCATGTCTCCTTTCTTCCTTCTTTAAGGGAAACTCCTCTTCATAGATCTACATCTTAATCGATTCTTACGATACCAAATGTCAACTCCTAGTCAGGACACTTCCATCCCCAAAGTGGAAGACTCCTATGTTCTGATGAAAGGTGCCTTAGGAGACACCGAGACCGACTTCTTTCCGATCGTCGGCTCTTCTGATATTGCCACTAGTTCACATGTTTTTACCACCCCTAGTTGCTATACGAACCTTAGTCCGTATACGCATACTAGGGCTGTCTACAACATTGACCAAGGCTCTAAACAGGCCTATAGTTTCAATGCGCGTTTCACGCAGGGTAGACTTCAATATATGTCTATGGCACAGCTAATTTATAGAAAGACAAGTTTTTATTCCTTTTGGACTTTGTGTCTTTTGAGTTTTTTCCATCTAAACTCATACATCTACTAATTTCGTTCTAGGCCAAAGCGACTGGACAATCTACTGGAGAGGAGTCTTTCCGAGCCCTCCTCCAGAACCAGGACTCATGTCCTTCCTCCAGCGCACCTCGCTACTAGTTCTGTCCTTTCTTCCATTCCCTCTGTATACAAGAAGCTAAGCCGTTATACTCACAGAAGAACAGTTCACAGTGTTTTCACTGGCACTCATACTGTGTATAGTCCCGACAGCCGCTTTGCACAGAGTAGACTTCAACCGTCTTTTTGCATTGCTGATACTTAGCGGCTGCACGGGCTGGGCTGTTCATGTTGGGGCCAGAAACCCCGACCACTGGGTAGGAAACAAGATTTATAGAGAGAGTCTTTTTCTGACTTCATGAAGACAACTGCGCAATCTTCGATGTGGTGAAAACCAGATTCGCGTGCTTTCTTGGAATCAGCAATTCGCTTTTGAAAACTGAGCGTGGGCCCGCGACCTAGACCAATTTGCTATTGTTCTGCAGTAGGCATATTTGATTATTTTCGACACATATAGCGCTAGAATCCCGTAATTTTCTGGGCTCAACTGGTTAAGGCTTCCACGAATAGCAGGCATATCAGTCCAGGAGCGCTTCAATTACGGTCAATATCAAGTGGCTTGCACTAGTAATGAGACACGTTGATGCATCTTGCCATTACGCATTTATCGGCCCCCTCATCAAACAATTTGTCTAAACATTATACCCGTGCAACTCGAAATAGTTTGACATTTTTATAACACGTAACCAAGCACGTGGCTCCTTCTGGATTATTATATTAATTTTTCGAATGGAAACCAGATTTGGAAGTGAAAGCCATACTCATATCAGGTGACATGCTCTATTGATTCGTCTGCGTTTTCTTCAGTCCAGGTTTCAACACTAGTCGTTTAAAATTCCCCAGCAAATTCTATGATTCTACCACTTATCGGGTGTTAGCCTTTTTGTTTGGAATCTAGTGACTTAATGTACGCTGGTGTTGAAAGCTGTATTTATTATATAGGGCCGATCACTTATTACATACTGTAGTGCCGCCCCTCACAAAGCAACAAAGCAAGTCATCTAATTTCGTGCAACAAAAGACTAAAACATTTACTTGTTACCTTATGCGTGTGAATTTAGTTTCCTTATCAATAAGAGTAGTCAGGGAAGCATTTCTTTTGTCTCTAGCTCATACTAACGTACCATTGTCCGGTATTCTTGAAAAAAAAAAAGCATATGCGATGTTTACACACTGAGCAATCTGCACGAATTTATCAGTTTTGTGCCAATTTCAGTGTCAGTGGCAACTTTGAGAATGTATATGTAGAAGTCCTAGAGAAGAATTAGGATGGATGTATTCGTCCAACCCGGCTATGAACCTATTTTCCCTGGTCCTGGTCTCTTTTATTTTGTTTTATAGCTGTGTTTTTGAAATTACATTCGTGCTCCTGCTGGTATCGGTATGTAGGCCCCGCGAGCTTCTGAGGCTTCATTCAAAAATACACTTTTTTCCATCCTTTGAATAATGGTGTGACCCAAAAAATAATGAATGAAGAAATACAATAGGCAAACCTATAGTTGGTTCCAATTCTTAGCTTTTCAAGAGCAAGGATAAGCTCTACTTCATTCCAACAGCCACCATTAATGAAAACGCTTTTGAAGTTAGAGGTTGAAATGTATGACAGCAGTTTTAAGTGAATATTTTTGAATATTTTTGAGGCTTCTAAGCTCGACGTGCCTGTACCGGTAGGTCTACTACGGGGCCTTCTTCTGACATGCCCTGACGACACCACTACTTATTAACATACACACCATCAGATATTCAATATCAAGTTTTAGAAAGATGTTTCTCGCCATGATTAATAGCGCTTCATATAAAACTGGCAATTGTTAGTCCGGGGCATTTTCAGAATTATCTGGCATGCTTTAGAAACAGACTAAAATCATCAATCTTCAAAGTTAACCGCACCACGTCGGCCCCAATAATCCATTTCTCGTGGGGTACGGGTGTTATACCACCTGTTCCAGAGCCACTCCCAACGTGCATTAATCGTAATATTCCAGCAGAGTGGTCAACAGACTCTCCATCTGCCCCCACATTCCTCGTAAATATGACTTTGACTCATACAATTGGTGCAAACGGCACGCACGTGTTCTACTCGTCTTTTCTCGGTAAGTATCTTTTAGTCACAGATACCTCCATTGAGGAAAGTGACATTATGGCTTCGGTCCACTCGAAGGATGTCACCACTACAATTTCATGTATTTTGGGCTGTGTTAAGTCAAAATTGAACAAATACCTCATTGTTGTCGACAAGCATGAGATTACGGGATCAATCTTGGGTAACGAAATTGCAAAGGTCGAATCTTTTAAAATCTATTCACTCGGTAGCAATACACTCTACAAGAAAGACACCGAGGAGGGTCAGTACTTGGCATTGTTGCGCCAGCACTTAAACAATGCCACTCTTTTCTTTTCTGTTAACAACGCTTACGATTTGACAAATTCTTTACAGCGTCGGCTTGGTGGTTCTAGTGAGGTTTCACAAAGAGACGAGCGCTTTTGGTGGAACCAGTACTTATGTGAAGAGTTTATGGAAAGCGGTGCTCACAGCTTTGTGACTCCTGTGATTTACGGTTACGTTAAGTCCCATTCAGCTCAGTTTAAAGGAAACCAAAACTTGGACTTTGCTTTGATCACGCGTCGTTCTCGCATTCGAGCGGGCACCAGGTATTTCCGTCGTGGAATCGACGATTCTGGGGCAGTTGCGAACTTCAATGAAACCGAGCAGATACTCACGACTGCTGGTGGTCAAGTTTACTCCTTTTTGCAAACGAGAGGCTCTGTGCCTGTGTATTGGTCTGAGATCAATAACTTGAAGTATAAGCCCAATTTGGTTGTTTCGTCCCGCCCTTCCCAGGACGCGACAGCGAAACATTTTAAGGAACAGGTCGAGCTCTATGGCGACAACTTCTTGGTCAATTTGGTGAACCAAAGCGGGTACGAGAAACCAGTCAAAACCGCATACGAGAAAGCGGTCGACACATTGCCTCAGACGCTCGCGAATCATGTCAAGTACATCTATTTTGATTTCCATCATGAATGCAGAAACATGCGCTGGGATAGGGTGAAGATATTGATCGAGCGGTTGATTGACTTGGGATTCACGAGCGACAACTACTTCGCCTACGATTTGCAGACCAGGTCTGTCCTCAACTTGCAGAGGAAGATCGTGAGAACTAACTGCATGGACTGTTTGGACCGTACCAATGTTGTACAGTCCATGTTGGGCCGCTGGATTCTTCAACATCAATTTGAGAAGGCCCATTACCTATCGGAAAATACGGTCACGCCATGGGAGATTTTGGACCCACTGTTTAATTTGTTTTTCCAGAGCTTTTGGGCCGACAACGCCGATGCAGTATCATGTGCCTATTCAGGCACAGGCGCTTTGAAGACTGATTATACCAGAACTGGACAGAGGACAAAAGCAGGTGCGTTCAAAGACTTGACAAACTCCATCACGAGGTACTATCTTAACAACTACAGAGATGGTCTGAGGCAAGACTCTTACGACTTGTTCTTGGGCACGTACAGGCCCTATAGAGATGCGACAGTAAATCCATTTCTTGACAAGAGAACACCCTATGCGCAGATGGTGCCGTATTTGATTGGGGCCTCGTTGTTTGTTCTAGTTGCCTTGTTGTTTTACCCCAGTGGCTCCGTGGCCAGTATGCGCAACTTGCTCTTCATAGGTGGGTGTCTCTACTATGGCGTGCGCAACTTTTTCTTTGTTCTCAAGAACGGCTATCAGTTTGTCAACTGGCCTAAGTTGTCCCCATTGGACTACTTGAAAAAAACCGATGTCTTCAACCTAGACGGAAAATTTGTTGGAATCAAATACGAAGAGACTGATGACTTCAAGACGTCAAAGAAACTTAACTGAAATCGTTGTTTCATTGGATCTTTACTATTTTTATTATATATCTTACTCTATTGAATCACCGCGCCGAAACGGCGACTCGCAACCTCAAAACTAGCTGTGTCACGTGGTGTGCGCACCCAGACTGTCAACTAATCTTTCAAGCACCGTATCGTCGACACCCGATTACGAAAAACACTCGAAAAAAACACATACACAATGTCGGGCGCCCTAGAACAATCTTTGGACAGCATTATCGGCGAAGATGCCGGTCCCCGCAGAAGAGAGCACCCGGGAAGAAGAGGTCGCGGCAAAAGAGGCGGTGCGTTTAGAAAGCCAGGTGTATGTATCTAGACGTTATCTTAGGCAGCGGTATTGGCAGACAGAATTAAGAGACCCAATCGTGATAGGTGCTATGCTCTTGTGACAGGCATGAGGTGCTTGAAGGACATAAGAGGGCCATACAAAAACCATGAGACCACAGCAAGAGCGGGGAAAAAGGCCAGAACTTGCATTTCAAGACATTTGCATTCTCCATTGCTTTCTTTCTTTGTTCAGACGGCATCATACTAACAAATTTTGCAGGGTGGAAGACCATACAATGGGACAGGAGTCCCTGCGCAGATTTTGAATTCTGCAGAGGGCAGGGCCATGTTGAGACTCAAGAACATTCACCCCGATTTGAACGGCATGGACTTGTCGGACTTGTTCGTCAACATTGCGCCGGTTGATTTTGTTAAGTTCGACCCTAGAGACGAAACTATTGCTTACGTGTGTTTCCAACTGAACTTCGCCGAGAACAACGCCCGTGCGATCCAAAAGTTCGACGGCAAAAAGGCCATGGGGAACACGCTTATTGTAGAGAATGCCACCTCTTTGGCCGACCGAATTGCTCCTTTGCCTGCCGGTCGCATGCCCCGTGGATCGCGTGACTCTGTGAGGACGGGAGATGATGTCAAAGCAAGGGAAACTACCAGGCCCAGAGAGAACCACCGGGTGAAGGCGAAGGTCAAGCAGCAAACCGAAAAAAGAGCTAGACCGGTGCCAAAAACGGCCGAGGACTTGGACAAGGAGTTGATCGCCTACATGAACGGGGCCAGCGAAAACAATGTGAAGTTGGAGAGCACGGGCGCTTTTGCTGCCCAGGATAACGGCGAGGCCATGATGGAGTAGTTGGGGCATTAGAAGAGTCTCTGACCAGAACTTTCAAGAAGGCCCCTGTGACTCTGCGTACTGCTCAAAACAAAGTTGTATTAAATATAATAAATATGGGTATGTTTTCATGGATTTTATTAGATGATGTGGCTAACATGATGGGTCGGCCGATCAGTCCATTCCGTTGCTGAGCTCCACCAACTCGATATAGAGGTTCTTCGTTTTCTTCCTCCAGCTCTTCCCCCAATACAAGGTGGGCACGATGAAGGCAATGGAGACAAAGTCAATCACAGCCAAAGTGATGTATGTGTTTTGAGTGCCTGCGCTGTCAAGCCATAATGAACACACAAAGGTGAAGATGCATGCTAACGTGTTGTTGATGATGGAAACACCAACCATACCCTGGATGACAATTTCTGGGTACGCATCCATGAGGTATGACATGGCCGTGTCTCCAATGGAGCCCCAGCCAAAGCCAATGAATGCAAGTCCGCCGTAGACAACCCATGCTGGCCACTCGCCTCCTTTTGCCGCTCCCACACCGAACATAAAGAGCCCTACAGGCGAGATGATCATGGTGATGAAGAGAAGCCAGAGCCGGTACTCGGGTTCGTACAAGCCGTTGTTACGCTTGGCCAACGAGAGCACGTGTTTGTCGGACAAGACTCCCGACATTATGCATCCAATCACCGCGCCAACTAATGTTGCCACATTCATCACAGCGACTCCCGTTCCAGAGTAGTTCCATGGGGCATCGTAGAAAAACGTGTCCTGCGTGGTCAAGAAAAACGACATATAAGCGTCTTGCAAGCCCCAGAGGATTCCCAGGAGCCACACTGCAGGTAAAGTGAATACCTTGAAGTAAATGATAAACCGCTTCACGTACTGGCGGATTCCGTAGCCCTCAAGGTAGGAAGACGGCGTGATCAACGCCATTCTTTGTCGGTACGACGTGGGCGTCTCGTTCTTCTCTCTCATCCGGCCGATTTCGCAATCAATGTCCAGAAGCCCCCGGGCCATAGTTCCGAGTCTCTCCGTGGCCACCGCCACAGTCTCAGTTTTCTCGGTCCCGTCTTCTAGCTTCTTCTCAGCCATCTCGGTATCCTTTGAGACCGTGCCTGGTAAATCATCAAACGAGTCAGGGGCGTTGGAAGCGGAATCTTTTGCCTCGCCAGAGCTGTACACTGGGAAGTACTTGGCCCTGTCAAAGACAGTCTCCTCACAGGCGAATATCACCACAATGAGCGTGGCACCCGAAATAATAGCACCCCACCAGCCGACCCACCTGAATCCCAGGGTCTCGGAGATCAAATGAGCAATCAAAGGCCCGAGAAACGACCCGATGGACGTGGCCATGATGTACACAGTCAACACCGAGCCGAGCTGGTGCTGGAAGAAAATGTCCACGAGTGACTGTTGCACCTGGGCCTCTGCGCATGCCTCGGACATGCCAACAAATGCTTGGGACCAGATGGTGTCGGCCGTGCGTTTTGACAAAGCAAACCACACGGAGCCCAAGGTTCCCAGCAAGATGCAGATGATGTACGTGATTCTTCTACCATACAAGGAAGATGCAGGCGCAAAGAAAATACAAGACCACCCAATAAAAAGAAATAATACCCCGGCGCCGGTGTTCATGGCATCATAAGATATGCCGTAGGCCTCATTCAACGAGTCCTGGGCCGCACCAGCATCATTTGAAATGGCCGCTGTGAGCCCCGTAATGAACGAAACCACAAAAAAATGCCACATTTTGCGCGGCGCCGACCAATTAAGAGGATCGTTGGGGGAGTCCGAGGGCTGTGGAAGCAAGATGATGCCATTTCGGTTCTTCTTCAATGGTCTTCCCGAGTGGCTGCTGGAGGCATCATCGGATGACGTGAAAATGTTGGTTGTGCCCGGAACATAATCCTCGGCAAAGTAGTTGTTGTTCATTGATTCGGGCCCGTGTATCGAGCGATCTATATTCTAGGAAATGGTAGGTGAAAGGTGAAAGAGATGTCAAATGAGCATAATAAGATGCGAGTTCGGGGCTCCAGGCAAAAGGTTGCAACAGACGGAAAGAGGGTTCGAAATCAGCGGATCAAATCGTCAAGCCAGCGTGAACTTTTTTTTTCGAGAGGAGAGAACCTTGAGAAAAAAAGGGCCGTTTGTCTGTTCTTGATTTTCAACCTATTGCAGAATGTCAAACTTTTCGCTACCGTCCTGTATGCACCTTCACCGTTAAGAGCTTTGCATTGCGCTTCAACTCTCTTTTTTTGCGATATTTACGTGACTGTCATCTGGTTTTGGACAGACGCGTACCTCCTCCGCATGTTTTTTTTCTTGATACGCATCTGTGAATATTCGTATCTCAAGAAAATTCATAGCTATAGTACTTTGGGCTGGGTCTTAGAGGTGTCATACTGCCGCCATGATATATGCCATGCTGTTGTCTCACAGGTGAGGAAATTCCAAAACCTGTTGCATCAGCGGCTGTGAAAGTAGTATGCAATACTAAGGTGTCAGGGGAACAAACGCCATGCTGTACCCCCCCCTTACTTTGAGAATTGATACCCTTAATGAAGCATGACTTAATAATGTCTTCGAAAGATATCTCAAACCTTCATTGTGTTTCTGTTCTTGAATGAGGAACAGGCAAAGATGATAGTCTGACGTATGCATGGTCCTATATGCATGCCCCGCACCAGAAGGCATATCCTTTGCATGTGGGAAGATGATAGAAGCGATGGTCGGAGAAAAGACAACCAAGTTCAAACTATATGAATAGTTGGGTGTGATTCTTTCAAAAAGGCTCGAGCTAAAAGTTAGTCTACATTAATTTCCTCTCTTTTCTCTCCCCCAAATTTTGATCCAAAAATAAAGCGTTCCTGTTGTCATACAAATAGTGAGAGAAATCAAAAAGGTAAAAACCAGAAAATGTTCTGTGGGTTGCATGCTTATGTTTGTTATATATTCAAAATAGACATCAAAATAGCAGGCACTCTAGATAGCTGACTGGTATTGCTGCTTTAGAATTCACTCACTTTTATGTCGAGAGGTTCTGCATCGCTTGGTAATCACAAATAATTATATATTTTGCCGCATGTTATGAACGCTGGACTCGTGCTCATGAGCATACAATGTAGAGTTGTTACGAGACCTTCGCAAATAATCAGAAAAAGGTTGAATGTTAATCCAAGAGAAGGCGCTGATATGTGCTGTATCTGAGTTTCCGGTAAGTGCGATCGAACAGTAGACATGGTGTGTTGATATTCTACCTCTCATCCATTTCTTCCCCTTGATGAATGCAACTACGACTTTTGAACTTCTTTCTTCTGTAAGTAATGAAGAAACACAGTGTCAGCTTCTATGTTCTACATCTGAATGAGTTTAAGATGTAAAATACTAATGGCCATTACACGACTGCCTAAAGATATTTGGGTATGCAAAATTATACAAGGAGGCCGTGAAATGAGAAATTTGAAATGCGAGCATAGAAGAAATTAGTCCGTGCGAGGCCTTGAGCTACGAGGCTGACAACAGGACTACGTCCGTAAATTAGTAGATATGAAGACATTTTTTCAATTAAATCTCTCTATATTTTTTCTCTTTGACCAGTGGAGTCTTTTGAAAGTATGTAAAGTTGAAATTGGGGGTTTTGGCAAGCAGATGTTCTCAGCTCACAGGAAGCTGTTCCGCGCACGCCCTCATTTCATGTCGCTCAGATTTGTTCGAGAAAACCGTGCAACATAGCTTTCTGCTTCTGAACCACCCGATTGTTAGCTCTCAGCGACATATCTTGCTTTGTATTGAACACTGCCATTGATAGATCCATTGAGAACTGCTTTCAGAATCAACACCTTCCGCCCAGTGAATTTTGGCCCCGTAGGAAGCCAATTTGTCACTTGAATACAACTAGAAGACGTGGTTCACCCCAGCGTCTGCACGCATACTAATCTTTGTCCTTCTTCTATTAATTTTTCTTTGAATTTCTTTGAAAAATAGTTTAAATCCATAGTTTTCTTGATACCCCGCAATGTCAGACCCAGTGCTAGCGTGGTGTGATGACATTCACCTGGTTAGAGGAAACGTTTCTCAGCTCCAAGCAACACTCAACCAGATCATCACGAAAACCCCTACTGTGACACAGTACAAAAACATGATCAGCACTTACGATTCGCCAGATGCGGACAAGACCACGGACGCTCCCAGCATCTTAGAGAAGCTTCGTTCCATCATGCATTCTCCACAGGTGAAAGTTGCCGTGCGTTTGAAGAGTCTCTACGACCGAGGCTACTTGCCATTTCTTTTAGGCCTAAGCCGCATCAATTTCAGGTCGCAGAAAAGTGACCGTTTTGTGGGATACCTCTTGGATTACAATCCACCCAAAGTCGACAGCTCAGAGATGTTTCCTGAGGAAGGAGACTTTATACGCAACACCCATAATGATCCGGAAAATGTTTCGTATCCTCCATCATTACCTCCTATAGAGAACCAGCTGCTTTTGAGACTTGTGTTCACGGACAAATCGTTAAGACAGCCGTCGGACTTCTTGGAGCTGGAATTCTCTGACGGGTTTCATGACTATAATAACAATCACAATCGGAAGTTGATGCTTCGCGGGAAAGACATACTCAATCTAGCACTCAATGATATCTTGGACCAGGAATTTCCTGCGGCTCACGAAGACGACTTGGTGTATCTCAAACACAGATTAACGTCCACGTCGATCTTAGCCAAGTTGGCGTTCTGCTACAACTTTTCCGATACTGTTATGCACCAGATTGATCAAAACACGCCTACTGCCGAAAAGTTGATTATTTTCAAGAATGTTTTTCTTGCTTACATCGGCGGAATGTCCAAACTGGAGTACACATTTCAGGCCATCAGACTCTGGATCGGTCGCCTTTATAACCCCTTGATCTGCAAACTACAAGCGGATAAGGGCAAATCACAACTCAAGAACGTTTCTAGCCTTGCATATGTCGAGTTGAACTTCATGTTCAGAAGAGTCAATAACCTCACGGAAGAGCCTACAAAGAGGATTAGGTACGAGTTCAAGACACTCAATACTGAGGTACCAGTAGCTTGTCAACTAGTTGTCTCTAATGTGAAATTAGGAATCGGCTTAGGCTCAACATTGGAAGAAGCAAAGCATAAAGCTGCTCACACGACTTTTGAGACACCTGAGCTTCGCTCACAACTAATGGATATACTTGTGTCTCAGATAAGAATACCTTTGAAAGAGAAAGATTTAGCGAGTATGAAAGAAGCTTCTTCAACTGGAAAAGAGAGTGTCGCTGAAGACGACGCCTACTCCCCTGAAATATCCGCAGACGAATATGAACCGGAGGTGCCGCAAAGTTCAAATGGTAGGGATACCACTAAAATTACGCACGCGTCCCTTCCAAAACTCAACTACAATGACTGGCCACCCCAAACCTCACAAAGAATCCATCTGAGTGAGACGGAATCTGTCGCTCGGACGACGGAGCCACCACGTGCACCAAAAATGCAATACGTAGCACCAAAGCACATCCCGCATCATCACAACAAACAGCAAGCAGCGAATGGCCCATCTGCAGCTCAGACTCCGGCAAGAAAGCCGCTACCTTACGGAATGCTTCCGCCCATTCCAAACATGAAAAAGAAAGGTGGCACGAGCTAGTGGTGTGGTGTTAAACACGCTGAGCTGACGCCACCACTTTTAGTGAGTCAAAGGAGGTGGTTTGAAGGAAGCAGTGCACTGCTACATAGGGATAGACGCTATTCAAGCAATCAATCAACGGGAAGCTACCTTATATTGAGGGCCGAAGCACTGTTTCTCAAATTTTGACAAGCATAAACTAATACACGTCCAAGTTGCATACAACTATAGAGACACAAAAGTAGATATTTGATATATTGTGACCGCAGCATTCAATGAATTACTACATGTCCGATTTACAAAGTCAGAGAATTCTGACAGTCGGCTAGATATGTGTTTCCACCGAAAGCTAATTTCAGTCGACTGGAAACGTGCGGCTCACTTGCACCCGGGGTCAACCGGAAGACGGAAGCGACAAGAAAAGGAAAAGAATATTAGAAAAAAAATCTTCGCGACCTCCCACGAGTCACCGGCCTGAGCCAATGAAAAGCGTCCGTGCGCGAAAGAAGTCCCGGTTGAATCCTTGCATATATACAAGGCCCGATCTTCGCAGAAAAAAAAAACTGAAAAAACACAGCGCAAACAGATATCTTTGTTCTTTTAAGCAACTGTATATATTCTTTACACAATGGCCGAGAAAGCTAGAACTATTCCTTCCTTCACCATCGGTGACTACGGTGCTTTTGCTCTTGCCGGTGCCATGGGCTGTGGTATCACCCACGGTGCCATGACCCCAATTGATGTCATCAAGACCAGAATCCAATTGGAGCCTGCTGTGTACAACACCGGTATGGTTGGTTCTTTGAGAAAGATCGTCTCCTCTGAAGGTGCCGGCGCCTTGTTGACCGGTTTGGGTCCAACCATCTTGGGTTACTCCATGCAAGGTGCTTTCAAGTTCGGTGGTTACGAATTGTTCAAGAAGACTTTCATTGAGCAATTGGGTTACGACACCGCCAAGAACTACAAGAACTCGATCTACATCGGTTCTGCTGCTTTGGCCGAGTTCTTTGCCGACATTGCTTTGTGCCCATTGGAGGCCACCAGAATCAGATTGGTGTCCCAGCCAAACTTCGCCAACGGTTTGATCGGCGGTTTCTCCAGAATCATGAAGGAGGAGGGTGTTGGCTCTTTCTACAACGGTTTCACCCCAATCTTGTTCAAGCAAATTCCATACAACATTGCTAAGTTCTTGGTTTTCGAGAGAGCTGCTGAGTCCATTGCCGCTGCTGTTCCAGGTGAGAAGGCTGACTTCACCTCTACCACCAAGACCGTTGTTAACTTGAGTGCCGGTATTGTCGCCGGTTGCGCCGCCGCCATTGTTTCCCAGCCAGCTGACACTTTGTTGTCCAAGGTCAACAAGACCAAGAAGGCCCCAGGTCAATCCACTCTCGGCTTGTTGGGTCAATTGGCCAAGCAATTGGGTGTCCGTGGTTCTTTCGCCGGTTTGCCAACCAGATTGATCATGGTTGGTACCTTGACCTCCTTGCAATTCACCATCTACGGCTCTTTGAAGAACGCTTTGAACTGTCCTCCAGGTGTCGAATTGTAAGCTTTCTTTGGAAGTTTATAGACCGCTGTATTTATCTTAAATCACACGAACCTGAATTAGTTGCTTCATATCATAGACTCTATTGCTGTTGCATTCCTCGTCACTTTTCGTGTTTGCGTTGCGGCAAGCAAGTTTCTCTGAAATACCTCGTATTCTTACACCATTTGCTCACTTGAAAAGTGTGATAAGGATGAAGCTAGAAAATTCACCGAAAGCAAACCAAAAGAACGAAATGAGAATGCGAAAAGGAAAACAAAAGTTCTCTTATTCAAAAGCAGCATCTCTTTGAGCTAACGCCCCTGTCATCTACAACATACTCCTGCATCGTTAAGCAGCGCCTTAGGTACTATGTGGCAGAAGCCTCGCTGCCACTTGGAAGCTTGTCTAGTATTGTGTGACCGTCTATACCGTCAGTTCTGTAGAAATGACATAGCCAGGTTATTCTGGCAGAGGACTCATGGAAGGAGTGCAGATAGTTGAAACCTTCGCAGGGCATGTGTAGAATGTATGATGACGAAACTGGTTGAGTTGTTCATGGCATTTGGAAGGCTACGTATATCGGGAGACACTCATTTTGGCTTATACACTCAAGCAATTCTCTTATCTCATACCACCTTTTGTGAAGGTGAGATCCTTGGTCTCGTCTATATGGTGTTAAAAGAGATGACTATCCCTTTATAAGACTCGCGATGTTTCAGTAGTTCCTGCCTAGTGCGCTGCACATGACTTTATAGCCTCCAGAAAAGCTTGTAGCGTGACCTTGAAAGTCTAAAGAAAAACTTTTAATTCTGGAGATATTTTCTAGCAATATTCATTGATCACATAGTGTTCAGTTAGTACTAGCGACAAAAGCGAAAAAACCACACGGGCATTTTGTTGCAGCTCATGAGCCCCATAGAGTTTTTTGCAGATTTGAGAGAGACGCTACATCTGCGTGATGTCATCATGCGATGATTGCTATTTATAGGGCGTCACACGCAGCAAGAAGAGTGGCTTACGCAAAGTTGCGCTGAGCCTATATGGCGTGCATGAGATGCTTGGTTGGCTGGCTGATAACATATATAAAGCATCGCCAGTTCGTAGAGCTGGTTGTTATCCCAATTAGGATTTTATTGCAAGCTGTACAGTCTTTTTCGATCTTAACACAACACAATCATGCATCTAGCGGCTTATCTCACGTCAATTTTTATGCTTCTTTCCGCAGCTCTGGCCGTCCTGGTGTCGAAACGGTTTTTCAGACCTTCATCCCAAGTATTTTCGATAATCGCCCATCATGAGGGAGAAGTATTTCATTCTCATCTCTTGAAATGGGATGGCTCAGACCTTCTTCTTAATACCGACACAAACGCTTTTTTTGGGCGTGTTCGTGCCTCTCAAGGCTACATTCTCAACCTTCCAAAATATGAAGGTCTGGTTAACGGTACTCAAAAAGCTGCCAATACTGTCAACGTTCACGTGGACCCAAAGACGTATAAACTAACTACTTCGAACGATCCGGACGAAGCCACCCACGGGTTTGGTATCACAGACCAGAAGTTGACCTTCAAGAATTCAACAGATTTCTTAGCTTGTCCTGACTGGTCATACAGAAGTCAGTACCATGTATATTGGGGAAACAATAACATGACAAAATGCCCACATAATGCGACAGGCTACCACGTGGAAATGATTGTCCAGACTGATGCGTACACAAATTATAATCCATCAAGCAACAGGCGAATTCCAGCTGTCTCAAACTCAAGTAACAGCACAACAACCCCAAACTACATGTATGAGGAATCTGCTAAGAAGAGATTCCTTTGGTTCTAGTGCATTCATGACACTTTTTCATAAAAATTGTTCTTCAAAAGGAAATCACGATGGGAAATATACCGCATGAGAATTTCGAACGTGTGCACACGGTCATCAAACTTCTTGAACTTTTGCACCCAGATAAATCAAAGCTTTTACTTGAGCGTTTTCGCTTATACCTGATGAATAAATGATACTAATAAATATAACTTGAAAATTTGTTCTTCACAGTCGAAATCACAAGATTTTAGAAATTTCAAAGTAGTATAGTTTATTACAAAGTATTTTCGAGAAATACTTTCTTGATACTTTTTTGGAACCAGAAGGATTTTTTGTGAGATGTGCAGATCTCACATCTAATTTCATTCTACTGTACAATTGTATTTCAATGTGACACATGCTTGAACGCTGCCTTTATTCAATTTCAAATATCACAAACCTTCATACGACAGGACGGAAACCGAAACCTTCTCACCTCGCCTATGTTCCGATTCCACTGTTTCTGGGGAAAAGAACCGGGTCATCAACACAACAGCGGTCAAAAATTCCATTGTCGTAGCCAACACATACTCGTAGATAACCAAAGTTTTGTTAACACCTGTGTCGGAATAGTTGGAGAGCTCATAGTAGTTCATGTCGTCGATGTAAATAGACAATACACCAAAAATTCCTCGGATGATTAAAAATGGGCCTGCGATCATGACCGACATCGTGGATCTGTTCCTGACTCTTTCCTTGATAAAGACATACATGTTCAATCCAATCAGAATTGCAGTCATGAAGAGGAAAATAATTTGACCGGCTGTACGAAGTCGTTTTGCGGTATTGAGATTTTCCAGGCCGCTGGAGCTGTCTGATAAGTCGACACCGGCTGTCAAACTTCCTCCAGCAATGAGAAGAGCATTTGCTGGGATTAAAATAAGATGAAAGCACCTCATCCAAGAGGAATTTAGTTGGCGAAAAATAGGAAGTCTAGGTCCAGATTCCATAATCCAGGACTTTCTAAATTTGTCCTCTTGGGCTTTGCAGGTGATGCGAAAACACGTAAGAATCAAAGTAAAGTATCCCTCTGCCTGAAGCACCAAGTAGGCGACGAGCCAATTGGTGTACAATACGCCCACTTTTGCGTAGATGACACCACAGAGCTGACCAGCAAACCTGAACACACAAAATACAAAAATGAATGTGAATAAAGTTTTAACCCCTCTTTTGATCAAGACATAGATCATGAAAATCAAGAAGATTGTGTATAATCCTAGATAGACTGATGCAGCGATACCGGAAGCTGGTGAATCAAAGCCACTCATTGTGTTTTATTTCGGCTCTTAGATATGGGATATGTAATTGAAGAATCTTGGAGCAGAAAAACAGGCGGTTCCTACTTTTATACTTATCTTGACGTTTTGAATATAAGCCACCAGACACGAGATACGAGAACTGCGCTTACATAAGCGCAACAAATATATCAGCCGCACGGCGGCAGGCATATAGGTTTACTGTCTCGTTGAAGCCTCGAAACTGAAGCTCGAAATATGCAAACTGATGAGAGGCAACATAGCCTCGGCGATATGATAATTAAATTTTGTGCCTGAAAATAATCGTTTCGTGTTGGGTCGTAATCCTACGGATTGTTCGATCCACCGCAGTTTACAAAACCTTCGAAAGCCAACTCCCTTCCTTGGCCAAGAGCCCGACCTTTCAGTTAAACGATTCCCTTCTTTTCAACCACATCGTTGCTCGGAACATTCATTCTGGGCTATGTAATTTAGGAGTGGCACATGACAGATTCGCGGATCGAGAATGATTTTTCGCACCAGCAATATCTGAACTCCAATTCTGTCTTGTCAGAGGATGTATATCAAGTTAGCAAGATTGCAAGATTGCAAGATTTTACCACTAATGTGCTGCTAAAAAAAGTTTTTTATTTAAAAGCGGGCTTCTGTATCAATAGTTGTTTCCACTTTGTGGATGAACTTTGTGGAATACCATCTACGGATTTGAAGAAAAGGAGCATTTCTATGTGCAAGAGTGCATTCTGGGAACTGCGGCTTTAACGATGGGTGTTCTAATGATCACGGGAATAATTCTAAAAGCATGATCTAAGTGGTCGCTCTGCATCAGCTCGGGGTTCAAAACCGAACATGGAGAACCATCACCTAGTGATATATCATTTTTATGGAATTTATTGGATTGTCAAAGCCTACATGGATCACACCCACCATTGAGGAGCCTAAAAAATGTGAATCTGTTCGTTTGATGCCTAGCATAGAAGATTTTATCTATTCAGCCCAACGAATATCACCCCGCTTCTTGTACTGGAGCCCATGTGAATACACACTCAAACTCGGGCTTTTTCGTTTTACAACAAAATTATAAAGTTTGATGTGCTCGTGAAAGAGAACTTCATGTTATGAAAATTCATGAGGATGTGACTTTATATTGCTTATATATAAAAAGTTTCTTTTAGATTTTAAGGAGACACACAACCCCCATGTGTATTGGAAATATAGGTTTTTGGACCTAAATTTTTCTGAGGCTTCGGCATGCTAGTCTCCAGCACTGAATGGCAGTACTAAGTCTTTGGTATGAACTTAATACCCGTCCTTGAACAGCCAGATTGAGTTAAAGAATCAATTTTCACGAACGACTCTGAGATCAATGGACCCTGCATATGGTGGAAGTACCATACCTCCTGCAATGCATTCTCGTGATCACAGTTAAAGTAAACTGAATGACCATCAAAATTCGAGCTAAGAGCTTCAGATATTTGGTCAAAGGTGTAGGTTTGTTCGTTTGAGGGTACAATTCCAGCGTCTGTCAAAAATTGGTACGTGGGGTACTTCTCGAATAAGTTGAAAGCAATCCTGTAGTAATTGTAGACGTTTTCGTCTTTCTTGAAATTACTGCCGTAACAAGCTGGGCTGTTGGTATTGATACATGTTCCATGCTTGTTAAACTCATGTTCCCACAACAGAGTGTCAGGACCATCATAATTTTTCCAAAATGTTTCCATTTTGCTGAGCAATGCTTGATCATTAAACTCAGACCCAATAATAGTTTTGATGTTGGCTGCTTCTATGTTCAACAGATCATTGCAAAACTGGTGATATGTGCCATCGCAGTTATCAGGCCAAAGCCCATGCAATGTAAAACTATCAGAAGGACCAGTAGCCGGATCGTAATCCCAAAATTGAGTTTGAAGAATTACTCCCCCTGGACTCTCGAAACAGCAAGAATCGTCAAATGTAGTCGTACTACACGAGATAGGAGTGTCAATAGGGCACAAAGGAGAACTTTGTATGTTTCTTGAGCAAAACTTACCTTGGACCGATGCAGCTTGAACACTGGCAGCAAGCAAGAATGGCACAGCAAATTTCATTACGTAGTATTTTGGATGTACAGTGGCAAAGAAAAACCAAGAGATGTAAGTCATACTCCAAGGAACTCACTATATACTACACGTTCGGCCACGTGAATTGATCCTATCAAATTTCAATTTGTAGATACATGCAGTGCAGAGGTTAATTGACCTAATAAGGTACTGGGGCTTTCTGAGTTGCTGTCGATATGAGACTGTGCATATAACATTGACAGAGGCAACTTTAGGAGTCCCTACTGAAATAGTGATCAATAGAGGGTATTTGTGGCAGGCGGAATTAGTAGGTCTATGCTTGAGTTAAAGTACTGCAAAGGATTGCTTCTGTCAATTTCCCAGGACTTGATATCGTGCCGCTTTGAGCTATGCAGGCTCCTTGTATTCCCATAAATATCGAGCTGCTAGTAAATTAGGAAAGCCTGAGTGGTAGACTGGTTCTTAAAACCTTTTTGAAAAGGAATAAAGAATAGGGATACAAAAACCAATTTAGTCAGTGTACGTATTCAATTCAAATTTAGGAAAGACGAACGAAGGATTGGAGTCGTGCCGCGCTGGCTCGCGGCTACGTTTATTGATAAGACATGCTCATAACGGTCGCCCCATATTCTGCAGTGATACAACAACGTGAATAAAAGAGTGGACTTTGGATGGGACCTTGAAGAGCTACCCTTCAGCTAATGCAATATAAGACAATTTTTGAAGTCAAGAATGAGGAATACGATTTCTCTCATATTCAAAAATCGAAATTTATCCTTTAGAGATCTATCGGAATGTGAGACTTCTAGGTGACAGTTTCGAGGTCCCACGTGCGACGAATGACAATAACACCACCCCGCAAGAAGGATGCCGGCTATTGTTACACTACCGTGACAATGCCAACAAAACAGAAACCAGAACAATAGTTCCACCAAACTTTTGACTAATGGTTTACCCGACCGTGTTGGACAAAAATGACATGATCACGTGAACAAATTCACATTCGCCGTTTTCTTTGTGCATGGTATCGGTGGGTCGAGACAAAAACCGAAGCAGTCGTCGAAGCGACTGAACAAGTTCATGCTACAAGGCCACATTAAAGGAAAATAGATTCGCAAGCTACTGCCTCAAAGGTGATCTCAAGCTTGATCCAAACTTTTGCAGACGTTTCCTGCATATGTGGGTGCATTTTTTTGTCTCAAGATGAGCATGATGGCTCCCACGGGGCGCACATATAACAAGCTTGTCAATAGCCATGATGGTTTCACACAAATCGGATAATGTCGTCTATGACTCTGAAAGTGGGTCAGAATATGAAGATGTGGTGTACCAGCCACCAAAACACTTTCGGAAGATTGCCTTACCCAACCCACAAGTCTCCACACAAAATAAAGAAGTCTGGTTGATCAACACTCCTAGAGACTTCCCTGTCTCGAAGTTGAAAACTTTACCCGTCTCTTTCACGGCCACCAAAGTCAAAAACGATGGTGTTAAGCCTTTCACGGTACAGAACAGTGACTTCCAGGTTAACGAGGAGCACTTCTCGTCCGACACAGCCAAGTACGCCATCGTCAATGGTGACTTGCTCAATAAAAAGATAGATAGATTCTTCACCATTAGAGAGGTTGTGCGCATTCCCGAAATAAACTATGATGTGATGGTGGAGCCAAGGCAAGATGTCGAGAAGGCAGAAAACTTGAGAATGCGACACTTTGCCACGGGATACGCGGCCAATGACTTTAAAGAAGCACAGCCAATCCCCGAGACTCGGCTTGATGCTGATGGGAAGGTGATCAAGAGACCAAGAACCGAAACCAAGAAGACAGAGCTCAAGGAAGAGAAGAAAGACAAGAAGGAGAAGAAAGACAAGAAAAGGGAGAAAAAGGAAAAGAAAGACAAGAAAAAGAAGAAGGATTAGATCTGAACACCCTTCGAAGAAGCAATTTGCATGTATATTACATAGAGCAGAAATGATCAGATTCTGTTTTCATGACAAACGACCTCGGTTTCGACAACGTAGAAACGCCGTTTGAGGCTTCGATGAAACGCAAAAGACGCCAAAAGAGTTCCGGGAGCCAGATCAGTCTGATCTCTATGATATTTCACTTTCACCCCATATCATTTTTGAATTATATTGTAATTCTCGCGTGCGACATACATACAAATACTCAATGGTAACCACGGCACGCTACCCTTACAATTAGGCACCAGTATCCTGAAAGCGATGATCGATATTATTTCGTCGGTCAGCAGATGAAGCTGTTTTGTTGCGGTATTTCTGCTTATTCATTGGAAAGCCTCAATTTACTTGTCGCGCAGAGGTCGTTTAAGAAACACGCAGTGCACATCTCTACTCTTCACACAGCATACATCAATATGGGTAATAAGGCGTCCAAACCAGCAAGGAAACTCACAGGATCTCTAAGTAATGCAGGTAAAATCAACAACCCATCTTCCCTGCGGATCCAGCTTCCATCCCAGGAGCTAAAAGATAGATTCGAAAACTCTGGTGCAGAACTTGCGCAAGCCAATGAGAAGATGGCGAAATCCAACCATCATACCTCAAACGATCCCGATAGTAACGTGGAACGTGGTACACAAGGTTCTGCCACAGTTGCAAATGGACCTGAGGGTAAGGACGGTATGGATCCGCAAGCTGATCAGAATTACATTAATTTCATCAACAATTTGGGCCGGCAAATCCACTCGCACTCCGAGGGCAATAAAGGGGAAAAAGTCAACGTACGTGCTTTAAAACAACTTTTGAATAGAAAAAACCTTCATAAGAAGGGCCAAGATGAAGTTCAGGCGCAGCTTGAGTCTACATCCACTACAAGGTCGATGGTGCATCCACGCACATTGACTGCCATCATCTACGCATTACATGACCCCCGTGTGTCTCATGATAATGTGATGAAGGACTACCAGCTAAGCCCCGAGTTCTTGAACAACATGGACCGGTTTAAAGTGGCCGAAAATATGGTGGTCATTGAGGACGACATTAAGGAAGACGAGATTGGGCCCAAGTTTGGCCAGCCAGTCTCGCGTGCCGCATCTGATCCCTCGCTCATGAACGAAAACGGCGCTGTGGGCGAGTCCGTGAACAGTGACAGAATGAAGAAGCTTCGGAGTAGATTGGAGTAGGTTCAGAAAATAGAAAGGCGGGCTGTGTTACCAAGACATGTGTTTACAAAAATTACAGAAATACAGGGCTGATAGATTATACTGAGCGTGGCCAAATTTTGGCCTCGGGTGGTTCATAGGCACAGAGGCAAAAGGAAAAGTCCCGAAACACGGAAGCGAGACAAATCAACAAAAAAAAAATATCGGCCATTCGCATACAAATATTATGTTTGTGTCGAGGTGGTATATCTGGCCCTCCATAAATGACGTGGGGGTTGAAGAGGAATTCGACTCGCTTGGCTAAAAGCAGGTCATGTGATCCCCTGCGGTATCTGGATGAACTGCCGGTTGACCGGCTCCTAGACATGTACCATACAGGTCGTACCCCATATCTCAGCCCGTAATTCCCCCCACTTTCAAAGGCGAAGAGGGGGCCAACTGATCATCAGGTTTAACTAAACTAGCACAGTTGAATATCTTAGAGATACAACAACTTTCCTTTTGAACAGACTAAATACATCCTGGTACTTCCAATTTTAATAATCTTCTACTTGGGCGAAATTGTAACATGTCTGTTCGTACTAAATTGACTCAATTCACCTCTTGTGATATTTCCGATGCATTAGTTAATTTTGGCATCAAAAATGGCGGTTTCATTCCGAACCTCGTACAAAGATCCCTAGATGAAAGAGGTCAAAACAACGGACATGTTTCTGTGGTTGGCCTTGCCTATACTGTTTTGTATGCTCCGAAGTCGGATCCGAGACCTGCTGTTTCCCAGTCATATATCGACGAAATCCCTAAAGACGCCGTGCTTGTGCTTGCACTCACTGAGGACCAGCAGCTCGAGACATCGCCTTATGTCACCATCAACAATGCCTTGTATGGAGGTCTCTTGTCTACCAGAGCTCAGTATAGGGAAGCTGCAGGGTCGGTGATTCTTGGACGCATCAGAGATTTGGCAGAGCACCGGAGTCTCGGGTATGCTGTGTGGTCTTATGGTGTGGGCACTACCGCTCCTGGTCCAGTGGTAAAAGTTGTGGGAATCAATGAGACAGTCACCGTGAAACTTGCTGGGATGGATCCGAACGAGCGAATGGTCATACATCCTGGAGACTATATTGTGGCGGACGAAAACGGTGTGGTGAGGATTCCGATCGGTCACACAAGTGGACCAGAAGCTGGAATCAGTCTAAATCAAGTATTGGATTATATTCCCAGAAGAGTAGATGCCGATACACATGTGGGACAAGATATCAAAAATGGTCGTGGAGCAGCGGAGGCTCAGAAATTCTGGAGAGGAAAAATATGAATCGAAGTTAAATATGTACTACTTGCGGCAAAAAGTCGACTTTTGGCCTCATGAAGATCATAATTGTTCAAAATTTATTGCTCGCGATCATACTAAAAGAATAAACTAGGTGTAGAAATAAGAGTTCTTACTATAGTCGAATCAACTTTGTTATAGTGCAAACCAGAAGTTGGATAGTGGTCTCATCTGACCTTCCAAAAGCTAGCTAGTGCGCTGGTGCACGTATACTGCAAATTACCTCTCATTTACCAGCCCTCTGTGCACAAATTTGGATAGGTATACATTCGCCAAGTCATCTACATTATATCAGCTCATTCTCAATTTATATCAAACTTTACAAGGCAAGTGCGCTTCATTGGTGTTATAGGATAAACCTGCTAGTGGCAAATGTTCTCACGCCAAAGACCTCGACTCACTGATGAAAAAAGATGTGATTGGGAACTGATGGATAATAGAAATACTAAATTTATTGTTTCTAATGGATGGCTCCTTTGAATTGCAAAATCTCGAACTCTTGATTGATCGTGATTGTAGGCGAAACTTTTCTACAAAAATAAAAAAATAAAAACCGATTACGTGGGTAAAGCTCACGCCCAGAAAATTTTTCAAGCCTGATTATTAAAGTTGGTTTTCTTCATAGCTCATGAGTTGAAAATAAGCTGGTTTCAATATAATCTTCTCTTCGTGTTTATGTTATGTCAAACCTCAGTGAAAAAACCAACAAATAATATGATCATCAACAATTTTGGTGCGACATTCCTCCCTTGGAAGTAGTTATAGTGAGTACACCAATTGAGAAAGTGTAGCTTCTGTCATTCTGCTCAGTGAACATATATATGGATTATGTTATTATTGCTTCAAGTTATTTATAAATCAAAAGGTACAGCCGGTCCCGAAACAATTCGCCCTGCCCTGTTTTAAGCTAACTGCAGGTCTTGGCAGGTGTGGCGGAACTGCACTTGGTTATCGCTGCGATAGTTGCGCTTTCGATTTCCCCACATACTCTACTCTTATCAGAATTCCCTAGCTCTTTTCCGGAACTTTGCATGTAACCTTTGAACTTCGGAACTAGATACATAATGACCTTGAATTTTGAGACAAACGATGCCCTTAATGATCAGCCCGGAGCATGCCATCTAGATTTGGACGAGAACGGCGGACGTCACCTTATAAATGAACTTAAACTCGCCTTGATTGGAAATCATGAACTCAAAGTCAAGCTTCTTCGGGACAAAACGTTTTGTGCATGGATATTCGAGCACTTGCAGAAATGCGTAGAGACGTTCAAGATGTGTGACCTCACTGCAGACCGAAGCTGGAAAGATAGGGGTATGGTACCAGAATTCCACGAAAAGATTGTTTCACAGTCGGCACCAGTCAGGAACGAAAACAGTTCAGTCGGCGGGCATGAAAAAAAGAACAAAAATCTCTTGGTCTCAGCCTCTGATCCTCTTTCTGATTTGAAAGACGCGATCATTGTTTTACGCTTACTACTAGCTCAGAATTTGAATTCTGCAGAAATGGCAGCCTCTCAGCAGAAAATAGAACCATTTACTGCACTTGACCCATGCGTATCTGCGCTTTTAGCTTTGATAGGACACGTGAGTGGTGGTGTTTTCCCTCAGCTCACGGCCATCCAGCTTTCGTGCAAAAGGGTGATTGTATGGGAGTTCCTATCACCAGTTCTCTGCGATTCCATCCAGGTGCTTATGCTTTTTGCAGAATCTCGTTCTTCAATGCTTCCTCAGAAATGTCTGCATACATTATGGGAGTTTCTCTCGTCATTGTTTGCTCAATTTACCAAGACAAAAGACGCGCCACGAGCTTATGCACCCTTGGTCTTGAAATCCTTCAACCTCCTTCCCTTGCTTCTCGAGCTCGACTCTCATGAAAGCACGAATCGAAAGTTTGACCTAGCTCTGCAGTTTCTCACACAAAACATTAGACATCTAGAATTGCAGCTAGATGAGGTGTTTTCGACCAACTTTCTGGACGGCCCCCGTGCGAATTTGGCAGCTACATCTATATCCACAGTAGGTGTGCCAAATATCCACATGATTCAAAACGATATGACATTTCACATTGCCTCAGCTATGACAATAGCGACTGCCCAAATCCTCAATTTCACAAAGGACGTTGATATTGTGCAGCCCTGTTCACCAGAGTACACTTTCTTAGCGTCCGAGAGATTTCACCAATATTTGCTAAACCTTCTTCATGCCAGCAATCACCCTGTGTTAAATTTTGCTGCGCTTAATTTGTTTGAATTCCGTTTGTTGAATTTGTTGCCGGATGGTGTCTCAGAAAAAAAACAGGCGTGTTTGGTATTTGAAAAAATGTTTCCCCGAATTGTCGAACTATTAAACCACGACGTGCAAACAATGAAGCAAATTCCAGGCTACTTGCGTCTACCCATCACAATTCTTTCTGATCTATGTATCAAATACCCCAAATTCTGTGTCCAGTTGAAAAATACGGGTGTGGACAAACAGATTATGGCTGATCTCGCCACACTCATTGAGTTTAGTCCGGTATTAAGCTTTATTCAGATGGCCAAACGAGCATACAAAGACAGTAAAGGAATAATGGACTTTTCTGCGCTTATAAAACACGTTCGGGGGCTGAAAACAGAGCTTTGGTTGGCACAAAAATCAGAAATCAGCCTAATAGCAAATCATTTGCTTCTTCTAAGTGTGCTTACCAGCTCAAGTGAAGATTTTCGCCGCAGGATTACTTCATTCTCCACCGGTAAAGAGAGCAAGTCAGAACCCAATTTTCTTTGTTTGGCTATTTTTGAAGTCATTGAAAACTACCAATTTATGTGCACCCAACTAATTCTTGGCTACAAAGCCTTTTGGAAATTGCAAGAAGCGCCTTCTTCAGAGCCATCCAACAAACTCCTTGAGTGGCTCGGTGAAAATGTTAGTGTTTTGCTCACTTTGCTTGAACATCCGTTAAACACTAACGCTTTTTACTTGATGAGGTCGCTTTCTAGATCCGTATCTACTTTAAGAACATTCTTTGTTGATTGCAATTCCATCAAGAGCTCTTTTGTCACTTTCGACGCCAACGTGCCGCGCAGTCTGATTTCAAAAAGAAAGGTGAACCAAGGAAATGTTATTTCCGACATAAGCGCCAGATATGATCGGGATTCTACCCCAAATAAGAAAGGCAACTTGATTTCATGCTTGCTCAAAATTATTAGTCGAATGTCGGTAGTCGACCATGTGGTCGATTTCTTTGCATCGACCAAGACTGGACTGTTCGGAAAACAGAGAATAGCAAGAAAGGCTTTATGTGAGAAAAAGATTGTGACTCTTGCTATCCTTGCCAATTTTATTCTTGACTTCAGTTCTTTCAGACATGAAATCGTCAATCATGATAGGATTTTGAGAAATCTAGCTTTGCTTTTCAAGTCTTCGATTCGTAGCAGAAATCAGGGCGAGAAGATCGAGAATTCTGGCAATGAGGTACATGAGATTGCATTCGAACAATTGAAGATTCAAATGGGCATATTGCAGGTGATCAAGAATTATTTATACAACGAAACCGAGGAAAATCGAAGAATGATTTGGGACTTCTTTCCATTATCATTGATTTTCGAATTATCTCTTTATGGTGTGTTTGTCGACACGGAAGCAGATTCGCAACTTCACGAAATAAGGCTCCAGCAAAAAATAATTGCCTTTGAGATATTACGAAATTTGACAGCAGCATCACCATACTTCAGTGAAGCCATTGAAAAACTCTATGTTGAATTCGCCACACGAAATGCAAATTTTCAACCACTCCCGCGTACGTGGAACAAGTACATCTTGGAGAGTTTGTTGTCTTTCGACTTATTTCTGCCATTTAAAAATCTGCGTTCGGATATTGACAAACTTTTCTTGAAAGATGACGAATTTGTTCTTCGTATCGTTCACAAAACAGACTACTTCAAGCTTCTTGTTGCGATTAATTATTTGGAGGACCATAGATATACCAATATTTCTTTCTTGAGGGTATCAGATTTTCCTCAGAGGCCTCTTTTGAGGGTCTGGAAAAGGCTTTTGGAGGTCAAATTGCTGAAGTCTCTTGAAACCAAGCTCTGTGGACTGGACGCAAACGAAATCATTAAACTTGCGAATCACCTCAATGAAGTCAAAATCTCAATCACTTGGATCTTGATCAATCTCACATGGAAAAACGATATCTCCAGTTATCATGCTTTTGAAGGCTCAAACTTTCGTCTGATGGATGTTATTCATACACCGCAGAATAGCGCGTTTTCTATTAGTCAATTTAATCAGTCGGGTATTTCAGTTGGAGATTTCGAAGAACAAGAAGAGGACGATCCAGCAGATTCTTATGATACGGCTGGCGGCTCGCAAAGATCTTCTTTAGACAATGAGATCTCTTTGAAAAAAAGAGCGGAAATACTTTACAAAGCCGGCTTTTGTGAAGTGTTAGAGACGCTTATTGACGATTTGTCACGTCCAAAACCTACTTTCAAACAGAGCAAGTACCTCTCTATCGAGAGATTTGATTCCCTCAACTCAAATGATTTATTCGAGAAGTGTAGAACAGCCCAATCTCAGATTGTTGGATTCATTCCAGCTCTTGATGATAGCGCAACTTCTCATCCTCGCATGCACCTTCCTCAGAATCAGAGCGGGTTGTACCCGCTAAGGAGATTATCTAATATTGCTAGTTCTCGGGAAAGTGTACACAGAGACGTCAGGCAAAGAGGGGATGAATTTGAGTATTGGTCCGATGACGGAAATGAGGACACCCTATCGAGATTACGGGATGAGAGTGTGCGGGCAGCGGCTCGAAGCGAACGAGAGCCCGTTGACGAAGACGATCAGTTTGACGAATATTGGCTTCATTGATAGGAAAGAAAAAGTTTATCTGTGCGACGTGTTATTATTGTCAGATTGAATGATGTAAGGGGGCATCAAAGCCAAAGCTCTCAACCAATGGTATTCTGTGTTTGCTCTTGCTGGCTTTTCCGCACTGCATACCGTGCATATGAAGAAGTTGAGCACGCACAATATGATATAAAATTTGCGAGACTAAAGAATATAAATCCCGGCTTGTAGTGTACGAGCCACATAACCACCCGTGCAACCAGGTTATATTCTGAGACAACTGCAGCAAGTCTAGAAGTATCTGTCTACGAACTGCAACTCCATAGGGGCAGCATGCGTTGGTTTGTGCACGATATATTTCAGTCTATGTAGGATTGTATTCGACAAAGCCTCTGAGCACCCAGGAATGAGAGAACTAAGGGAGGAAAAAATAGGTCAGCGGCGTTTCGTGAATTTTGTGAGTGCAGTCATGCGCTTGTGGCACACCAACGGCTTCAGCCACGACAGCCTGTGCCTTTCGCAATAGATCGTAAAGTCTTTCTTTAATTGAAGAAGATATCAAGCGTAAAGAGGAGGAAGAATTGACGTTTTAAAACCATTGTAAAAGCCGTACCATGTTCTCTTTCCTTCGCTTTGCGGGACCACTATCTGAATTGCGCTATATACTTGCACTGGATAAATGATCCTCCGCACGCCTCCGCGGGCTGGACAGATAAGACGAAAGTGGTGTCAAACGTCGAGTCTGGGCGCAATCATAAAAATCAGGGGCCTAACTGAAATTGAAAATTCAAATCCTCACAATCTTCTGTGAAATTGTTTTCCGGCTTCGAACACTCCTTGTGAGATTCAATGGAGAAACCTTGCCTTGAGAGAATCGCCGAGCGAGAGAAAATTGCTGAACTGGATACGGAATTTTGCCTGCATGCGCGCTGGCTCGTCCGTGCAAGAAAGTCCCTTGCTTTGAACAATTGTGTTTTTCCCTAGACAAAGAGCTTCATCTCTCTCAGCTTTCGAGACAATTTTCACCACAATTTGTGCCAGAATCCAGAGGAACCCACACAACGGACGTTGTGATCTGCCCTGAATTTTTGTCTGTTGTTGGAGATTAGATTGTACTTCTAGAACCACCTTTGCCAGTGTTCTCCAAACTGCGCCATCTTTGCTACCAGAGGCCAAACACCAGCTAGCAATTAAGACCACATAAGTTGTCCAATCTTCTGTTCTAAACATTAATTAGTCTAAGAGACACATCCGGACGGCTCATTCTCGCATCATTAGCGGAAACTTCTCAAAACAACTAGAACAAACAAAATTCAATAGTGACGGTGCCTTCGGATTTTGTTACAGAATGAACACATCTACACCTATATCTGCTGATGCAAGCGCAACAGCTGCAGACGTCGCCAGCAAAACTTCCAAACTCAACAACAGAGATACCACAACTAAAGGCAAATATTCGCTAAACGACTTCCAGATCTTGCGGACTTTGGGCACAGGTTCTTTTGGCCGTGTACACTTAGCCCGGTCCGTGCACAATGGGCGTTTTTATGCAATGAAGACTTTGAAGAAGCAGAGAGTAGTACACATGAAGCAGGTGGAACATACTAACGACGAGCGTCGGATGTTAAAGTTGGCACAGCACCCGTTCATAATTCGTATGTGGGGCACGTTTCAGGATTGCCACAATTTGTTCATGATCATGGATTACATAGAAGGCGGCGAGCTTTTCACGTTGTTACGGAAATCGCAGCGGTTTCCTATTCCTGTGGCCAAATTCTACGCAGCAGAGGTTTTCCTAGCTATCGAGTATTTGCACGACCTCGATATCATATACAGAGACTTGAAGCCAGAAAACATCTTGTTGGATAAAAACGGACATATCAAGTTGACGGATTTCGGATTCGCAAAAGAGGTCACCGACGTCACCTATACTTTGTGTGGAACCCCTGATTACATTGCACCCGAGGTTGTTGCCACTAAGCCTTATAACAAATCCGTTGACTGGTGGTCTTTCGGAATCTTGATTTTTGAGATGCTCACGGGATATACTCCGTTCTACGACCCCACGCCCATGAAAACATACGAGAACATTTTAAATGGGACGATAACATACCCTGATTACTTACCACCAGACATTCTTGACTTGCTTCAAAAGTTGATTGTAAAGGACTTAACCCAAAGGTTGGGGAATTTGCAAAATGGCTCTGAGGATGTCAAGTCTCACCCATGGTTCAAGGAAGTTATTTGGGAGCGCTTGCTATCGAGAGATATCGAAACACCTTATGAACCGCCAATTACCTCTGGCGTTGGTGATACTTCTCAATTTGACAGATACCCTGAGGATAAAGACTTGGACTATGGAATCACCGGAGTCGAAGATCCATATGCGGATACGTTTACAGAGTTTTAGACATGTCTGAGACCTATTGAGAACTCTGCGTAATTTCCCTCAACTGCATTCAATTCCAATCCACCTTGCTATTCACGTCTAATTACCTACTCCGGTTTCCAGTTTGCCCCAGACGGCAATCCGCTTCGTGTCTTCCCACAAGTCTACTTCTGAAATGCTTCCGATAAATCAGTCTAAATATTGTACGGACTTGCATTCAATTTTTCATAAACTAATTAATATACCATTAGTAGTCCAAATAGTGTTTTCCACCGTGCGACAAAAAGGCACATATGTTCAGCTCAGTCGCCGCAACTTTCAGCAGAGGCAAGCCAGTCACTCTTGAGAAAGTCGCCCGCGTCAAACCTTTTTGCCGGGTCTATATCGAGAAGCTTATAGGTGCAATACTTGCGCAAATCAAAGTCGCCCGCTTCAAACCCATCAACATCATCGTCATACTTCGGATCCAGAAAATTCAACGGTATATCGAACATAGTTTCTATTGGAATGAACTTCCCGTGTTTGCGCACCGACCACTCTTTGCTCTTGTTATCATAATCGGAGAGCATGGCGTTTTTGACGTATTCCCCAAATACAGCATCCTTATATTTAGCCAACTTGAGGGACTTTGGCTCGGTAGTTTGCCATAGGTAGGCTGCGCCATATGTCTTCGTTTCGGACTCGCCCGCCTTGGTATCGTAGAATTCTAGCTGGAACTGGTTACCGCTACTCTTATAGAAGAAAGATCTCCGGATATTAAAGAGGATGAGCACAATAACTCCCAAAGCCCAGCAGTCCTTCTTCAAGAGTGAAATGCCTCTACTTGATTTTGTGTGCTCTTCTGGGGCCATGTAAGGCTCACTGCCAATTGGCACGTTTGAAGTGGAGAGTTGCTCCTGGCTATCCCAATGCGTGCGTACAACACTGGATTTACCGAAGTCAGAGATTTTTAGATTAAGGCGACAGCGTCTCTTCCCATTCACCAGCCGCATGGAATGCGGGTCGTTCTCCAAGAGAATGTTTTCAAGTTTCAAGTCGCAGTGGGCTACGCCATGGCTATGAATGTACCAGAGACCCTTAGTGATTTGTTTCACCATGCAGTCGATTTCATCGATGGATAAGTACTCGTGGGTGGTGATCGACTTTTTGCAGTAGTGAAAGAGGTCACCACCGCTAGTGCAGTCCATGACCTGGGAGATCCGCACCTCGTCGTGGAAGTCACAGGTAGAAAGCCGGCTTTTTTCCGGTAGCGTAATCATCAAGTCAAGCGTACGCACCACGTGCTTATTGTTGAGAGTGGACGAGAGAATGAACTCGGAAATAACCCGCTCAATAAACTGGTCTCGCGTCTCTGCTGCCCTTGTGCTGGTCTGGGGTCTTCTCTGGAGCTCCTTGACGGCATAAGCACGTTTGACTCTGCCCGAGACGCCCTGCTCCTCGCCAGAGTCTACTATCCGTGTCACACCGTACGCACCCCGTCCTATTATATCCTTGATACTGCCGTAGCGAGCTAATAGCGTCTTGTTGTTCTGCAACAAGTCGTACGGCGATGTGGTCGTTCCAGAGGTATCGAGAAACCGGCTGATCAGGTTCTTCAACAGCGTGAGCAATTCTAGCTGGTGCTTGCCTATGACCGAGTCGTGGAACCGCGGATCCGCCTGGCGCATTGTAGGTGAAAGCCGGTGGATCTTGAGGCCGCTTGCCAATAGCAGGAACGTGCGTCCCAGCACTTCGTTGGCAAACTTCTTGAGCGACTCCTTGTTCACCAGAGAGCCGAGCCCACAGTAGCCCATTAGCGCCGAAAGCTGCGACACGCTGTGGAGCCTATCTCGCTCGAGGACCACGTGTAAATGTTCCTCGTAGTCTTCGTCATCTGTGCTGTCTGTGTCGGGAGAGTGCAGCGCAGAGTGTCCATACAGCAGCATGCTTCTGTCGTCATAATCATCCTTCTCGAAGTCTGCGAAATGTGCGTCGTCCACCACTGTACTGACGCGTTTTTTCTGTGGATGTGAGTTGAGCTCCGGGTTTTGCGGCACGAGCAAACTCTGGGGAAGAACGCTGGCCGAGAGACTACTGGGTTCTGGTGTATGAAGCGGAGATTGTGGCGACGGGGACTTTCGAGCCGGTTTTCCAGAGTGCTTCACCACTTCTTCTGGGGAGGTTTCTGGAGAAACGGCAGGTTTTTTGGCCGTAAACTTCCGGGAAAAAAATCCCATTTCTTGGGTCGGAAGGTTTGATCTTACCGTGTTCTGGCGGACTTAGGAGAGACAAGAATGGGTTCTTCCGGTTGCGCATGTGTCGTTGGAATGTACAGGATTTACATTCGTAGTACGGGGAAGCGGTATGTCCTCCAGCCGCTTGGACAGAAAAAAAAATCCTTAATCGGACTTGTGGAACTAGAGTCTGGCTACTTGCAAGCAAACAAGGAAATATGCCATGAAAAAGCCATTTTTTGTGTGCTGGAAGAGAAAGCGTGGAAAGGATGTAAAAGATACAATACATGACGGACGAACTGTCGGATCTCGCCATCTGCTGCTCGCATCTAAGCGAGACAGGAGACATCTAAGCGAACCAGGGGAATATAAGGATATCACTTCACTGGTAGACATCAAGATCAGAGTCAAGTGTGAAAGCGTGGGCGCGGTGACCAAGACGTCTTATCAAAAACAGGACTAAGCGAAGGCCTGAACTCTGCCTGGCTCGCGGAAAGAAGTGCGGTACAAGCAATAGTGGCGCAGGACCCTTTGATTACACTGTTGCTTTCCACGGTTGCAATGATGGATTTGATGGATTTTTGATCGATTGAACGTGGCCGAGATTGCTGGATCCAACCAGCAGATAAGTCATGGAATTGTCTCGAGATGGCAACAAAAGAGAATGTCTGTTTTGGGCGTTTTTGTCGGAGGTGCGGACGGCCCAATGCGCGACGCCGTCAGTCCAAAGCATCACCTCGAGCACTGTCCATTCCAGCAATCCAAGAAGCTTTATATTTGTCGTGTCATGCCGACAAACGCATGATTAAATTGACCCAACCCCGCACTCGGACAAATACAGACGGAAATTGTACCTCAGGCGCGAAGCCGTGGTTAGGGCCACTGAAATAAATTGCTTCAGCAACTGTCTTACTTTCCCATGGCTACATCCAATCCCCTGCGCATTGACAACACGGTGTCCTGCACGCAATTTTCAGCAAATCGGCCATCGCCCTTTGAGAAAAACGAGGTCGAGGGGGCCGTCTCAGCTACATACTGGAGGTGAGTGAAACGCCATTATTGTTTGCACGGACATCCGGATCCATGGTGCGTCCTCCGCAGTGCTGGGCCCGTGGGACCAAACGAGCCATGCAGGCCGCGCCTGTTGCGCCGCGGCGTTCGTGGGTGCGGGTGCGCCTTTGATATGAAACAGGCCCCTACCGGAAGCCCAATACTGGATACACTGGCCCCATGGCCTTGGCACCCTGGACTTTCCAAAGCCCCGGCAGTAGAAAAGGCGCCGCTCGTAGAAAATGCCATCCATACAGAACACGCCCACATGTGGCGTTTTCTCTGTTTTCGCCTGGAGGTATTGTCGACTAATTTTGCCATCGGCAAGCAGCCAGGTTTCACGGCGCCTGGTATTAGCCGAGTGGCCCAAGCCCTGATGCAGAGCTTCTCGCAGACGTGGCCATTTCGACAAGACCGCTGGACCCATCACGTGCAAAAAGACACGAGGCCAAACGGCCCCAGGCCTTCGGAGTGCATGCGCCTTGTTTTCCAGGAAATGTGCTGTTTGCATTCCGTGCGTTCTTCTTTCCCGGGTTTGTTCCGTCCCCTTTTTCTCGTGTCCACGCTCGGTGCAAGACGCGACCTGCGGGTCCATGTCCCTGAGGCTTTGAGAAGGCCATTGTGTTTTGCATAATTCCAAAAGCGCCCCGCCGGGGGCCCAGTCGGGCGACGCAGGCTAACGTCCAAAACACGTTCTTGCCGAACCACACAACTTTTCCCGGTTCTGACTGCCGAGTGCCCGAAGCCCGGCAAATTGCAAATTGGTGCTGCGCCCGACACGTCTCGACATTTTTTATTTTTTCTCTCGCTTTTTCGCGGCTTAGATCCACCACGTTCCGCCACAGACCCTGATCGCCAGTGGAAGTCCCATTATTGAGCCCAGCACCAGGCCAGCACGCAAAAAAAAAAAGCAGAGCTTGCTGCCAGAGCCAGTGTGACCCACACGAGTACACTCACACTCTCCTCGTGAAAACCCCGCCCATCCAGCGTCCTCCCCCCGGCATCATTTGCCCATTGTTTCAGCGTGTTCCCCACGCCTCCACGTCGGTCCTCCATTTCACGCCATGGCCACGATTCTGAACAAGGATATCCGGGGCCACCGCCGCGCACCGCCGCCGCCGGGCATGGTGCACAAGGATTCCGACACCATCAAATTCACGTCGGCCCGCAAGCTCAGTGGCTGGGTCTACTTGAAAGACGACGGCATATTCACGTCGTTCCGGTGGAACAAACGGTACATGTCGATCGGCGACCGGGCGTTGAATTTCTTCAAGACGGAGCCCTCGGAAACCGCGAACCTGGAGTTCGACTTGCTGTTCCCGTTGAACTTGATCGGCTCCATCAACATCAAGCCGAATCTGGGCTACAACAAGACCTCGCAGACCATGGAGATCGTGCCCAAAAACGGCACCAAGCCGCTCTTGGTCTCCATCAAGACCCACCGCGACTACTTGGACTGGCTCGATGCCTTCACCACCAAGTGCCCGTTGGTGACCATCAACCAGCACGGCGCGTTTGCCATGGGCAATCTGGGGGTGTCCAGTCCCATCAACTTCACCCACAAAGTCCACGTGGGCTTTGACCCGGAGAGCGGAAACTTCACCGGCTTGCCCGACGCGTGGAAGTCCATGCTCCAGCACTCCAAAATCACTAACGAGGACTGGAAAAAAGACCCCGTGGCTGTGATTGAGGTGCTCGAATTCTACTCGGACATCAATGGGTCCAACGCAACCACTCCCCTGGCGTCTCCGGCGCTTGGTGCAGGGGAGCAACCGAAGATGAACTTACAGGACTGGACGAAGCATCCAACGGCAAAACTGGCGACCCAAGACCCCAAGTATGATTTGCGCCCGACCAGAGCTGCACCAAAACCCCCGGCGCCGTTTCACACAACTCTGAGCCTGCTGCAAAAGCCTGGTGTGTCTCCGCTTAACAACTTAATGAATGCAGGGCTGGGCTCCAAGAGCCAGGACTTGCTCCCCGAAAGACGAGCCCCGCCACCACCGGGGCAACAGACGCATACAAGCTCCCAAAGTTCGCAGCCATTCAAGCCCATGAATCAACCTGTGGCGTCGCTGTCCAGTCAATACCCCAAATATCCTCAGCAAACAACCAAGTCTGGTTCATACAAGGCAGGCATTTCTCACAATCAAACCCAGCCTTTGAGAAACTCAACATTGGGCGGTGGCACATACACTCAGGTGCCCAAGACTTCACCTCCAAAGTTGCCTCTTAATGCACAACCTACCGCGAAGGCCCACTCTGAAAACATCAAGCAAACCTTGGCCAAAATGGATTCGCTGTCGGCAAAAACCGATGACAGCCTCACACTAAAGAGTCTCAAGTTGAAGCCCCTGAAACCTGATTTGAAGCCTGCCTCGAAGCCTGAGCCAAAAACAGCCGCCACGCTGCAGAAGTCTGCCAAGCAGATAAAGAAGGAAAAGGAGCAGCTCAGTGACCAACAGGTGATTGCAAAATTAAAGACTGTGGTCAATAGTGATGACCCTTCATCCCTCTTCCGAATCATACTGAAAGCTGGTCAAGGTGCTTCGGGTGAAGTCTATTTGGCAGAGTCTCTCATTCCTGGCCAAAACGGTAGGAAGGTTGCCATCAAGCAGATGGATCTCCAAGCGCAACCCAGAAAGGAGTTGATCATCAATGAGATTCTTGTCATGAAAGACTCCCGACACGATAATATCGTAAACTTTCTTGATTCATATTTGCGAGAAAGCAATGATTTGTTAGTGATCATGGAGTACATGGAGGGGGGCTCTTTGACTGAGGTTATTGAGAACAACGAGTGCAAGTTGAACGAAAGGCAGATTGCGACCATTTGCCACGAGACTCTTAAAGGCCTACAATTTTTGCACAAGAAGCACATCATTCACAGAGACATCAAATCTGACAATGTGCTTCTCAGCGCTGGGGGAAACGTCAAAATTACTGATTTTGGATTCTGCGCGAAATTGACTGATCAGAGGTCCAAACGCGCCACTATGGTGGGAACTCCTTATTGGATGGCCCCCGAAGTGGTGAAGCAGAAGGAGTACGACGAGAAGGTAGATGTTTGGTCGTTGGGGATCATGACCATTGAGATGATAGAGGGTGAGCCTCCTTACTTGAACGAAGAGCCTTTGAAAGCTTTGTACCTCATTGCGACCAATGGCACACCAAAGCTTAAGAAGCCCGAGTTGCTCAGCAACTCAATCAAAAAGTTCTTGTCCATCTGTCTTTGCGTTGACGTGAAGTACAGAGCTTCCACCGACGAGCTCCTTGAACACTCATTTATCCAATACAAGAGTGGCCAGGTGAGCGAGTTGGCTCCATTGTTAGAGTGGAAAAACAACCAGCAGAGCTAAATCAAAAGTGATACTTTCGAAAGGTCTGCTTTATATTTAATTAAAAAACAGTCTATATGAGATCAACTATTATTCTGCACGAAACCAGTTACATAGAAGCAGCTACTCATAGATCTCATGGTGTTCGTGTTCAACATCCTCTGCATGGCCTTCGAGTCTTGGTGCCGCAACTCCCAAAGGACTAGCTGTAGGAAGCGTATCCCATCTTTGTTGTGGGAAGTGAGGGTACGATGGTACATTGCTGAAAGCGAATGGTAACTGTGGTGCTTGTCGTGAGACTTGAAGTCCAAACGCACGATTGTTCAACGTCGGTGGAACTGACGGTGCCAGAAAAGGCTCGTACCCACTATCTGCGTGCTCGTGTGAAACAGGGTGCGCCATAGGAGGGGGCACATTGCGAAACATTTCAGGTCCATAATGACTGGTGTCATAAACAGGAGTTCCAGAAAACGGGGAAGAAATTGGAACCTCTGGCCGAAAGTCTCTGTACCCGCCGCCAAAATTGGGATGTTGCAATGGCGAAGGTACATAGTTCTGAACGAGATACGGTTGTCTTGGAGGTTGCGCAGAATGCTCATCAGGAGCCAAGTTTTCGGTTGAGGAATAGTGAGAATCTGGCGCATCTGTCTGGAGCGATCTGCTTCTTTTTTTCGGGGGCTCCTCATAAGGAAGCTTGCGGGTATAGTAATCACTGTCGGGAAAGAAGTGATGCTCATTGCCAGGAAAAGTGGTCAGCAGAGACCTCAGTGGGGCAGTCATTGGAGCAGGTAATGGAGCGCCAAATGGAGCCCGAGACAGAGCAGACACAGGTGCACTTGATGGTACGGATTTCAAAGAGTCAATGGAATACACCGACGAGTATCTGCGGGGAAGCTCATGTACGGACTGACCGCGGGATTCCGGATGAATCACCAGCAGTAGCCTCCGGTCATTGCCATTTGCAGGTGTCATGTTTTGTAGCTGATACTTGCTGTCCAAGTAAAAATTGGCCTCGCCCTCCGACAAGAGCTTCCCCCCAAGAGATGATCTCCTCATGGCCAGCCATAAGGTAGGAGCAATCACTTGGTTCTTTAGCTCTGTCTGGAAGGGGCGAATCAAGTTCCCTGCCAATACATCGAACGCACTGAAGTACGATATGAGATGGATCGTTTTCGTCAGGCCCGAGTCAGACTCATACGGAGGGATCGTAAGAGTGAGCGTCTTTTTCATCAACCCGCGATCTTGAGCAACTGGGATGGTTGTGCCCGAAGATGATGGAGGCGTGGGTCCGTTAAGGATGAAATTCGGATACATATCCTGGTTCTCCGAATGATGTGGATCGATATTATCATAGTGCGAATGCAAGTCGTTTGGGGCCAGCGAAGGTGGATACGCCTGTTCCCTCTTGATGACGTCGACCTCTCCAACGTATTGAGCGTCCTTGGACCCTTTCCTCCTGCCACTTCGGGACGCCTTCTTTTTATCATCCTTACTCAATAGAGCGTTCCGGTCAAGTCTGCGATAAATCAAGAAACGGCCCAAAATCCGGGATGCCGACCAGGCTATGCCGTCCGTCCACCTCTTGATGTCGGAGGATTCTTCGATGAACACAAACACGTTTCCCAGGCGTATAAGTTCAGGCCGTTCTCTATCTAGCGGCCTGCGCTGAACTAAAGGAAGCTTTTGATCAAGAGCAGCTTCAATCACACATAAAGCATCTTCATTGGAGAGGATATATCCGTGGAATGTTGGCTCTAACAGGGACATCTGGAAACGTGGAGAATAGATACAATGGGAAGGTTTGATAGATTAGCTGATCGAGCTTTGTAGATCGTGACTTAAAAGACAGCAAGATACTTTGTGGTGAAGGGAAAATCCAATATCTTTAGCTCCGCACAATGAATTACTCTTCAGCTGAGACTTTTGAATGCTTGCTAATTCCAAAAGTTGGGAATTAAAATAAGATGTGTTAGTCGTGAGCTTAAGGAATATGCATGCGTATATGATAGCGATGTATGACCTATTAAATGATTTTCATGTAATCAAAGTATTCGCAGGCGATTTGAAAGCTGTGTCAACCTTGGGGAGTATGACAGAGGTTATCAAAGTAGGAAAGTCCGCTTGAAAACTGATGGGCCCTTTAAAAGATTTGGGGTTATTGCAACGCAAAAGAGGGCAAGTCGAAATAGAACAAATAATAAGCTTCAGAATGCCCGACAGATATGAAGAGCTAAATAGAAAACGGCCAGCACCACATGTGGAGGACGAGACCAATATTGTACATCCGGGGAGTAATGCATATGCCGGGCTTCCCCGAATCACGTAATTGCGGCGGAACTCAGCAATCTAAGGCGGGCCAAGCACATGCACAATCGGCACATGCAGCAGGACAATAGACCCAAGTTCCACCTTCTTGGAACACAAGCCATCCTAGATACCAGCATGTATTTACTTTTGAGAGCATTTATTTTTCTTCTCTGTTTTCTCAAGTATCAAAAGGTAAAAATAGTCAGGTTATGTGGGCGGGTCACTCAGGCGGCATTGATGCCCCCCATATGGGGCGCTGCTGCACTTTGGGAGACATGGCCATACAGGACTGGGGCCGCCCTGAAGTTCGGCATGAAACAGCCGCATCAGAGATTTATCTGCACAGTTTAAGCGCAAATATCGGGGGTGAGATTTTACCCCCTGTATGAAGGCTGCCACTCAGGAATGATGTCACTACCCAGGCATTTCCATTGGACAAACCCGCAGATGTATATTCTGCATGGTGAGCCCACTATTGACAATGCGCACTCTCGCATGGGATCGGGACTTCACTCAGATTGCCGCGGCAGTTCTGTGGGCCGAGACTTGCTGTTTCAGGAAATACCACCGGCAGATAGCTTACATCAGCCATACTAGGGCTTGCTGACTTTCGGAATCCCGCGATTTCACTCCGTTTTCCCCGCCGAAATTTTGTCCGCCCACCCACAAAAAGTTTCTGCTGTCTCGTACCTCTTCTACATTTCAGTACATGCCAAGGAATCCGTTGCAAGTACTCTCACTACCGCAAAGCTTAGTATTGGACTTGTAGAATCCCTAGGAGCTTTACTAGTACGTATTGCTTAAGACTAAACTTAGCTCTCATATTCCATAAGCGTAGAAGAGGCTTAAGGAAGGCCTCGTAAGGTTTCTCCCGAAATTCTAAATTTCGGAAATAAAACCCCCGACTACATTTTCTCTAAGAATGAGACGTGCATGAGGCCTTCCGTGCCAGGAAAAAACCTGTACCTAACGAAAGTGAAAATCTTACCTCCAGAAAATTGCAAGGCTTCATTGATACGCCTTACCACAGCTGGCTTTTAATTGAACGGAAATTTGTGACTAAGATAGACGTACGTGGTAAAATACACTACAATGGTCCCAAAAATTGACAAGAATATCAAAATACACACAAAGGGGATTTGTTGAGATCTGAATACATCACCATGACCAGATTGTTTTGAAGCCCCCAATATCAGCCAACTTGTAGTTTTTTCTTGGTTCAAACGATGGACTAGTTTAATACGTGTGAAGTACAGAATGCAATAAAATGCAGTCCGCGCATTGCCGTCTACAAGTGGGCTTACCCATGATTTTTGGAATAAACAGATTAATTTTGCTGTTGGCTCAGCCCGAACAATAACTGGCATTTCTCTCGCGCTAAATAATTTCATGCTTTGTGAACAGAAACGAAACTAGATGAAACACATGCGCGCGCTGCTTCCTGCCGTGCTGCAATATGGACAAAATGCTGCGGTCGGGAAGCGCCTCGGGACGTCGCGGCACATTCCGGGATTGGCCCTTCAAACAGCCTCTTTGAAAATTTGCTCACATAAAATTTTTACCTCAAAGCAGTAAAAGTTCTAGGCGAGAAGTAAGAGTCTTTTCAGCATTACGAATTATGTATCTGTGTTGCAGTGGAGCCCAGTAAAAGGCCGTCTGTCTCCATCTTCTTGGCAAGCGTATTCTCCACAGATTGCATTACTTTATTTACAAACATCTGAGTTTGACTCGGACCGGATATGTCTGTGCACTCGGATCGCCAGCAGCGAGTGTAGGGGGCTTCTCGTGGCTTGGTCTAAACTTTATTGGTCAAATCATAAAAAGTCTTTCGCGCTAGCGTGTACAATAAACTCCCGTCTAAACATGCCGTATTAATTTTGGTATTTCCGCCAAGAGTCGCCGCATCACGGAAGTCGCATGAGCATCCTCCCAAGTTGTCGCGGAAGACGTATCTCTTGGCCCTGCATCCAATGATCTCGCATACAATGGTGCGTCCTGGGTCAGAAGGACGTATCGTAATTCAGTTCTCCAAATATGCTCGTGGTCTTTCCCTTTCGTTTCTCAGGACCTCTCTAAGTGAGGCCGAAGAATCATCCAAGGCTAGAGAAAAAACAAGTGCTGATTCATTGGAGACGCTCCTGCATGCAGAAGCGACAACTCCGTTGTGCTTGAGGCGCCTGAAGTGTTGAACTTAATCTCTCGAATATCGAACACCCAGGGGCATAATCTCGCTTAAAGCTGTAGTTTACTGTGAGCAACTTCCGATCTTTGAATTTTTCCGATCAAGAAGCTCTTGAGTATTATGATCGAATGTTCCTTGCATCAAATGATCTCTCTAACCCTTCGCTGGTGGCGCCCGGTATACCCATGAGGCAAGACGTCCTGACGGTGATATATACCAGTGTGACACCGCCACCTGGTTCTCGTTTTTCCTGATTTTCGGGATAATATGGTCGTATATATACGACAACTTGTAGGCAATCTTGAAATCGAATTCGATTTTTACAAAATGCTTCGCTGTTTTGCCCCCGACATCTCGTAGGTGAAAGCCAACGCTGAGAGCACCCGAAGAAGTTAGAATTATGCACGGTGAGGCGAAAGAATGCATATCTTTAATTTTTTTCTCAACGTAACTACTTGCCATCACCATTTTGTTTTGTCAGGCATCACTAAACACATTGCCAAAGTTGCCATGAAGGGAGCACAGACGGAGAAGGCATTGAATAGGGTATGAAGGATTTCCGAGTTTTTTCTTCATGTGAAAGAGCTATATCATGTCAACACGAGAGTTTACAAATAAAACTCCTTGAACGCATGCGGTGGGGCCATTCTTCGGGTGGCTTTACCACGGACGCTGAACATACATCGAGCTAAAAGACAGTAGGACGTGGGCGGCAAGGTGAGCTACAACGTTTGTGGTGCAAATTTACAGCCTAGATTCATTTGATCGGTAATCCTAGATGCTGTCCTTTGCCAATCATCTCGAGCCTTTGTTCGACTTCTTTGCTGAGGAAATGCGTCGGTTGGATTCTCGCGTCTATAGCTCGAGACAGTTTCTAATAAAGTAAAAGAAACGAAACATGCCAAATAAGTACCTTAAGGTTTCGGCACCGTTTGGAATAGGCTTCTATTATGCTACTATACAGACCCAAATTGTCAGGCCTCTTCCAAAGTTTCTAAGGCTGGCACAATTCAGATTCAGATTGCCACTTCCACTTTGACAAGTTCCCTCGGCATTGTATTCGCAAGAAACACCCCACTGTCCGCATTAGTAGTTCTGGTGCGTAGACCAACGCGCATCTGCGCCGTACTCCCAGAAGGCGCAACCTTAAACGAAGCCACTGCAAGGGTTCCACTACAGTCTGCCCCATGGGCGCCGTGTCTAATTCTGAATTATATTCAAATACGAAACCAAAGGCGAGAGGCTCGGAACGCCAAAAGTACCCTGCTTTTTATTTTGTCTGCCGTCTCTCCAGTAGTATCGTTGGTTTAGTGCGTTGCTGTCTGTGGGCCTTTCGCACCGCCAATAATAACAAAGATCCGGCGCCGCTAGCATCTTTGTATGCACCCCCAGGCCCTGGCTCGCCCCCACAGTCATGGGCCAAGCTATTTTAAATGTCGTCTTCGGCAGACAGCAAACGGAAGACACTGTGTCTGCTTTCCACTTTTTTGCCTAGTGGCAGGATTTTGCCATATGATCTCTGGAAGCAGGTGGCCCTTGATTGCAGAGCCGTTCGTGCGGCCCGCGAAGCCCGCCATATTTCCGTCTCTGTTTACCCCTTTTCTTCGCATTGCCTCACGCCCATTTGCGGTTCCAGTTTATCAGTGCGCATATTGCGCCTCCTCCCTATAGCATATCGGCCCCATGCAAATCATCCCGCACGCGACGCCCCAATCAGTTGTTCATCTGCTCTTAGATTGTGCCATACCACCTCTTTTCTCTACACCCCACGAGCTCGCCGGTCGGTTCTAAGGTACAACTTTGAAGCACGAATCCTTCACATACAGCTGAGTGCCGCCGTCGCCCATCTGCGTTTTTCCCATCACTCTAGTGCCACTACCCCACACTCCATTCCACTAACGAGATCCGCCCACTGCATCTGATGACCGAGATCCGCAAACATGATTCTCTTCCCCCTTACCGCTCGCTCGTGAACCCGAGTCTTACGTATGACTACCAAACACACCGTGTGATTCATCTTTCGCCGCTGGAAATCAAGGATATCGTTGCGCGTTTCCAGTCGACCCAGCTGCAGAAGCCGAAGACGGCCCTTCAAATGAAGTACCGCAGTTTGCTTTCGGACGTGTCTATGAAAGCGCTGAGAATCACGCGGAAAGTGCTGAGCCTAAAAAATGGGCATCTACATATGGGCGCCCCTCCGGGCCGCGCTTCGGGCCGCACAAATCTAACTTTCCAGCTGCTTCCGCCAGAAATCCTCGTCACCATCTTCACCTACGTCGATGACCGCGACTCGTACCGCAACTGCTTGTATACGAGCAAGAGCTTCTATCAGCTAGCAAAGCCATTTGTGTATCGCCACGTGTGTTTCACATCCACCTATCGATACGCTCAATTCATAACTTGTCTCCGACTTAATAGTGCTCTTGGCTCGTTTGTCTTGGACGTTGACTTGTCCCAACTCCGCGCCGGAAACGCGGACGTAGACCCGGCCGTCGAAGAAAACTTTCACGCAGCGTCGCCGTCGCAGAACTCTGAAGATATCAACGCATATTTATCGCAAGTCTTGGCCGGATGGAGAGACTGGAAGTTCAAAACCAACCTCTATGCTCTCCACCACGTGGCTGTTCCCATGTCGAAGTCTTGCACCAATCTCGTATCCGCGGCGCGATCCCAAAATGGAACAAAACACACGAAGCTCTCCCGGTATTTCAAAAGAAGAAAATCCCAGTCGAACGTGAATGTCCCGGATGTGTCTACATTAAAGCTCAACACCACATCGAGGCAAACGACACCAGGCGCCGCAAGACCACACCCGACGATGAACAGGTTTCTACTCAACCATGCATCGTCCAAAGACCTCCCTGTTGGGTACATTCTTCACTTAATCAACTTATGTCCCAACTTGGCATCTTTGAATTTGGCCAGCCTTTCTTTATCGACAGATTATAGAGTGAAGAGGGCATTCCAGTCGCGCTATCAAAGTTATGACCTTATGAATAACTACAGTAAGGACATGCTCAAGATTGTGGAGTCTTTGGGTCCTTCAACGCTGTCTACGGACCATCCCGCTCATCAATCCATCTTGAAGTCTTCTTTGGCCGGGATCACCTCATCTGCATCTTCCATCTTTTCTTTTGGAACATTTAACACGCCTGTTCCAAAATACAACAGTTTGCTTCCACCCGTCAACTTGGTTGCGCCAGATATTCAGTACGGCAACAAGGGCGATGGCCGCGTGTTCTTGAGTGATTTGAGCTTGAAATCAATCAATACATCCCACTTGGAGATGATTCAGCAAAAAGAGGTTTTCCAGTGCTTGCAAAAGCGTCAGCCAACTTTGCACTATCTCAACATGTCCTCCATGATATGGGTCAACCTCAAGCTCATTCAGGAGTATTTGACTACCGTATTTGGCTCTGACCTTCGAGAAGTGAACATAGATGGCAAAAAAATCACGCTTTTTCGAGGCAAGAAGTACGAGGTCGGTGAAGTTATTGTGGATGGTGACGCGCGTGACGGGGAGTCGAAAAGCTTTCGGAACAAAATCATCGACATCAGGAACTCAGGGATGAACAAGAACTTGCCTTGGGCCCAAATCATCAACACGGGTACCCGGGTTGGCGAGAGGCTTGTCTACCGTATTCTCAACAATGAGCTCGTTAGCGTCGATGAAGAAAACTCCGCTCGAGAAAGGAACAGAAGAGGAAGGGTGGGAGAAAACTATTTATTGTAGGAACCTTGACCGGGGCCAATCGGTCTTACCAAAAAAAATCTACAGCATGACAAGAAGAGAAAGAAAAAAAAAAAGAAAGAAATGTCCCAACATTCAGGTCATCACCGTTTCATGGATCTGCACTTGCTTCGAAAAGCCGGCGACCTCCAACAGCGATGGTTTTAGAGTTGGTGTCACAAACAAAGTTGATCTCATTCTAGAATGCCCTCCCGTGACCAATACCTAGGCTCAATCTGTTAATGCCTTGTCGGCATCAGGGCAAGAAAACATCCATGGAGTGAAAGAAATCTCGAGGGGAGTGAGAAAAAAAACGTCTTATATACTGCGACAGCAGAAACGGCTATATGCACACCAACCCTGTGAGCATCAGCGAGGCAGGCGAGCCGACAACTCGATACTCATCATACGGCGAAGTCACCATCATAGAGTCCGTCCTTACCTTGCTATTTCTTTTGTCAGTTTAAATTAAATTCTTTCTTCGTATTGCACATTGTTTCATTCCTTCATATTATGAACCACTTATACTGTATTCGAAGAATGAGGCGTATTCCAAGTATCAGATTAATTTAGCACCCAGATTTGAATGGATAAGTCCAAGTATGATTCACGACCCCATTAGAAATGATAATGGCCATTCATAAATATTCACGATGATCATCAATATCTCTGGCGAGCATAGGCCTATGGGGCTGCATGTCATCAGCGAAGCATTGCAGAGGCCACACCCGTGCACCATGTCTCGTACTCTGCATGATCCTACCTCAGATCATAGCCGACCACACTCTTAGAGTAGAAGTAACCGGAACACGAAACCCAAAACATGTCGGATCTTTCGTCTCAATTGTCTGCATTCAAAAACCGTATCAGGGCTGGCCCTTCGGTTGCTGTTCGGCGCGCTGTGACACCAAAACCCGTGACTAAGCAGGTGGTCGAAGAGCCACCTCACAAGCGCAATGGTGACAATCAAGACAGTAATTTCCAAGAGGCAAAACGCCAGAAACAGGAGATTTTGGAAGGTGTTTCCGGTGCACATCTCTCTACAAGACTCCACTTAGCTGTGGAGTACATCAAGCAGCAAGATACGCCAATCCTGGTGAAGAAATTGGAAGGGTATCTTTCGTTCGACATTACGCATACTTTGCTTCCCCTTCTAAAGGAGATTGACAGAATCAAGTATGATCCAGCCACCAACACCTTAGAGTACATGTCTCTACACAACATCCGTACCGCAGACGACTTGCTAAATTTTTTGAGGCTGCAGCCCACGTTCAAAGGTACATCGGTGAAGGAACTCAGGGATGGGTGGTCCGGGTGCTTAGAGGCTATATCCAAGCTTGAGGAAGACAACAAGATTCTTGTCTTGCGTAATAAGAAGGAGAATGCACCGCGGTTAGTATGGGCAAATCTTGGGGGTGAAATCGGCAACATCGACGAGGAGTTCGTAGAGCTGTGGAACAAGATTAGAGTTCCTGACAGGGACAGCTTATACCAGGTTTTGGTGGACAACTCGCTTAAGCCAACTGGCGAGGATCCACAAGAGATGAAGAAAAAGCCACAGCAGCAGGAGCGTAAGCAGAAGAAGGCCAGAAGAGGAAAGATCACCAACACTCACATGAAGGGTATATTAAAAGACTACTCGCAGCTTGTTTGAACTTCTCTATGTGCTTTCAAATGCTTGCTAGTGGTTGTGGTGGTTTACTGACGAGAGCTTATTGGTATTTTCCTTTCTTGATGAAAGTCCGTAGCGGTCTTGAAACTTGAGCGTTCATCGGTGTATGCAAACTACATTGTAAAGTCATACACATTCTAGCAGTTTCTGATATTGGGGGATCGACATAATATGTAACAAACACCAGAAAACATTATAACTCTTTAACTAATGAGATGAACAGGTATACCCATGCACTTACATAGCATGAAATTGGATTCAAGAACTGGTGTCGAATAGGACTTTCTAGATGATGTTCCTCAATATTTACATCTATGAAATACTTGTCGGTCACTTGCTATCTCCAGTCCAAAGAAGTGTTGTTCAACAAGACATGAGTCTGGACAGTCAAGTGATATCTCGCCCATATGATTTTCATGAGAAACATGACTCGGGAAAGAGTCTCGTATATGACCTATTCAATATTTGTTTGCGTCTAAATTGTGCTCCGCATGCTTCACAATAAACTAAACGACTTTATAGTCACGTCACCAAAGCTAACAAATGTTAAAGCATCCCTCGTCATGGCCAGATGCACTTTAAACTTTTCTCTGCAGCTTGTTGAATTTTATTCTCAAAGCCAATTCTAGAACTATTACTTATTTTGGCCATGAAACACGCTGCATCACATCAGTACTCCCATGCGCTATGCTCTTGAAGCTTCGGATCACGTAGTCTGTCTCGTGAAAAAAAAAAAAAAAAACAGAATAATAGTAACCCATTCATTTATTGCAATGTGCTTATACACCGCATCATCATCAAAGAAGCGATTTCGAAAAATACAGCGAACATTGAAAAAGACCAAAGTCCGATCAAACCAGTTGATGTCCCGGTGTGCACATAGGTATATGATGTTGCGACACCATGAAGAAAAAAAAAGAATAGATCGTAGGCACTCAATCCCACAAACAAACTACAATCCAACATGTCTGGTATGTATCTTGCAGATGAGACCAAAATCGTTCAATTCCGATATCGAGTAAACTGGAAGACCCGAAGTATTTCGCGGCCTGTGCTCATGCAGTGGGAACCGAAAACGCGCTAAGAAGATCTGAGGATAGCTTTTGCCCATTCTGGATGCACAAATCCAATTGATTAATTGTGTATTGGTGTTCACGCCAAAATTAATCACATAGCACATCTCGAGAAACGTTGCCTTTTCCATCTATAGGAGGTCGATGCTCTATTGAAATCAGGCGATTCGCATTAATCAGTTCATCCCTGCGACAATCTATACCATTTCTTGAGTCGGATTTCAAGTTTTGTGTCTTCCGCTTTACTAACCTGTAGTTGACTTTAACACCGTTGCCACCGAGTTCTGCAACTTCTACTACCAGCAATTTGACCAGGACAGAAACCAGTTGGGCAACTTGTACAGAGACCAGTCCATGTTGACCTTCGAAACTTCCCAGCTCCAAGGTGCTAAGGACATTGTCGAGAAGTTGGTGTCTTTGCCTTTCCAAAAAGTGGCCCACAGAATCTCCACCTTGGACGCCCAGCCTGCCTCCCCTAACGGCGACATCTTGGCCATGGTTACCGGTGAGTTGTTGATCGATGAGGAGCAAAATGCTCAGCGTTACTCGCAGGTCTTCCACTTGATCCCAGACGGAAACTCTTACTACGTGTTCAACGATATCTTCAGATTGAACTACTCCTAAACGGCTTGGCCTAGAAGGACTTTGTATATTGCTATATACTTCTCATTTATCTCAATGTGTAGCTCTTGACGCAGATCTCCAACCAGAATCTGTATCCACTAAAAAACAAGCCTCGGTTCATCTGTTTGTGGACAATATCTGTCGCTTGGATCTCGCAAAGTACAATATTTGACAATTGGCTGATCCTATATCCTGCACCAAAGCTCTCGCCCAAATACGACGAGCACTCTGGGGTAGTTGTCAGTCTTACTTGCGGAACACTAAACTCCATTGTCAATACATTGACATTCACTTCTCGTTATACTCTTGAACTATTTAAATAAGGTGCAATTATGCTGGGGACAACTTCGCCGGTTGTGCCACAAAGACCGGGCGTGGCAAAGCAGAACTTGCAGTCTGAGAATGCCGTACCAGTGATTCCAGCAAGACCCAGAAAGCAAACCAAATCTGCCGGGACGGAGTCTGCTAACTCCTCAGATTGTGTTGTTTCACATCTGACTCGTCCAGAACGTACTTCCAATGAACTTGGTGAGTCATCGAATAGCCTGGATGTGGAAAATGATATCGGGGCTGAGAAACAGGTGTTCAACACCTCGACTGGAAAAGAAGAAGCTGCAGATTCCACGGCTAACACATTTGAGAACTCATCTGAGGAGTCTGCTAAACAAGCCACCGGTGTGTTGGGGGAAGAACTTAGTGTCTCGGATATAAGACAATCTGCTATTACTCAAAGTCCTTCAAGTCAAAGCGCGCCTCAATATCATGTGGCTGATCTAGGAGTGGGGGGAGCACAATTAGATGGAGATGTGATTTCTCTGAATGGAAGTTCCCCGTCGAGTAATTTTGGAGGGGAGCCAGGTATTCCTCAATCTGAACTTGATGACGCTTTTCGTCCCATGAAGGTTGAGAAGGACGAGAGCCATGTACCTACTATTCCCGCCAGGCCAAAAGTAACACCAAGAGAAAAGCTGAGTCCGCCTCAGGATGCTCAAACCGAAGAAAGCGCTGAAATCTCAGGCCAAAAATCACAGCATTTATCTAAATCTGGAGAGCTAGCTGAGGATATCTCGAGCCGGGAGCCTTTGCCTTCAGAGTCTGCTACCGTCTCAGCCAGCCCTATTGAGATTTCCTCCACAATTCCTCAGCCTCACGGAGAAACGGATATCTCGGGGAATGATTCACAGTCGATTACAGATACTGAAAGTAAACCCGAAAACGCTGGATGGTCACAACAGAATACTTCGATTGATCCTGAAGTGGTGTCTGAATCGAGGTCTGCTTCCACGACAACATGTGAAAATGACAAGAACTGTATAAAAGAGGCGGCACCATCACCAGAGTCTGGGCTTTTGGATCGGGCGGGTACGCAATTCGTTCAGGATCTGAATGCCTTGTCACAACCTACGGTGCCTAAGAGACCATCGCGGGCATCAACAACCGAGGTTCATAACCAAGAAAAGAAGCATACACACACAGCGGTAAAAGATCAATCTGCCGAGCAGAGCAGCCTCAAGACAAACCAAAACAATTCACTCCCTTTGAAGAAAGCACCTCCGGCAAAGCCAAAGAAGCTTTCGTCAAAGATTGCGGCGTTCCAGCAAATGTTTAATCAGGCTCCACTTGAGCAAACGATACCCAAAATCGCACCTTCGGAGCGTGCAAGATTGTCGTCAAAACAAACAAGCTTTGCTTCTAATTTACAGGATATGATGGGTCGCAGCCTTCCGCTCCCCGGCATGGCGAATCCTGACGTGACAAAAAAAATGTCCCCCGCTGAAGACCCCGCCGAGATTGAAAGTGAACAACAGTCTGAATCTGTCTCCTGTTCAAGCATCCCACGTAGGGCTCGTGGTCCGCGTGGAAAACGACTCCCAAAACAGATTCAAGACACCAAAATCGAAATTGAACCTCGGTTCAAAATCTGTGTGTCAGATGTGTGGGAAGTTAGTTTCTGCAAGTTGCAGGAGACGGATTCATCTGATGATGTTGAAAATGAGCAAGAAAAACTCGAAGATCATATGGATCTACCACAAGACAGCGGATTGGTCGAAACAACGCAAGATGACTCTGTAGTTCAGAATTTTGAAGTATCTGAGCCAGGAGCACACTCAGAACTACAGAACGAAGTTTCGGTCGATGACACGGGGTGTCATCCAGAAACAAGTAACTCTGGCGATGTCAATAACGAAAGCGAGACGGAGCCTGCGATAAATGAAGAATGCGAACCAAATTTTGAAGATAATTTGGGGAGAGACATCTGTTCCTTGAAGAATTCCGAAATCGATCTAACGGCGACAAAAGATGAAGTGTCCGAGCAGGCCGAGTCACCTGCACAAGCTGATGAATCCGTGGAGACTGAATGCACCGAAGTCTCAAGAACCATATTGAGAACGGAGACTGAAGCTGACTCAGACAAATCTGACACTCCGGACGATCTAAATGAGCCCTAGCACCGGCCGAGAATGTCAAAACCTTACCGTTTGGATGAACCCCACAAAGCCATGTTGACAACGAAAAATCTTATCTCACATCGTATCGTGGAATGTAGTCGTAGACTGGAGCAGGGCCTTTGTTCTCACAAACTTCGTCAGTGACACGCGAGTCTGTTTCATGTTGCTCTTCAACTACGGCAAGAGCAGAGACATCCTTAGTTTCCTGTTTGAGCCCCTTCACACTTTCTTCCTTTGCCTCTATAGCCAGTCTTCGAGATTCATCCTTTGGGACAGCCTTCGTTTCATGGGCCTTCTGTTCAATCAACAAAGAGTTGCGGAATAAAGCGACTCGCTTGTCTATCTCCTCATCCTCAAGATCCTCATCCTCGAGAGATTCTCGGAGTTCCATACATCTCACTTCAATTTGCCGTTTCTGGTCATGACTTTCGATTTCTGCCCGGGCCACCTTTCTGGCCTCGGTCATCTTGGCCCGTACCATTCTGCGATGCTCCTCTGCTGCTTCCCTTTTACGCTTTTCACGCAAACCCTCGATTTTTGCTACGGCGATGTTTTTTTGCACGTGCCCAGATGTACCAGACCCCCTGGGTGTCTGTAAGCCGATTCTGTTGGAAGACATAACGGATGATTGCGGCTTGTTGAAAACTGGCACTCCAGAAAGATATCGAATCTGAGATGACGTAGTGATGACAAGGCGCGACAGGAAACTTTCCGCGAGTTGGCGCCCCAAAAATGCCAGGTGGCTCACCGAGGGAGTACTTCCCTCGGAAGTACGACCAGCAGTAGGCTATAACAGCTAGCCTCTCCGGCTATCAAGTACCAATAACCCGGCTGCTCCAAATCAAACCTGAGGTTCTGAGAGAATTTTGGTTCGAAGGTGAGCGAGAAACTGAAAACTTTGTTGTCTGGCTTCCCCTTATCCCCAGAATGGCGAAGGTGCTCAAGAAAGTACGGGCACTTCCTTCTGAGCCATCAGCCAACGATGTTTTGAAAGTGGAATACATCGAGGTTAATTTGAACAACTCACGTAAACTTATAAACAGTGTTACTTCCGCAAGCTCGACTAGTCAAGAGACTGTTAAAGAAACCGAGGCAATCGTGGAGGACATGCTTGGATTGCGGAATGCCAGGGCGGAACTTGCATGGCTTGATAAGATTATAGATGAGAGATGTGAGTAGTACCAAATTACGCCCGCAGACAAGAAAAGAAACATGTTTTAAATACCCAACTATAGTAGGCTACTGGTCATTTAAGAATCGCCACACCGAATGAAAATCATCGTTCTCGGGATGTGTCTGAATCATTGTGTGGTGATGAATTGAAATCGCTCTAATGGTTCTCAGATGAGAGCTTTACCTCAAGCTGCCCTCATCTTCGCCCTCGTCCTCGTCAGAAATAAGAAAGTCCATATCGATCTCGCCCGGTGCGTCGTACTTTCCGCCATTGGCCTCCATGTCTAAATCGGTCGAGTCCCCGGCATCACTCGATGGCTTATACTTGATAATAATGTATGCATTGGCAAGGATGAGCGAGGTTCCGAGGATACTAAGCATACCAGGCACGTGGCCCCAGAAAACAAAGTCCCACACCAACGCAAACACCATGTTCGAGTAGATCATGAGTGATGATTTGCCAGCCTTCTCCAACTGGAGCCCTGCAGCCAAACAGAATTGCATGAAGAACCCAGACAAGCCAATCAACGAAAAAAGAAACCACTGTCTGGCGTTGGCTGGTGCTTTGAAACTGAGCGAGGGAACCAGAATCGTCGCACAGAAGCAGATGACGCACGTGGTTAGAGCAAAGTAACTCACGGAAATAAGCGGGTGGGCAGCCTTGCCGATTTTCCGGAGCAAAACATAGACCGCAGAAGCTCCGCATACTCCCAAAAGCCCCACCACGGTCCCTAAGACCCGTAAACCACTGTTTGATGATTCGGCAGAGTCCAGCTGTGGGGTCTCGGATTCGGACTGTAGGCCAAAGAGAAAATCAGGCTTGGCTACAAGAAGAATTCCACCCAAAGAAAGTAGTGAGCACACAGCTTCTAGTAGCGAGTACTTCTCACCCAAAACGATCCACGCAAAAAAAGCTGTCACCATCGGAATCAAGAAAGTGATCGTCACTGCATCGGAAAGACTCAAGTACTGTAACGAGTAGTAGAGACCAAATACACCAAAGAATCCCAAGAAGCCTCTTAGGAACAAGAGGGTTCTCTGGCCTTTGGGTCCAAACGGAGCGTCCGGAACTCGTTTGGTGGTGACCATATACAACACGCAGCAAGCGTAAGTTATGAGCATCCGTACAAACAATATCTGCACGGGGTGAATCGGGGTGTCAAGCCCTGGGTCCACCTCTAGGAGTTTACATGTGAGGATCATGATAGTGTTGAGAAATTGCGACGTTAGAAGAAGACTAACACCAAGATTCGGCGTGACAACATCGTAGTAGAACCGAGAAACTCTTACTTTAGTGGCGTCCATGTTCACTGGCTGAAAGTGTATGAGTTGTGTTCTCTGGAGACCTTAAAAGAAGTTAGTAAGCAAAATCGTGGGGCTGAGCAGCGCATTTCGTATTTGGTGCGCTTCTTGATAAGCCCGGGTCGAGTGCGTCATCGGGATGCGGGCCATCGGTGACGTGACATGAACAAATCTCTGCTAACTATGAGTTTCACTTTTCAGGCCTCGACGTTCCGGAGTCCAAGTGTTTCAATTAATACCGCAGAGGATGTATTCTTTAAAATCCAAGAAATATTCAAGATTCCCCTCCCGGAGCTTAAAATGTAGAACAGCAATCTGATACGTCAAGAAGTACATGCACACCCGGGCTTCGGGTTGGAGAAACCGAGTCATGTGTTACGAGTGAAACAATAATACAGGGCTACGGACAGGATTGCATTGGCAGCATGAACTTCCGAAGAATGAATGACGTCGTTTCGCCTTGGCCGCATGGAGCTGGGCAGTCAGCATACCGTTTTTTTTTTTTTCTAAATTTACTGCGTGCGCGGTGGCGGTGGCGTGGCAGCTCTAATCTTCCGCCGAAAATTTCTCGCGCGAGCTGGGCTCTAAAGATAAGACCCGTTTTCTAGCAAGCGAAGAGTCAACAACGTTCTTCAGACGATAGTCTGCATCATGGAGCAAATCACTCATGGAAGAACGCATTTTTGTTTCTTCCCATGTCATTTTTCTTTCCCAACGCCATGAGCTGTGGTGGTTTGTGATGATAATGCTGTTTCGCACGGCGCAATTACTAAGCACAGCCCTCTTAGTCAAGCCACGCTACAGGTTCTCTAAACAGTGAATCTAAGCGAGAAAAAATAGATGAGCACTGACCCTCTCAAATTCAGCTGGTAGAAGACAGATGTCGAGAACAGAAAAACAATTCCAAGCCGCTAAATCGGCCGAAGACCACTACTGTAGCTTGGTCAGATCCGCGACAGGCCTTATTGCTTCTCGTATCTGAATTCCAACTGGCCTTGTTTGGGATGATGAACCTTGTCTGAACAATAAGACCATTGTGTGACGTGCAGGTCTGGGTATTTTGCCTACACCGAGCCTCATTGCAGTACAGCTCAATGCACGGCGTGCTCCGCCAAGCCGTCGATAGAACGGATTCAGGGTATATAAAAGCATCTCCGTAGAATGTCTCATCCTTGTAAAAAATCAGAAACTTTTCCTCCAATTTAATTAGGACAACTTTTCACCGCACCCCAATCACTTATTAAACAATTCGCACAATGTACCCCAGCCCATTAGCTGTGTCCTCCAGAAAACTCACCGACAATGTCGTGCTTTCCGCAACAGGATTCAAAATGAAGAACCGTGTCAATTTCGGAGCACGTATGGCTCTTTTTCGTTTTGGAGACTCTGGTGGTCTGGTCGGCTATTCCCTTCAGCGAGGAGGTCAACAAAGCCTTGGAATTGCTCACGGGCCAGACAACTGATTTTAACGTCACCCACCTCATTGTGCCCAACAGTGAGCATACTATGGCAGTTGCCTCATTCAAAAAAGCATTCCCTATGTTGAAGATTATCGCCATGGAAAGTGTCCAATTGGGTAAAGGCGTCTCGCCTGACTATGTCATGACCTCCAAGTATGGCAACAAGAAACTTGGCGCCGAAGCCTTGAGAGAAATCGGTGTTCAGGAACCTGAAATCTTGGAGAATTTCGAGTTTGTTTACCTTCCTAGTAACAAAGAGCTTGTTACTTACCATAAGGAGTCCAAGGCCGTGTTCGAGGCTGACATCCTTTTCAACTTACGCTCAGACGTACCCATGGAACAATTCAGTCCTGCCACTGGCTTTCCTAAGAACTACCATCCATTTTCAGGAATGTCCTTCCCTGCCAGGTTCCTCAATGCAGACAGTAAAATGGGACGTTTCCTTCCTCGCAAAATGGTCAACGCCAAGGCGTCTGCCAAGGGGCTTCAGGCAATCAACGCCTGGAATTTCGACACGATTGTCATGTGCCATGGAAATGTCATGGAGAAAGGCGGAAAAGCTGCCTTTAAGAAGGTCTACCTGAGTGTTTTGAACTGAGTTAATACATTGTCTCATTCACCCCTCAGCCTAATTTTCAATACACTAATAATAATACGTTCCAGTTAATTCGATCTGCTCATCTCCATGATGTCACTTGTAGCATGCGATGAAGTTTTTCTGTTTTCCTTAGTCATAATTGCCTTGGCTTTTCAGATCCATATATCACGTGAGGGAGAGCCGGAAGTCTCGCTCTATTCAGCGTGTTGAGTCTTACGTTCTCAGTTCCCCACTCCCTGGAGGCCCCGGATCTGCACCCCGGATACCTGCATCGACACCTAAGTAGGATATCCGCGGCTTCCTGTCCGCCCGGGTTCCACACCACCGTAATCAGCCTATTAATTAAATATCTCCTGCTACCGGTGTACCCTGCTTCTCGCCACTTTTCAGCCACTTTATTTATTTTCCTTCACTAGCAATCATGGTCACCATCGAACCTATTTATAACACTCTAAACGCAGATGTGGTCACAGACGGCAACCCCATTGCTGACAGGTTGTACAGCCACCCGGTTTACGAGCACTACGCTGATATTCATAGAGAGCATCTGGAACAGAACCCGAGTAGCAGCAGCATTCAGGATACGATGCAGCCCAATTTAACAGGTCACGTGCTTAAGGGCGAGGATAAAATTAACTTACGGACCCAGTCGCTTTTTGTCATTGACGACAAGTACCTCTCGGAGTTTGACGATATTGACGGGCTTTTGGCAGGCCATAAAAACCACAGTTACACCTTCTTTCATTTGGGCTCGCATCTCTCCGGCCATCCTGATATCGTTCATGGGGGCTTGCTTGCCACTCTCTTGGACGAGGTGAGTTGTCGTCTTGCGTTCCAAAACATCAAGTCCAAAAAGGGTGTCACTGCCAACTTGAACATCAACTACTACAAGCCATGTAAAACCGGGTACTACATCATGCTCAAGTGCTCTGTATCAAAAAAGTTGGGCCGCAAGTGCTGGGTGCGGGGCGAAGTGTTTCATTTGAAGTTGGACGACGAGGACTTCGACATTCACAAGGTGGAGACAAACGAGAACTTGATTTCCGCCAGCGAATGCTTGGTGATTGAGCCCAAGTCAGCCATCCTCAGCTGAATTTGCCTGGCTTGTGCTCTCACCGAACAAATATTATACCACTATAGATTAGGCCACGTCCTCGTGAATGCACCTTATACTCTTGTAATAGATCACAACTCATCCGTACCTCGTGTTTTATGCTGACCAACTTCCATCTTGGCACTCTTGGCACCAAACTGAATGGCCCTTTTTATCTCCTTTGATGCCAATTCGAGCCCGAGTTTCTCGGCCAAACGGCGAAGAATAAACTTCCGCTCAAATCTCATAACTCGCTTCTCTCCCTTCTTGGTCTTTTGAGTGCCCCATTCGAACCGAACCTTCATTTGCAGACTTACTTCCCGAATGACCCAACTGATGAAATCTTTGTCCAAATATGGATACCTAAGTTCTTTGCCCCAGCTGGACATGGCTCGGTCATCTCGACCGAGGTTCCTCTCGTAAATCACATCAATGTCATACATCAATGACAGCGAGAGCTCATGGTATTTCTTGCATACCTCGGTGCTTGGAGAGTCCTCTTTGAGGCCGTGGAATATGTTCTCGTGTCGGGAGTACCCTCCAAACAATTCATCTGCTCCTAGCCCTGAGAACAACACTTTGGCCTGAGATGAATATCCACGCTGTTGACTGACCAAAGATCCCTTCCTCAGTCTAAACTCCATCAAAGATATTTCCTGGATGTTGCTGTTCATTTGCAAAAGCTCGCAATTCTCGGCTCTGGCCGCAAAGTAAAATGCAATGGCAATAGACAAGTCCATTTCGGTGGCACACGGGTATATAAGTCTTCTTACTCTCTGTCGATGGGCAAGCCACTCGGCATACGAAACATCGATTTGAACTAGCCTGAATTCCACACCAGACCCTTGAAAAAGCTGACATAATTCAAACCACGACTGTTCACTGAGAATACGATCGGGAGAGCTTGCTGCCGAAAGCCCAGTGCGTGGATTTTCGAATCCTACAGTCAACAAATCTATCAGACAAGACTCGTTGCGCTTGACAAAATTCTCAGCAAGAAGTGCAGCAAGAACCGTGCAGTCAAGACCTCCACTAAACAAAATTCCAAGACGTGCATCCTTCAAGTGAGGGTGTAAAGGATGTATTGTACTTTGCCTGTCTTCACAAGCCTTCAGCAATCGATGGTGCAAGCTTTCAGAAAGTGACTCAACAGCAACAGCTTCAAACTCAAGCGAGTTGCTTTGCATTTGCTGGGGGCTGGCTCGACGTAAGTGGGTTGGCTCAACTGTATGGGTCGATAAGTCTGCCTTGTACATTACATTTCCTTTACATTCCAAAGCATGAGTCGATGTACTTGGAAAGATAGAGGAAATAGTGAGACCAGCATCACTCTGCTCGAATAAAAGCGATCTTTTACCTACACAGTCTTTTCCAAAATAAACTGTGTTGTCTAAAATATCCAAGAGCACGTACGCAAACTCCCCATTGAGCCTTGTGATGGTAGCAGCCACGGCTTCTGCCTTGTTGGGGTTCTGTCGTGCGAGCTCCAAAGCAAGTTGATCCATAATAAATGAAGTGTCGTTCCCATCTAGGCTTTCTTTATCGTATAGCTCACCGTTGAACTGCAACACCCATTCTTCGCAAACAAGAGGTTGTTCCGTAAACGGTTGTCGGAGAGAAAGCACTGAAGAGAGTAATTGTAAGTGATTTCCTTGGTGAACAAAATTGAAGAGCTGTGCAAAATCAGGGCCTCTTGCCATTATACATCGAAGGGGGTCTACCGGGCCTTTTATATCCTCTACACTCCGTGATGCGCTATTCGATACTGAGCGCTTTTCAACTAGAGTTGACATTTCTGCCTCGATGGACTCGGCTTTTTCACGGTTCTGTTGCTTATGTTGGCTATTTTTATAGTGATTGAGCTGTTCCTGTAATTCTCGAAGCCGCCCCACATTGGCCAATTTATTTCTGTCGTCCTCAGATAAAATGACATCGCAAGCCAAGCCTTTTGAAATGAGCGCAGTGATATCTTCTGCCGTGAGCTTCACTCCCGCTGTTTTGTCAAATTTTCTTGACACTTCGTATTTGCATGACTCAGGTAGCCATCCCGGAATTTCAATCGGGTTTCTACTGGAGCGAAAAAATATGCCACACATCTGGGGTAAAGAGAGTTGGAACGGTTCCAGGGCCGGCCAGAATATGAGCGCGCCAGACGCAGCCCTGGCACTATGGCTCCATCGCCCTGAACAAAGCGCGGCGCGGGGCCAGTTTTTGTATCACGTCAAACCCTTCTCTCCATGTTCACGTCCTGAAGAAGAACGCACTACCTTTCCGAATTTCTTGCGTTTATCACGCTCACCTACAGAGGCGCATACGACCAAGTCACGTGAGTCAGTGGAGAAATAATTTTTGCAAACTCCCCACTTGTATCCGACATATTCCAGAGACTCGGTTATTTCACAATGCTTCGTAGACCAGCCACGACCATCAAATTGACCCCCGAGGACATCTTGGAATACGATGACTCAGTGGCTCTCAAGCATCAATCTTCATTTTCCCAAGTTGACCAAAGCCAGGAACAAGACAAGCTGCATCCAATTATTTTCAAGGAGCCCCAGCTTTCGAGAAATGAGCGTATTGGTATACCTGACAAATAAAGCACACCCTCCTTACAAAAGTGAGTTGGGCTTTGCCAGTGCACATATGAAATGTATCTGTGAGTCTATTGAAGTTGATTATCTAAATAGAGGACCGGTTCCTCAAACACACCACCGAGCTACGGACGTCTCGGCTTTTCTCTTTTATAGTCTTCTCAATGCAGATCGTTTATTTCTTCTTAAGAGACTCCCTTTGCAACCACTGGCTCTTCGTGTCAAGAACAGACTGCTCAGCGCGGGGCACGCGGCTCTTAGAGGCCCCTTCGTGTACTTGCACGTACACAGGGCCCTTTTTCAATGCTTGGTTTCTCATCTCCTTGAGACGCCTAAGTTTTTCTAGCTTCATTCTTTTCCTCATGGCGGCATCTTCCTGCTCAAAGTGCTCTGTGCGCAAGTGCTTACCACTTCTGGTGTTGTCCAGCATGTCTTCCTCGTCCTCAGACTCGAAAGCCTCTTCAGGTAAAAGATCAGGTAGTTGGTCGGCCAGGACCAAATCCTTTATCTTTTCTCTTTTGGCTTCCTGCTGTTGTTTGAATTGCAAATCTCTCTGCTTTCTCTTTTCTCTGTCTTGTTGACGCAAGCTTTGTTCTAGCTTCTCCTGTTCCCTCTTTTTCTGCAAGGCTGTTGATTTCAGTTGAGAAATAGACTCTTCCTCTGGCGCCTCGTCTGAGTCTTCATCCAGGTCACTACCCGACGAAGCAGCACCGGTCTGCTCGGGCTCTTGTGATGATTCTCTTGCACTAGACACTGTTACTACTTCAATATCACTTGGATCACCACCATCATCCAGAAACTTAATTTTTTTGCCCGTCGTAGTGACTGACTTTCCACTCCTGGTGACCACCATTGTGCTTTCAATATTAGGGTCAAACGCGCTTTTTAAAGACAAGGTTGTGTTTGGTTTTCTATACTTTTTTCAGATACAGTGCATAGTTCGCATCCATCACCTGCAAGAAAGTCATCGCGCGTTGGTGCGGGCGTGCATAGCTCATGACTCAATCAGTTTCGAGAACAAAAGAATTAGTGCCATACAACTTCCATTTCTTCTTAAACGGATCGTTCAATAGCTTTTGAACAAGGCCTTTCTTCTGTAAGAGTTGTAATGTTTCCGGTTTAAAGTGCATTCCGTCTAGGGTGAGCGTGTCTAGCTTCATGAGTTCCGGACTGGATGAGCTGCTGCGAAATAAGTTCATGAGGCCAATCCCATCAATCAGGTGGCAAAACGAAAGGTCTAGATTTCGAAGTTTCGGTGCATTCTTGAGTTTGCCGTAAAAACTGGAGAAGTCTTCCTGTAGAAGTCTCATGGATAGGTTATCGAGACTGAGTTCTGGCACATAGAGGGACTCAATCCCTGGTGCGATCTGGAACACTTGCGCGAATCTTAACACCATATTCCCTGAGACAAAGTTGTCGTTCTTGAATTGAATGTAGCTTGAGTGGCCAATATTTATGTGCTTCATGTGGCCGTCCTTGTTTGCAAGTGTCAAAAGCTTCAAAAACCCAAGACTTGTGATCGATGACCCGTATATATCGAGGTATGATAATGCATTGAGACACCCTAGATCATCGGAAACAATCTCATCTATATCGTAGCGCCCCTCTTGATGACTCTCTCTGAGAGTCAATTTTTTGAGCCTGAAACTGGGAGAGCACAGAGCAAGCAACAAAAGAAATTTTTTGAGAGAAAGCTCTTCATTGTTCTCCAAATATATTTCGGTCAAAAAATGAGTCTCTCTCAAAAATTCTTGCAAATCGACTGCTAGACCGGCAAAGTCGTAGCTAGTTACTTTCAATTCAGTAAGGGCACAAAATGATAATTTCATGAACGGGGGTCTCGGATCGAATGTGTTCTCACCAGGGCGCGAAGACTGGTGGTCACGTTTCAACAACGGATGATTGACCAACAATAATTTCTTCAAAAAAGGCTGGCTTTTCAAAGTAGAAGCTGTCGAAACTAATTGCTGATATTTCTTGGAAGCAATGGGTAGTAGCAGCATGTTTGATTTTTGAGGTATCTGGTCGACGACGAGGATTTCCAAAGTTTGAAGGTTGGGGAATAATTCAAAGAGGAGGGTCTCGCTGACAAGAGATGAATTTATGCCGAGTCGTAAGTGTTGCACGGACGCAAGACCGCTATAGTTCCATTTGCACGCATCCAATTTCTGTAAGAGAAATCCCATCGATAAGTATTTGTCAATGATATGGAGCCGTGCAAGTTTCAAGCTTCGATCCGATATTACACTCTCGATTATTTTGCCCAAATTTTGCATGTTATAAGTAGACCATACACTAAGCAGGTGCAAGGACTTGCTGTACAGAAAGCTCAGAACTTTTTTCATTAGTTTCAACCCATTAAGGTATTCTGAAGCAGTGACACGATGTTTGAGTGTGAAGTTGCCTCGGTATAATTTGGGAATCGAGACAAGCGTATCGTACCAGAATTTGCATACCAAATGAGCTCCTAAAACGTCCTTGAAAGAGAGGTTCACGAATACTGCTTCAATGATTTCCCTTGGAAAAACCTCGAAAATATCTAGATGTGGCTTATGTCTTTTTGACGGTACCATAGGTTCAGTGGCTGCCCGTTTCAATGGAAGCATCCTATCTAGTTGACCCTGTAACCCACGTGAATAATTAGGAGTGTGTCTTGAGGTCCTCTTTGGATTTTTTGGATTTTTTGACAGGCCCAGCAATCCCACAAGATTATCAGCCTCACTTGATACTCTCAGCTCGCTTTCCGACTTAGTAAAAGCTCGCTCTTGTTTCAAAAGACCATTTACTTCTTTGTACAGGGACTGCAATTGCAGCCAGAGCCTCTCTGGAACGGTGAAATTATTTTTCTCTAAAGCCTTTTTAATCACGTAGATACCCTGCTGGTAGATTTTATACGCAGCGACCTTGTCATTCGCCATTAGGTGAAGTTTACCAAGCCTTAAGTATCCTTTGCAATTGATCGGGTCCAAAGTAATGATTTGCTCAGCATCCTGACGAGCCGATCGAAGCGCCTTTAACTTCTCAAATGTTGCTGCCCTTTGATCCAATATTGCACAAAGTTTAGGGTGCACCAATTTACCGTATGGTGGTCGATCACTTAGGCCATGAAATCTTCTGATCTTGATCACGCGACTATCTTCAAGAGACAATAAATTCAGAACTAGTTCCGCGTAAATGGAAGCACATTTCCCATAATTCTTGGCTCTAAATTGAAGCACAGCTAGGTTGATTTTATCAGAAAGAATCTCCTCCTCTAACTCCATTGACCTGGTGTTTTTTTTGCTTTCACTTAGATCCTCGGTAATGTATCTTACCTGTTGATCGAGATGCGCCTTCCGCGACGCGACGCGAAGAAACCCAATTTGCATGGTTGGGCCATGTCTAAGAACAAGCTATTTAATTTTTGTATTTTAAATTCATTTAATCAAAGAAAATTCGTAGATTGTTGGAAAAACTTTTTGGAGGGGGATTTAGGGGCTTTAGGTTCAAACCAGAGGGACGAGTAACAACATCCATGCCACTAATCATGTACTTAAAAGTGGCATTCATGGAAACGAGGAGATATTTCCTAGTTGATCCTTGACCGTGTCTGAGTTAGGACTTCTGTGTTTTTTGAATTTTTTCTATAGCCAAAAATTTTGGAAATACATCGAAACTCACATTTGTAATTTTACCAGTTCTTTGCATTTTTCTTCCAAAACAAATTCTCTTCTTTTTTCTTAAAAAAACACGGAAACCAAGTAATCGTTAAAGAGACGTGGTTCTTCTTGGCGCTATATTCGTTTAACTGAAACGATTCTATTTCGAAAAATGCACGTGTTTGTCAACTGTTTAGTGACGATAGAGTTGCTATTCGAATTATGTAAGTCGACCTCTCACGCCGCACTAACAGATTATACGCACCAAACTCGATTTGGCCGGGACAATCATCGTTTGGTACACCGAAGCTAGGTGATCAGCCGCTGAACTCTCATACTCCAAAACACCATGGCTGGGCTTTTTCTCCTAATTACTCTCAATGCAATTATGGCAATATCCACACTTGCAGTTGGTATTGGCTCGATTAAGCTCAACATTGCCCTGAGCCACATGTCGAAATTGTCAGCACTCAGCACAGGCATTTTGATAGGGACTGCTCTAGGCGTTATATTACCAGAAGGAATTCAGACTCTCTTCATCGCACAGGACACCTTGTTGTATCTAGATTCTTTAGGAATGCCCTCGTCTTTTATTGTGGGTGCTTCTCTTTTGCTTGGCTTCATTGTCCTATTTTCTTTTGAACATATATTAAGCCTGCGTGACAACTTACGAATGGTAATGCCAGAACTACATCAATCACGCTTTATATGGACTATTGTGCTGTCTTTGCTCAAATCGACTCTTACTTTGGGTTTGATCATTCACTCCTTTGTTGATGGCATTGCTCTAGGTGTATCTTTCTACGACGAAAATAAAACCTTTCAAATATTGTTCTTCTTCATGATTGTGATCCACAAGCTCCCCACAGCATTCAGCCTATCAATAGTCTTGCTCCGAGAAGGTATATCGCTTAGCATGTGCAAGTACCACATTCTTGCCTTTGCACTAGCGACACCTATTTCGTCTACTTTGGCATACTTTCTTGTCTTTGTTTTCGACTTAAGCAGCCCATTTATCTTAGGTATATTGTTACTTATAAGCGCCGGTACATTCATATTCAGTGTTTTACATGTGATGACGGAAAATTCTGAATATTCTGCGGGCCAGCCAGTGATCACCTCTGTTCAACTGCTACCGATAGAGTCTCATCACGACAACGAGTCACCCAACAAGGACATATCATTCACTGTCATTGGCATGCTTCTACCACTCTTTTTTTCACTTACTGGTGCTGACTAAAGAGTTTGTGCGCTTCGACAATACTTATCCCGCGAGGTATCTTCTTTTATTTTTAACTCAAGTCACAGGAGCACTTTCAAGAAAGTGCTCTGCCGATCTCAGGTCTGGAATCGTGCTATCCGAGTCTGGATCGCTATTGAAAGATGTTCCACGTGAAATACTCCCACACTTTTCCTCTCCGGCGCCTTTGGTGTCAGCGCCTAAAAACGCTGATTTGTGATACCTTGAACTGAAATAATATGCATCGCATTCAAGACGGCTCTTACTATACTGACGGCGTAAGTCTGGAGAATGAAGGCCTTTCATTGTGAGTTTGTTTTCTTCATAATATCCTCGCAAGTCATTTGAAGAGCTTGCATTTTGCAGATAGCTAGTTGGTGACCTCACTGGATCTTTCAAAATGTTTAAACGGGTACTTGGGCCGGCCGTGTACCCGCCTTTCAGGAGCTTTGGCAAGTTTGGTTTTTCCTTTGGGGCCCCTGTTGTCTGATTATATTCTGGTTTAACGCCAGCGCTGATCAGCTTGTTCGCGAAACTCCCATAATCAATAGAGCTGTGAATGACTCTTTCTTGCTTAGGACTGGTTCTGAAGTTAAAAGAGTTGGGCCTTTCGGTATTTGAACTTACATCGTCATAAAAGTTGTTTCCTGAACTGAGTGCCTTTCTTATTCTGTTCATACCAGCTGGCGCTTTCGGAGATACTTGCTCATAGTAATCAGTGTTTAATATCGCAATATTAGCGTCACTCTTATGAGATAGCAAACCACTACTGGCTGTGTGACATGGTGTTGAAGAAGCAGACTCGGATAGTTTGTTGTTTTTGATTTTGCCTGAGTCGAAATCTCGCATCATTTCGTTTCGATTGTCTACTCTGGTAAAACCTGTAGAATTATGACGGCGAATCTGAGGATTCCTGCTGCGGTTGTTGGGTCCAGGTAAATCTGATCCATTCGAGTTATTATGGCTCGTAACATTCAAAACAGGTGTACTAACGAGACAAGCATTTGTTTTTGTTCCTCCATTGGGTGGCTGCATCTTGGTTGATGCATCACTATATTTGAGCCTGTTATTTGAGTTTGAGATGATTCTGCCTCTCAAGACCGAAATTTCTTTGTCTAGTGCAAATTCGATTCCGCAATGATTATTTATGACAGTGATCTTGGGCCAGGCTGCTCTTGCTCCTTTTAAAACAAAGTCGAGGATAAATTTTGGGGTCGGATTTGTGAAAAGCAGTAGGAAATCGGTAAAGTCCAAATCAGGTAGAATGGTGATATCCCCGGAATATCTCTGTGTCAAAATAGAGATCATTTTAGAGGTAATATTCTTCTGAATATTAAGCTCATGCAAGATTTGCAAATAGTGTATGATCTCATTCAGCACGAAATCATAGCAGCCATTGATCACGTTTCGAAGACTGTCTGCAAACTCAGAGTCTGCCTTCCTACCGACGTTTCCCACAGAGACTTTCAAAACAGGAGATACATGAGGGTTAACCTGCACAGCAATGATGTGATCCACATTAAACATCTCTGATAGCCGAGTAATAGGCAAGTCGCCGTCGACTGAGCCATCAACATACTTCAGCGATTGGTCATTATTCCACTCGCGAATGGTGTTTGTTCCTGGGCTCTTTTCGTAGATAGAGTTTGAAGCAAATATTCCTGGTACAGAACAAGATGCGCATACGGCGGACCATATAAGACAATGAGGAGCAGTCAAATAGTTGAGTAGTCTTGTCTGTTCGTGCGTTGAAGCTGGGGAAACTGTGACGTTTAAGATTTTTCCAGTTCTGTTGTATGCTTCTCTGAATGTCAAATCTCCAACGAAGCTGTAGACAGTGTCCCTCACATTACCGATATCAAACACTGTTCCATACTTGAGAAAATGGCTAATGCTTTCGAGAAGCCACTTGAGCCTTCCATCTGTGTTGGTCAGCAAGGACGTTCCGAAAAACTTAAACTCCTTTTCGAGAATAGACTCGAGAAGTTGCGTTGTTTCTTCATAGGTATGTGTGCAGAGAATACTGGCAATTACTGAGCCAGCAGATGAGCCACTGATGACTCGAGGGAGGAGGTTGTTCTCGAGAAGGGCAATCAAGACTCCAATGTGAGATATACCGAATGTCGAGCCGCCAGACAAGAGGAGCGCTGTGCGCCCAATATTTTTTCTTGTTTGAATGAGCATTCCAAGTAGATAGCGGTCATCCAACTTAACGTCCTCATCGTGGACCAAGTACACAAGTGCCTTTTGGCACTCGTCTATGTACTCTTCGATGAGTCTCTTGGTTCCCACATGAGAGTGGCGATATAGTCTCAGACTGCCCATATTGGCGAAATTACGAAACCATTTGGTCCTTACCAAGTACAAGAGAAGCTTGTAGTCTTTACTTAGACGCGCCTGCTTAAGTTCATTCATTTGCAGCCGTAATAAGTGATAGTCATAGTCCGGCAGCTCAGGCGTGGACTTCCACGTGTTGCTTCCGGTGAGCTCGTCTAGCCGAACGGAGATTTCGTACCAGCTCTTATATGTATAGGCGCTTTTCTGCTCCAACAAGAGCCTTCTTATGAGTTCCTCGCGCTGGTCAGCCGACGGAAAAATACTGCGCATTAGAGGTAGCACTCTTAGTGTGTTCAAAACCTTTGTCTTGGGGCTGGCATTATATTGAAGCCTTATCGGTCTTAGACTTGGATTCTGCTGGAATATACTCTCAAGGATATCTGTTTGAGACAGCGAAAACATTGCAGCCGTGACTATTTGCCGTTCTTTCTGAAATGAAAATGCAAACAGGAGCTATTATTTTCGGGGATTTTTTCGTTGGGTCGACAAGATAAGCAGTGGTCACACGGGGTATATTATAGTTTGCCCTTTAGCGCTTGCACGATTGAACTTCTTCTCTTAACTCTCTTTGAGGTGTACGTCTTTCTTGCGGTGGAAATAATGAGGTGTTCTTTTATTGACATATACTCCGTGAGATACCGCTTTTGGGCGTTTGTAGAATGTAGTATCTGGCGTGTCAGTGAGTCTGGGGAAATATGCTTGTGAATTTTAGTCGGCTGCGCGGTAATAGAACCGTGGGGCAGGACAGCCGAGGTCTGGGGTGCGATAAGGCAGACCAAGGTAAGGTTGTACATAAAGTCACCATTTTTCATTAGCGAATGAGGAATTATTAGTGGACGATGTCGTGGCAACATTCAGGATTTGCCAACTAGAGTAAATTTACTGAGATCATGTTTAAACCCAAAAGCTTTCGTAGCTGAATACTGGGTATGTTCGGAGGCGGTGCCCAAAGCTTATATGCTGGCACCAGGTGATCTGAGACAAAGCATGGACCACTTGCCAGTGAGGCAGTTCAAATCATCAAGCGAGTGAAAAGGATACAAACAAGATTGAAACAAGGACAAAAAAGTCGAAAACGAACAAAAAATACTAAATGAGAACGAGAGAGAATTTTAAGGAATAAAATAAAAAAATAAAAAAAGGAAAAGGTTAAACAAATAAACAAAATTAAAGAGCCCCCATCATCGACGCGGTACAAGATGGCACGCTTTGATTCACAACAAGCTCTTCTTTGTGTAAGGCCACGAAACAAAAACATCATGCTGAAATTTCAATTACATCTCGCTCATCAAAACACCTGGCCGTGCTGGGCATCCAGATTCATCCTGGAATAGTCGAGCTCCAACCAAATTGCCGATTTCCTATCTCAAGATGTGTGCATGGTTGTGAGCCATAGTGAACAAGTGCTTCCATGGGGCACAGCTCAAAACTAAGGGGCAACTGATTGCTTTGATGTAACAAGCTTGAGATCGTTAAATACATTTTCAATTACAAACGCGCTCCAGTGACCGAGGAGTATTCGAGCTAATTTCGTACCTGCTCAGTGATACTTCAAACAGCGGGTGCGAATTTTCGCGGCTGCGCGAAGAGCCTCCTCCATCTCTTGGATGGCCCATGCATATTACATACCCTGTAGCCCAGAAGCCCAGGAAAAGAGACGCATGCTCGTGAGATCGCAGTGAATTTGGACAAAGCTTTTTCTCAACCTTACACATAGTCAGCAAAGTTGATATTGTCCAGCTTTTTCTTGCCGAGAATCATCTCGCCTGTCAAACATCGTGCACTGGTTCGTTTCGCCCTGAGAAAATCTGTCCTGGTGCCAGCTTCACACTCTACCCCTGGCAAAACAGCACGTAAAAAGAAAACTGGATATTTGTTGGGAGCCGGACTAATAGCACCCAAGTTCTTCAAGAGCCAGGCGAGCTACTCGGCCTTTTTTCTGAAATATTCCGACACCCAAAAGAGCTCGAATCCCATGTTCACTGTCACCACCGTTTGCCATCGCACGAGCGAATCGAGGCATCCTATGCTTATGCTCACAAACAGACAAGGCAACCGTTTTTTCTTTGGGAAAGTCCCCGAAGGTGTGCAAAGAGTATTGAACGAAAACGGACTTCGTGTGGGCCGCCTTAAAAGCATATTCTTGACTGGCATCATTTCCAGCTGGTCAGATATCGGAGGTCTTCCTGGCCTTTTCTTGACCATCAGTGATGCTACCAGCAGAGGCATTGAAGTTTTCACTAACTCCAGCAAAACCCTTACGTATGTCGTAGCGACTTGGCGCTACTTTGTGTTCCGCAAAGGCATTGAATTGAAAGTCCAAGACACTGACGATGAGTCTTTCATTGGTGACTCCAACGCCTCCTTCATCCCCGTCAAGATTCCTAGTGATAAGCCGCCTCGCGATGTGCCCCTGACTTCTTCAAAACTATTCACACAATTGAAAAAATTGACCTCATTTATGTTTCCACTTGATACCCTGAGTGCCAACAGCGCTGACCCTCAGTCTTACAAGTTTGATCCTAGCGAGGCGGAAATTCTGACTCATGTGGAGCTTCCTGACCCGGTAGAACTTGTTGACGTCACAACTCAGAAGTCACTAAGTTTCATTGTTCGTTTCACGCCTGTGAGGGGTAAGTTTGACCCAATCAAGGCCAAGTCACTAGGCATCAAGCCGGGGATCGATTTCAAACGGTTAACTGATGGAGAAACTGTCATGAACAATAAAAACGAACCTGTCTACTCACATCAAGTCATGGGCGAACCCAAAAGTTTTCCAAAAATGCTCATCCTTGACATCCCAAACAACGACTACCTTAAAAATACTATTCAAAGTGGTATCTGGTTTCTGAAATCGACAAATAATGGACCAGAAGACTTTGGTCTTGTTTTCCATCTTTTAGGCGATGACATTGACTTTGAACTGCCAGAATATGTTGAATTTATTCTGAAATTTCCTTCCAGCTGCAAACACGTTATCAGTCATCCAAAGATTGCTGACGATACTTTGGTTTTCAAGACATATGCTGTGCATTTGCTCAAGCTCAAATGTATCATGAACGACAGTTTTAACTTGCCCCACTTCCAGAAGTTCCAACCATCCAGTCAATTCACGAAGTTACAATCACTTCAGCAGTTTTCGATTACCACATCAGGAGTAGAAATGTGCGACGACGATGTTGTAGATGAGACATGGTCGTCTTTGTACGACAAAGAGATTGGGCTTCCTGAGAAAAAAGAACAGATATTACAAAACGATGTACTCCCTCTTGAACCTATGAAAGAAGTTAAATCACTAAAGGATCATGTTCAAATTGTTACGCTAGGCACTGGCTCTGCACTTCCCACAATACACCGCAATGTGCTCTCAAATTTGGTCAGGATTCCATACGTCGACGATGAAACAAAGGAAGTGAAATTTAAATCCATTCTTCTTGATGGTGGTGAGAACACGCTTGGCTCGTTGATCAGAAACTTCGGCCATAACAACGAAGAGCAGTTGAAGCAGATATTCGATGAATTAGAACTCATCTTCTTGAGTCATTTGCACGCAGACCATCATCTAGGCATCATCTCTGTGATCACTGCATGGTTAGAGCACAACAAACATAATAACCGCAAATTACACCTCATCATTCCTTGGCAATTCAACAAATTTATGACTGAGTGGTTCAGGCTTGAACTGCTCACACAAAATTTGAACGCAGACAGGATTGTTTACATGAGTTGTGAGCAATTTATTCAAAACCCACGTCCGGAGCTCAAACAACTCAAAATGAAAGAGTTTGAGATCAAATGCGATGATGGGATTTCCTCAGACACCGTACCCAAGATTAAATTCAGGCCTTTATCTGAAGAATCCATGCAAAAGATTTTCAAAGACTTAAAAGTTCAACTGATTCAAACTACCCGTGCAATCCACTGTTATTGGGCTTACTCGGTAAGTATGACATTCTGCCTAGACCAGAAGGAAACATTCAAGCTCTCGTTTTCTGGAGACACTAGACCGAACCTGAAGTTCGTTGAGATTGGCCATGATAGTGATTTGCTCATTCATGAAGCATCACTAGAAGATGATCTCATTGAGGAGGCGCTTGCCAAAAAACACACAACAGTCGTGGAAGCAATAAAGGTTGCTGAGCTTATGAATTGCCCGAAAGTCATTTTGACGCATTTCAGTGCTCGTTTTTCGGAGAAGCACACGTTTATTGAAAGTAATGAAGATTACGAAAAGGCCTCGCAAAAAATGAAAGCATACCTTGGACGCACCGTGAACAACATATTCGAGCTTCGTCACAACTCGCGCTTCACGTTCGATGATATGGAGATCTGCTACGCTAACGACCTCATGATCATCCGATACAACGATGTCAACGTGCAAAAAGCACAATTTGCTGCCATCAACGAACTCTCGACGTCTGAGGATAGCGAGAAGCAGAAAGTCAAAGATGAGAAGATCATGTTGAAAAAGTCGGAAAAACGAGAAGAAAAGCGGGTTCAAAGACTAGCAATGAACCGCAAACGGAAACATTCTGCGGAACAAGATCCAAACAACAAGTAATCGCTTCCACAATAGGTAGTTAGTGTATGAAATAGCTCAAAAAAAGCGGGGCCGCTACCAGATCGTCACCAGTTAAACCCAAGACTGGAACAGGAAGTTGAAATACAGACTTGCGCGCACCACCGCACCTTCGCTATCTCCATACAACCACTGTCGAAATCATTGTACACATTTCTCTTTGGCTGCAGAGAACTAAGGTCACGCTTATTTCATACATCTTTGAAAGTTCTGTTCGTGAGGCTCGTGCGTGTACTGCCTGCTTTGTATGGACTGACCTTCAGCCTGTTTTACGAGTCAGTGCACTGTCATCATTGAATGGCATACCCAGTTACCCTACTCAGCTCGTGGATTCTCACCACTATTCTAGAAAATGTTGAGAGGCGAGACGTGTATGTCAGTGATATTGCCAGCAAACGCTTCATAGCGTACCATGGTCCCCGAAACTGTAATATCAAGTATACACCGCTCGTGCGGATCTTCGTGTTTTTCCCGGTCACTACCAAAGGCGAGTTGGTGGCTATTGTAAATGATTCCACTCATAAGATAACAGTGGTATTTACTCGGGACTCAATTCGCAGGTTCGAGACTCGTTACGGCCAAAGACTCACCTACAAGTCCGTGCATCGCCTAATCATCATCCGTCAGGCCAACCTTAAGTTTATGGACAAAAACACCTACATGGATTTCCATCATGTTTTGGGTAATATCCCTCCTGGCTCCTTAAAGGGCACCCCCCTCATTTATCTTGAGGTCAACGAGGCTGAATACTTTCTGCGTGATGCCCACACGGTGCCGGCAAGCGCAGAGAGTACTCTCAGATTTGTGTACACTGCGCCAGAATTCCAAATGATGTTCGGGACAGGGTACGAAAGACATGGCACCAACACTCTACTAAATACTACTGACATGGGAATATCGACCGAGGAATGCGAGCCTTGTATAGGTGACTATGACGGAATGGTTTCTGAGGCTGAGGAAGAGGAATATAGCAGGATCGTATTGCTGGACCAAGTCCATCATCTGGCCTCACCTACTTCCACAACTGGCACCAATTTCTCTTTATTGCCTTTTTGAAAGCACTCGGTACCAACGACGGGCCATGTATCAGATGTTTCCTCGCATATTATTTGAGATCCACCGCACATTGAATTATATTTGCAGATGGAGAATTCCACAAACAATGATTTTGAATGCAAGCAAATTATTCAGGGCAGCCAAGCGACAGGAGCGCCTCATACGAGAAGCATGGAACGATATCTAACTGCACCATCGCACTGCGATAATTTGCATCCACAAAAAGTGGTCGCCGCATACAAAAGATTATGCCCCTTACACCTTGCCCATGTCGAGAAAGCAGCAAAAGCGTCAGCGCAAAAATCTCACTGTTTCGGACGGACTTGATGAAGTGGCCGATCTAGCCTCAGCCGTGGCAAATTCTGTACATGAGAGCACTCAAGGTCTTGAGTCTCACGAGGCGCAAAACTTCGCTAATTTCGCCACATATCCCAGCACTTCATCGGTGCTTCCCCTATCCACGCATGGCGATGCAAAAAACTCGTTACCCACATTTTTGATAAAGAGCAAGGAGTTCACGCAGGGTAAACTCAAGAGTGTCGCCGAGCTTCAGCATTCGATCTCTTCTCGCCGGCTTGTCTATTCGGAAAGAACTCCTCTATTGCCTTTGCACTCGAGCCCCGAACCACATAATGAGGAGACACATGACGAGGAGCCACAGGCCCAGTCCTTTAGCAGTAGCAGGGCAATAAGGCTTGCTGCAGGTCTGGCGATAGTGGTCAGCGTCGGATTTCTTACTGTGCTATGGCTTTGTGAGGAGATTATGATCGCATGGCGGTCTGCTGGTTGCGCCGTGGCAAAACTAGCTGCCTTTGTGTGATAAATCGTTGCTCCTCCTTCTGCGTTAATTTCTGTATGTACAAGATTATATGTCCCTTCAACCCGATTACGCGCGTCTGTCCTTGACCTTCATCTTATTAACGCGCTTGAACTTTCTGGTTCTGGCAAACTTCTTGATACCCCACATGGACTGTGATACCTTGTTCGACTTGGACTTACCTCTACCACCACCGTGTGGATGGTCGTGAGCGTTCATGGCCACACCTCTGACCTTCGGCCTGAAACCTCTGTGACGGCTTCTTCCGGCTTTACCCCAGGAAATGACCAGGTGCTCTCTGTTGGAGACCATGCCCAAAGTCGCATGGCAGTCTTCATGGATGTAACGATGTTCGCCGGAGCTCAATCTGACAATGACTCTGTGCTTTTCTGGCGCCTTTGACAACAAACGGCCAAATGTGCCTGCAGCTTTAACGAGCTGACCACGGCCGTCTTGGCGCAAACCGATGTTATGAATGATGGACCCCACAGGAAACATTTTCAACGGCATACAGTTGCCTTTCTGCATCACACGCGAGTTTAACAATGCCTCGTCCACCTCTCCATTGTTCGTCAACTTCATCTCTTGCAAGAAGTCACTTGGTATACCTTTGCGGAAGGATTCCACCATATCACCGGCTCTCAAGCCTGAGGAGGCCAAGATGTAGCTCAAGCTGCCCGTTTCGTTGTGCTTGATTAGGGCAATGTGGCCCGATCTGTTTGGATCGTATTCGATCCGCAAAACCGTCTGCTTGCCCGCAACAAGCCTGTGGGAGTCCACCAACCGCACACGGCGCTTGTGTCCTCCTCCGCGACCACGTACAGTGATTTTACCGGTGTTGTTACGACCGGCAGTTTGCTTCTTAACTACGGTCAATTCTTTGATGGGAGATCCCTTATGAAGATGGTCATGGATCGGCTTTCTGAAGTTCAGCGAGCCGGGCTGGTTCTCGCCGTTCGCGTAGATCTTCATCTTGAACTGCGTGGCCGCTAGTTTCCGCTGTCTCTTGTGAGTCTCGTCCTTCATTTCCAAATCCGTCATGTCGGACAAGTTTTCACCTGGGGCGGCATGCAGACTTGGAGAACTGGCAACGCTGCTCCGGAATCGCAAAAGTGTTTGGGCAGCCGACCCCCACGAGCGCTTATTCAAGGCGAACATGGCAAGTAAACTTTGTGTAGTGGGGTTTATCAGGCGATTGAGGAGGCTGTTGAATCAGAGTCTAACCAGAAGTTTTTTTTTCGACTGTAGCTATGCGGGTGTACGGGTGTATGGCACCCTGCTTAGGTCAACGGACGAAGGCCAGGCACAGATCTTGGCAAAACTAGAGATAGAGAGGCCCGTCATCGTCTTGAGGGTTCAGCTAGTTATATGAATTCTTTGCTATGGTTTGGATTCATCTGTTTCTTCCATAGACAGCCGGGGGTACTCGATGGTACTTCAGCTGACCGAATGGTTCTATTAGGTGTGGGTTCAGATCGCGGGTGCGAATTGAGATCCAGTCCGGTGCTCGAATTAGGGCGAGGCCAAGCACTCAGACATACACCTGGTTTTTTTAGGTTTCTACCTCGGTGTCTACCTCGGTGTCTACCAAGCACCAAAGCTCTAGAATCAAGTGACTTCTGCAACAGATTACAGTGGTCGCGGGCTTGCCGCTTGTGTTGATATTTCTCTTGGTCTTCCTAGCCGAAAAAGATGGAAATCCAGTGGGCGAAACCAGATCCTGTTCATGATGGTGTTGGCGCCAAGGACCCATTTTTACCATATCTAGGACACGCTTGAGTTTTGGCATTCAGAGTGACTTTATTCCAGGCCAGAAGAAGAGATTTGCCAGTCCGACAGCCAGATCCATTTGCAGCCGCCGGCCCTCTCTATGGGTGGCGCACGACTTTGGTTTTCAGTGCAAAGCCGCTGCTCACCTCGAGACCCGGGACCAGCAGCCAATCATTTCGCAGGGACGGCAGCCCGAGGTGCGAGTTTGGAAAAAAAAGTACACCTTCTACCGGCCCGCACACGCACTGGGGCCCGGCCAGGCGTATACAGAAAATACCCATACGATCTTTTCTTCCGACACTCCACACACAAAAACCATAAAAAAAATGATGGCCTCCCGTGTTTTCGCCCGCTCGATGGCCTCTGCCGCCAAGTCCGTCAAGCCCCCCGTGCAATTGTTCGGTGTGGACGGAACCTACGCCACTGCCTTGTACTCTGCCTCCGTGCAAGAGTCTTCCGTGGAAGCCTCGCACAAGGGGTTGGGCAAGATCGCCGAGTTGGTCAAGCAGGACCCTAAAGTCAACGAGTTCTTGACCAACCCAGCCTTGTCCAAGGAAGACAGAAAGACCGTCATCGACACCCTTGCCTCGAGCTTGAAGTTGGACAAGACCGTCACCAACTTCTTGACCGTGTTGTCCGAGAACAACAGATTGGGTGAGTTCAACAACATCTACAAGAACTTCGGCTTGTTGTTCGACGCCCACCAGGGTGTTGTCGAGGCCACCATCACCTCCTCGAAGGTCTTGGACTCCAAGATCTTGAGAAAGTTGCAGGCAGCCATTCAGAAGTCGTCTTTCGTTGGTGAGGGCAAGACCTTGAAGGTCTCCAACACCGTCAACCCAGAAATCATGGGTGGCTTGATTGTCGACGTTGGTGACAAGACCGTGGACTTGTCCATTGCCTCGAAGGTGGCCAAGTTGAACTCTGCCTTGAGCCAGGCTTTGTAGGTAAAGTGGAAGAGACAAACCGCTGCATAAGTAAGAAATACACACACATCACGTATGACCCGCCCGCAGTAGACCCTGTATCGCATGCGCCGAGGGATTCTGGGTGGTCTTTTTTCGCTGTAGTATGGACTTCGACTGTGGGGTTGATTGTGCTTGATGAGCACCTGGTGTTTGACTCTTCAATGAAACACAAGGAGAGCTTTCGACTTGATGCTAGTGATAGCGACCATTCTGCTTGGGCCGATGCGAACACTTGAATGAAACGAGATCTCATATCAGCCATCTAACACAAGAATCTGAGCCCAAAGATCTTTCCTTGAGTATAATACATACAAAAGCTAAGCAGTATTACCACTAAATCTTTATCTACAAAAAAGAATGTTTATATTTTTTGATATCATCTCGGTTTATGGGTGCCATCCTCCTGTGCGCCGCTCGCAGTATTGATAGAAACATCGGGATTTAAACTATCTGATAATCAGATGATTATTGGAACCATACTAAATTTGACTCCTGATTCACGAAACATTCATAGCTAACATCATCGACTATCTCGATTTTTCCGTTGCTCGGTTCCGAATGTATATCACCCTATACCTTTGGGCTGGGAGTTGCCGCGCGAAATATTCATCAAGGGCCCGGTCTATCCAGCCTCTATTAGACAATCAGCTTAGCTCATCCACGCCAGAACCCTCTAAAAACCAACAGAAACAAACAGACGCCCACCATTTCTCACTTATAATGGCCCGGCTGAAACTCTCTGTGCTTACGTGGCTCGTCACTGCAATAACACTAGTTTTAAACGTATTCGTATACTTCTACCCGGATATAGTCAATTACCCGCATCAGTGTCAATGGCACAATACCAGCGTGCGGAGCAAGTATGCAATTGTGAACGCTTTCTTGCCCAAGGCTCCATGGATGGAAACCGTCTTGCTTAATTTCCCAAGCCTTCAGGAGCGCAAAGCTCATAACGCCTACGAACATGGTCGTGTTTCTGATATCAACATGCTAGCGTTCGGTGATCCCCAAATCAACGGCAACTGGGCCAGCACACCATACATCAAACGGCTCGATAACTATGGCAACGACTACTACTTGGGCCATATATATAACATCATGAAACGCCGATTGCAGCCCAGTCACGTGGCGGTGATGGGCGACCAGTTTTCGCTGCAATGGATCTACGATTCCGAGTTCTACAACCGCACGCGTCGCTTTGTGGAGCGATTGTTTCCTCGTGGTGCTGCTTACAAAAAAACTGTGCTTGACACGTGGGCAAAGCACGAAGATTATGACTGGCAAGCTTGGCTGGAGAGAGAGGAAAAGTTAGACCCTCGCGACCGGTTCTTGTCACGCTCATATCGGGATATATATGACTGGTATCTCCCTGACTCACCGCAGCCTAACTTTGAGAACCCTTTGTTCATAAACTTGACAGGAAACCACGACGTAGGCTATAGCGGAGACGCCACGTGGCAACATATGGCGAGGTTCCATCTACTTTTTGGTCAGAACAACTATGTCATCACATACAACGCCGGATTGCCTGAAGAATGGCGTCTTGTGGTCTTGGACTCGCTCATGTTGGAGGGCCCGGCCCTCCAAGAGCAATTTAGAGAGTACACATGGTCGTTTTTGGAGAACTTGAAGCAGTCCAATGCTGGCTTCAAAGGCTCCACGATCTTACTCACCCACATCCCTTTCTACAAAAAGTCAGGCTTGTGTGCTGACGGGCCTGAGCATATCTACTACGACGAGAACTACGAAAGAGAGCCATACAAGAATGGCAAGCTTCGGTCGCAGAACCATCTCTTATACGAAACTACTCAGCAAGTTTTGGACATAGTCTTTCCTAATGCCGACAAAGAAGGTATTATCTTGACTGGACATGATCATGTCGGTTGCGATACGTGGTACAGCCATATAAACGGTGAGTGGGTATCCGACCATGAGAAGAAGCAGAGTGACCGTAAACATATCCACGAAGTGGTGGTGCGTGCCATGATGGGAGAGTTTGATGGGCAGACGGGCTTGGTGACGGGCCAGTTCGACTATGCTGAATCTGCATGGAAGTTCGAGTTCACGTACTGTTCATTTGTGATCCAGCATGTGTGGTGGGCTTCCAAGGTTACGCTTCTTTTGGCTGTGCTCTTACATTCGTTTAGCTTTGCTTTCTGAGAAAAACTTCAGAGTGCGTGCATTAGGGCCAGAAGAATACATACATGATCTAGCCTACGACTTCCTCTGTCTCTGTTACAACTAGGTGAAAGTGTGTTCTTGGTACATTGGCTAGTTATACCATCGAAAGAAAAACGCTGCGCTTTCGTTTGCCTAGTCCCTTGGGTCTACGTTCTCCGCTTTGGCTTCGTCGGCAACTTCGGATTTGGCGTCCCCAGACTCAGAATCTTTCTTGAGCTTGCGCACGTCTTCCAATGCACTAATCACACTGACGTCTGGACTGATTTGAATCTTCTTGATGCTAAGTTTGCCATCCACAAAAATCCAATGAGATCTCTTTATCCCCGAAGGGGATTTCTTGGCACCCAAGATGGAGATGAATTTCCTCGAAGGGTCGGATAACAATGGATATTTTAAGCCCTGCTTGGTGACGAAGTTCAATTGCGATTTTGGCAGGTCCGCCGACAACCCATAGACTGCAGCTCCCAAGGCCTGTAAGTCAGAGTAGTTTCTCTGGAACCCCGTGACTTGCTTTGTACATCCTGGTGTAGATGCCTTGGGGTAAGCAAAAATGACCACATATTTCGATTTTTCAGCGACCTCTTTCAACGAAATTTCATCTTCGTTTTCGTTCAACAAGGTCAAGTTTGGAATCTCATCGCCCACCTCCAATTCCTTGGGGTTTTCCTCCCTTGTACCCTCATTCGCCCCACTTTTAGACTCAGATGTTTTGTGTTCCTCATCTCCCGCTTGACTGGCAGATGCAGCTGTCTTTGCTTTTTTAGAAGGGGGTTGCCCCAGACGTTTGGTGGCTTCAACCGTGGAAGCTCTGGCAGATCTACGCAATTCAGGCATTGGAAGATTATCTGTGCTCTTTTGGATAATGGCCAAATGTCTTTGACTGTCGATTGCTTCAATTAAAAAAACGTTCCTATAGTAGTTGCGACTTTCGTTTTATATTACGGCAACCAGTGGTGTTCAGATATGAAAATACAAGCTACGTGGGCTTTCCTGGGTACTTGAAGGTTGCGGTCAAGCCTGCGCGAGACTAGCGCGGTTCACGCTGACTGCCTGAGCTCCACTACATAAATAGAGTGCCGTGACAGTTTTCAGACAATAGAAAACGCAAAACATGAAAAGAAATAAAGGGAAATAAATCAGTGACTGATCATTCTATTCTCTTGCCTACCATCATCGGATGTTATAATGGCATGTGGTGTAATCGTATTTTTGTTCAATATCAGAGTAGTTTGGGCTTCGTCTTTACCAAATGGCTTGTATAGTGCAGACCTGAAGGGACTCTATATTAACAAGCAATGAAAAAAAACTCTAGATTGAACCCCAGTCAGGGAATGTTGTGGAAACAGTATTCAAGTGTCCGCACCCCTTCGAGGAGTAGTACTACATCACAACACGGACCTTTGATCCGCTTTCAGTGTAAACAGTGTTGCAACATTGTCCACTGACTATGAATACAGGCAGCCAGGATTATACTTTTTTCTGTAGTGTCACAGCGTTTGTCTTCGAGTATGGTATATGAGGGCATCTTTCAACTCGAATTCCAGAATTGATGAAAATATATTGCATCCAGCGATCTAGGCTCTTTCGCGAATTGGCCCACTAGCCTGACCTATCAAACACAAGAGAGCCTTTTACGAATATATATGACCAAAGTTGAGAGTGATATTGAAGTACTTCTAGCACGGATGTTCATCTCTGCCACCACCCTGTACTTTCTAAAATTTAAGGTCATCTTTTAAAGTGTCCGGAACGACATTTTTTGTTTCTTTGTTCGAATTGCAAAAGAACTCACAAGCTAAAACAGTATGACAAAAAAAATTGATATTGTACGTTATACAATAGCAAGCACAACAGGTGCAAGTCATGCACGCAGGGCCGCTATGAAACAGGAGTTGCACGATTTCTAACGGAAGAATAAAGATCAGCCTATCTTTGTTTAAATCAAGGGTCAATCACATTGTTAAGATACCAACAGAACCCTGTACAGGAATTCGTACACATGAAGTATTCATCAAATCTGCCTAATGAGTCTCATCATAGAGCTTCTTCCCCACTTCTGAACGACGAAACCTAGAGCTATATGCATGCCAAGCCCCGCTCCTGGATTCGTTGCGGCGTTCGGTTAAGCCGATTCGAGACGTGTGCATGTAATTTCCAACGCGGCTGCGATCAGAAAAATTGAAAGATCGATTAGATGGGAAAACAGCACCAGTGAAATAGAAAAGAGCAAAACGTGGCACACTTTACACATCGTAACGCTGACCTTGCACAGTGCTTCCAGTTCTTTCTGCAACTTCTTTTGCTGTGAACAGCTCACTCTCTCCATAGTATTTATCAGAACTGTGGTTGTGTGCATATCAAGAGCCAAGTTAGCTTTAGGAAAACCACAGTGTCCCGCAAATTTCTTCAGATAAAAAGTCAACCACAGAAGTTCTCTTCACGTGATTATAGATCTCTTTGAAAACTTCTTGAACGGGCTCGTGCATATATACAGAGCAAGAGCGGATCAGCTTTATACTACATACGGTACATCTGGCAACTCTCTTCTATTGTGTTAGTCTCTCCTTGGTTCTACCGCCATAAGCCTCGATGAAAAAGTTATTCGGTCGAAAATTAGGGCCTGCTTCCGGGGCCCGACATGGGTCTCGTCGCAGATCAGATCTGCAGACATATATGGGAGGTGGAAGCAATGGAGTTAATCTGGATCTGCAAGATGAAATCGCCCATCAATTGGCGCTCACCACGACCCAGTCTGTACCTGAGTCGGACACTCTTTCTTTATACTCGGCAGCACTTTCCGATGCTGAGACATTGATGCTTACACGTGATCAGTGTCTACATCTCCAAGCAACATACCAAGACAACTTCACCTCATACATCCCATATCTTGTGCGAAGACACAGGGCGGAAATAGAGCAAAATGACGCTCCTGATGTCGCTATCAATGGCAGGATTCAGCAATCTGAAACCGAGCTTGAAACACAATGGCGCGGCGAAGAAGATTCCGATGATGATCGGACAATGGTATCACGACTGGAACTGCCTATTCTCATGCATCGTTCCACCACTAGTTACAACTACAAGAGAACCTTGATCATTGCATCAGAGCTTATAAGAAATAGCGTTTATGTGTTTCCCGATGCTGAGTCCTATGAGTTGTTTAAGCACCTCAGAGCATGCAGCAAAAAGATGCGTAAAAACTCGGTTGTTTTATACGACGAGGACTCGAATATTCAAAGGATTCACTCTAAGCGAAATGAGAATGATGACACGGTCTCCTTCTTCAGTGGCCAGCTGACAACTCCAATACCGAATCTGATCCCTGGACGCTCGGCTAGATCTGGGAATACTCAGGTACGCCACCACGTCAACCAAGAGAGAAGATCGCATGTGCCTGGTAGACAACCTTCCATAAATCTTTCCTCGTCACATACGAATTTTAACAATGTCTCGGAGACAAATCGAACTACAACAGCGTACGATGGTCTGAATTCAAGCGAATCCAATGGGCAAGCGTTCTCTAAAGAAAGATTTGCGAGCTGTACAATAGACTCCAGATCCCACATAATACCCCTAGACTACAAAGTCAAAGGATTGGGATTGCCCCTCTTTAAGATCGTGGTTCCCTACATGTCTATATTTCGCCGCAAGACTCCCTACATGATATTTCGCAAATATCTTGAGAAACCAAAACCACCGACCCAGTCGGAGACAATCGAGGATGAACAATTTGAGACTTTTGATTTTTGCACGGTCCATATAAAGACTTTCCAGCAATATAAGAGGTATACATTCGTCATACAGCCCGAAGATGGGCCACAATTCAAGGTTTTGGCTTTTCAAAACAATTACAGACCTTTTACGGACTTCAATTATAAAGACACGCGGTTCCGAGTTTTTGGGACACCCATCGCAATGGCATATCTCGCACACTATAATCCAGAACTCAAACTCCACATTCTAGACAGAAAGCAACCATCGCTTATGGATAATCTCATAGAGAGAAAGACTAGTGTTAATACGTCTGTTCAGGGTAAACTCCAGAGCAGCGGTGAGGAACTCTCCAGTTCTGGCTCTTCTCAGAAACACAAAGAGCCACAAGACGCAATTCCTCACCCACATAACCCCATTTTATTACTGAACATTGAGAGTGTGACTTCTGCCACATACAACAGAACAGTTCCGCATGAAATGCCTCCTTTTGGACGTTTTCTTGATGCTTGTGTTTATCGCAAGAATGCCCCACTACTTCCAAAGAAGTACTCGGAAGTCGGCAAAATAGATGTTTACCAAGACCCATCCGAAATGGCCAATCCTAATCATTCCTCTTCTCTCTCTGTGGACTTGGATAGTCTCGTGTTATCCACAATTCTCTTGACATTACGTGAGACCAATGTGCGTACGACGGTGAAACATCCCGGGCAGTCTCACTCTTCAAAAATGGGTCTTTTAACTGCCATTGCACTTAACAGTGGCGGGAGTATGAACACTTCAGCAGTGATTTGAATCCCGGAAGGCGTGGGGGAAGTGACGCAATCGAAAAGTTAGATCGGGTGAGGCAAGGAAAATAAACATTTATTTATTTTGTTAAATCTTCCCTTAGGGCTCAGTGTACTTGAATTCTGGGGGATAAGGGAGGTGTATTCTATGGTTTGCTTCCCGATGCTAATGGAACTTCACATCAGCAAAAAGGAAACACAATTCTAGTGACTCTTTGTCTTGGGATTAACGGCTGGGGGAGCGGGATCTGGACTTGTCTCTTTTGGGGGAATTGGATCTCGAATAACGGCCCCTGCCATATTCTTCGGGCTCATTAGATGGGAATGCACGAGTGTCAGAGTCTCTCGAATCGTGAGTACCCTCCAAAGCGTGTCTGTCGGAACTGTCGTAGTTTCTATCAGCGCCTCTTCTTCGGTCAGGATTGTGATATTTGTCTCGCGACAGGTATCCATAGTCACGATCGTCAGCTCCGGGGGCTCTATAGTCGTCATACCCACGGTAGCCATAGCTATCCCTGTATGGGGCAGGGGCGTAGCCCCCGTACCCTGGATAAGCAGATCCGTAAGAAGCATCCCGGCCTCCATATGCCGGGTCCCCGCCTCCATAACCAGGCTCACGGCCTCCATAACCAGGCTCACGACTTCCATAACTTGCGTCATGGCCCCCACGGGAGGGGTACGAAGGATAACCTCCGCCATATCCGCCGCTTCCGTAACCGCCTCTTTCGTAGCCATAGTTCTGGTAGCCATAGCCTCCTCTTCCGCCTCTGGGTGGAGCATACGGGCTAGGGTAGCCATAGCCACCCCTTCCACCTCTCCCCATATATCCAGCGCCTCTTCCGGAGTAGCCTCCCCTGCCTCCAAGCCCGCCTCTGAAGCCTCTTCTTGAAGAAATGGGATCGGAGCGAGCAAGCTGCACGGTGAGTCCATCTTTCAAGGCGTAGGGGAAGGACTTGCCGTCGATTTCTAGTGCCTTTTCACAGTCCTCGCTGTTTTTGTACTCGACAAAAGCAAACTTCTCGCCGTCGACGCTTCTTGGAGGTGGAATGTCTAATCTGACGAGCTCTCCATATCTGTGGAAGGTTAGTTTCGTGGTTCGGGTGAGGCATCAGGCAATGGGGCAGAAGGTAAGGAAAGAACAGCTGAAAAACACGCAAGTGCCTTCTGAAAACAGAGCGGGGCATGGAAGCAGTGTCTTTCATTTGTTGGCGTTGCTGGCGCGGCAAGCAGATAAACGAGGGAGGAGAGACGGGTAGGGTGGAGAGAAATTCGTTACAAGGACAAAACGTACTTTTCGAAGTCGGGCGCCAAGTCTGCGGCCTTGGTCTCTCTTGTGAACCCGGTCACGTAGAGGGTGTTTTGGGGCATTGGGGATTGACTCTGGAGACCCACGCTTAACGAGACAACAGAACTCATTGGGCCCGTGGCGCGCGTCACGTGCGCGGGGCACGTGCCGTGCATCACGTGCTCTCCTTGTGCGGAAGATGTGGGGACGTTGTTCGCCTCGCGCTAGGTGTCACGGTGGCACGTGCGCCGGGGTCACGTGTATGCGCGCCCCTATTGCCCAGTTTTGTGAGGCGTTTCCAGCAGGCGTTCTGGAGGCGCTAGCTGCCCAACAAGCGCGCACGTTACATGGCTGCTCATAGTTTATAAGCCTCGATGGCAAGCGTAACCTATCGAATGATAAGCTTCTGCAGCTCCATTGACCAGCAAGAAATGTGTGCCCAACACAGCACAAGCCAAGCGGCCTCCCACATTCTGCTCTGGCACTGATTTGTAGCATTCCCCGGCGGTCTCTTGTTTATTCTTGCTCACCATTCAACCTCCTATTCAGGCGCATAGTAGTAGTTGGAAGGGTAATTTCCAACTTGGTTGGAGCCTGCCCCAAAATTCGTTTGTTTTCGTTCTCGCGATTTCCGATTGGGGAAAGTCCTTGGCTCCAAAAATACAAGTTGCAGTAGGCAAGCCCAAATAGCAAGGAGGGAGCTAAAAAAAAATAATAACGTTCGGAAATCAATTTAAACTTTTGGGCCGTCTGACGAGACACGCCCGGCTGGGAACTTTAATTTACCCTTTGATGATAAGGAATAAGCTATGCTCATCCCCGACCACGGGTGCTATACTATTAAGCCATCAAGAATTATCTGGATGAGAGAAACAAGACTCTTGTCCGTGTAAACGTGTGCTGTTCCAGTTGGGCAATATCGTTCCCTATTGTTTGGGATATGCTGCGGCTCATGGGCCCGCGTTTTTTGGGATCCATGCACTATGTCCTGCCCAACTTACTGCCTCGAAAGGAGAGTGTATGCGACTGCAGTCAGGCAAGAAAAAATGCGACAAACTGTAACAAGAAACAAGGAAGAAAAAAACGAAAAGACCCTAGCCGACCACAGCCTGCTTTAATAACCCCTAATCTGCCATCTGGAAACTCGCCTTCTCACTATACATAGCGCACCCAGCAAGGAAACACGAAGAAACCCTCATCAAGACACCCCTCGGCAGTCTCTCAAGTGACACTGTTCCTTTTCCCCTCATTTCCATCCTCACCGCGCAAATGGCCCTCACTGATGATAATATTGCCACAGAGCACCCAAGTCTACTAGATAAAGACTACGAGGACCAAGACATTTTGAACGAGTTTTTGGACCAGCGTGTTTTTGACTCGCTCAACGCAAACACGCCTCTTGGACAGGGCCAGCACTACCAGGAAGAAGATCCTCTCGATAGCTTCCACAATGACGTGTTCACCAAATTAGAGGCCACAAGTCATGCCAGTATGCTTGATGATGTTGACACCGGTTTTGGCGTTCTAGGCGGGAACATCAAGCAAGAGCCAGAGACGAACGAGTACATGTATTTGAGTCCTCGTGCACACAACTCATACAGTCTGAACGCGAGTCCTACTCATTCCATATCCGATTCTCACTTTCCCTACAAGACCCGGTCTCTCGACGACCACGACATAATCAGAAAGGAATTTTCCAAGGTCAAATTTGGCAACACCTTTATGAAGCCATGCCCTGAAACAATCGATGTGCTTGACTCAAGCGCGTTGGATTTTTCCCCCGAGGCCATGTCCAAACTCCCCTACCTGCTTAATGTCTTGAACCTTCCCTCGTCGTCGCGTGTCGAGACACAGATCAAACTCAAATTCATGATGAGCCCTCCACCAAAAGAGACTTTTCTTCACATTTCACAAGACTTGATATCAAAGAGTAAGTTCTGTTTGCAGGACCCCGTGGAGAGCTTGCCTGAGTTGTTGCAAAAGAACATGCTTTTCGTTGAAACTTATGTGTTGACGTCAGACTTGAGCAAATCTTGCAATATATGTTCCCGGTGTATAAAGCGGGAGCAGAAACGAGCTCTGAGGTCAAAGACTGGCACATCGGATTCCAACGCAGACTCCCCTTCGTCTTCGATCCATGCCTCCCTGAGAAACTACCAAAACCTATGGGATGATGAGAAAATGATAAAAAAAGCAATCTTCTTCAACTGTAAAGAAGTCATTAGCTTTCCCGCTCCAACCGGTTTGGCGAACGACCACTCGAAGGCGCTTGATTTTTCTGCAAGAATAATCTGCTATTGCAGACATCACAAGGAACTGGAGGGATTTAAGTTGCTCTTTGTCGTTAGAGATCACAACAGTAATATTGTGGCCAAGCATCTTTCGAACCCTATTATGATCATGGATCGAAAGAAAACATCAGCTTCTACGATTAAAGAGGGCACTGTTGTACAAGGCGCGTCATCCCATTCGAATCGTGTGGGAGGACCCGATGAATCAAATGAACTAGATAAGTTGCATCCTCTTTCTCCAAACTCAATCGATGACTCTGCATCTGAAGCTTTGGCAAATACCGACACTAACAATGACCCATCCTCGCGTGGCCTCAAAAGGAAAAAGCTATCTTTCGACGACTCCTATAACTCGTCGACTAACCCCATGTTCAATGGAAGTGGGTTTTCGCCGTTGAGTAACAGTGATACAAACGCCTCTATTCATAATCTACATGGGAAAGGTTTTGCAATGAGTAATCATGTGACCTCCATATCATCTCAAAGCTTTCCACAGAGTGTTCTGTTGCCCCGTCAAATGCTGCTGCTGCATCTTCAACATGCTGTTCAAACAGAGCAGCAACCGGCAATTCAAAAGATCATTCCTGCTCAAGGCCCAATCCGTGGAGGTATAGAGGTCACGCTTCTAGGCTTCAATTTTCGTCCGGGCTTAACGGTGAAGTTCGGTTCAAAAAATACCTTGGCAACTCATTGTTGGTCTGAGAGTACAATTGTGACTTACTTGCCACCAGCTGCTCAACCAGGACAGGTCTTGGTGAGCTTTGTGGACCATGATCATGTGATGGTAGGCAACCAGCAACTGATTTTCACTTACACGGATGACACTGATCGCCAACTAATTGAACTTGCATTGCAGATTGTCGGATTGAAAATGAACGGAAAACTCGAGGACGCAAAAAATATCGCAAAGCGCATTGTTGGCTCAGATAATACTGAAGGTGGCTCGAAAATTGCCTCACCTCTGACTCATGCCTCTGACGTCAACCAGGACAGTATGGAGTGGTACGATAATGCGCACAAAGCTGTTCAGAAACTCTCAAGATCAGACTTGTCTACTGAAGATATACTCATCAATTTCCTTTCGTTGGTAGACCTTCCAAATTGCCCCATCATTATACCCAATTGGCAACTATGTAACAGTCAGGGTCAGTCTTTGCTTCACCTTGCCACTTTGAGAAATTACTCCAAGTTGATTGGTTTTTTAATCACACATGGTTGTAAAATCGATATTCAAGATAACCAAGGTTTGACTCCATTATTTTTTGCGTCCATGTGTGGATTCAGAGACTTGATTAGTGTGTTTATTGAGTGCAAGTCCAACTGGGATCTCAAACTCACGAATGAGAAGTCTTTGAAGGATTATTGCGACTTGAATGTTTTGGACGTTTTTAACAAGCTTGAGGTTTCAAACTGGGCAGCAAGCGAAGATTTAAGCAGCGGCGGGGGATCCACCTCCGAGAGTGCGGAAGACGTGTTGATTCGCTCAGGCAGTATTGACTCTTTGAACTCAATGTACATGATGAACTATGGAAGGCAAATCTCCAGAATGCTGACCGATTATTCGGTGTCGCAACACATGAACGAGAAATCCAAGAGCTCGCCACTGTCCTCTTTGAGAAGTGGTGCTCAAGCAATGCGAAAGACCAAAGTCCTGGACCACTATGGTAGTGACTCAACAGATTTCGCGGACTCGGAGTTGGAGTCTGAGGATGATTTCAGTGAAGACCTCGTCAAGCATTCTTCTTCATGGACAAGAAATGTGGATGAGGAGGATTACTATGACGACTACTCTGCAGGTGAAGATAACGGGAATTCCGATGAGGATATCCAAAGTCTATCTTCAGACGAAGGGCCATCACGTCAAGCTCGGCATAGTACGATACCGGGTCTCTGGCAAATGATGAAGACAGCAGTCTTCTTGAATGACAACGAAACTACGCTTCCCTCATACGACGATCTATTCCCTTTCAATAATGGCTTCATGAGACCGAAGACGGAACTCGAAAGGCAGCTTAATAGTGTGGAAGAAGCGGAGGCCCCTTCGGAAAGCTTGTATGAGACTAGCGACCATCAGCCAGAGGATTTGGGAATAGCTTCGGACTCCTCAGAAGATATGGTCATTTCGTACATAAACCATCCACGGAAAGCCATCAAAAACGATAAGATGCTTCTCTTCTTCTGGCTCCCCGTCTTGTTTATGATCATTGGGCTCTTCACGTACCTGTCACTTACGGGGTATAAGGTTGAGTTGATTGAGAAGTTCAAAGAGGCCGGCCGCAACGCGATTGGGAATATTGTTGTCGGGAATGAGAGGCTTTCGCACGTGTTCATGAAGAACAATATTCTGTCCGTGGCCTAATATCGTATGGTCTGAAATGGACTCATATAGCTTTTCTGATGAATCGTGTAATGTAATTATTTGAAAAAAGAATACCCGTAACAGTACTTTAAGGTCTTGATGATCTCCACGCGCCGTAAAGAGCGCGCAGCCTATCACGCGGCTGAGAATACGTCTTAGCAAACCTTTGAATTTACTTCCCCCAAATTGTTTCTCTTAAGCTCCCAAAGACAGGTTGGATAATCAGATACCATTCACAATGACCCGTCTTCGACTTCTCTTGCTCAAAAACAAAACCACGCCGCACGACCCCTATAAGGAAATATTCACCTCTGCTGGTCATGACCCGGAGTTCATACCTCTTCTCAACCATGCGCCAACAGACATAGATGCAACGGTAGACTACCTCACTTCTCTGGAATTTCTTGATAATACCCAAAAATTCATTATAACTTCTCAAAGAGCCGTAGAGGTGCTCCACGAATGCCTTGACATCATCGCTGCTAATGACCCTTCTCATGCCTCCATCATCAGGCGCAAGTGCGGCTATACAGTGGGCCCTGCCACCGAGCAAATACTACTGGATAAAGGTTTTTTAGATGTGAGGGGCGGATGCGAGTCTGGAAATGGCTCTAAACTTGCCGATTTGATTCTAGGAGAGAAAGCCACAGTGCAGGTTGAGAAGGACGATGAGCAGAGCATTGTGTTCTTCACCGGCACAATTCGAAAGGACATCATCCCAGTGAAATTGAAGCAAAACGGGGTCAAAGTTCAGGAGGTTGTGATCTATAAAACCGAACCCAAGGACTCCATAGTGGACAACTTTCTTGAGTGTTGCGAGAAAGACGTAGACTGGGTCGTGTTTTTTAGTCCACAAGGCACAGAGGATATCGTGAGCCACATGGCAGGCGTGTTGCCTCAAAATGTTCGTGTAGCCAGTATTGGGCCGACCACAGAGGAATATCTTCTCATGAAAGGGATCACTCCACACGTTGTGGCGCCTCTGCCCACTGCCCCTGCATTATACGATAGCATCACCTCCTGGGAGTTGAATAATAGACATTCATAGTACACAAAGCCCAGGAATACGGGGCTCTTGAGTCAAATAAATAGCGTTTGCATTTCAAATTCAATATTTCTCAGGGTATTTGCATCTACTTTCTCGATGCCTTCACGACGTCGATGATCTGCAGAACGACACCTGGGTTGGACAATGTGGAGATGTCGCCCAACTGGTCTTCTTCTCCTGCCAACACTTTCCGCAAAATTCTTCTCATGATCTTACCAGATCTGGTCTTGGGCAAATCGTCCACGAGCAAAATCAACTTGGGCGACGCGAAGGGTCCGATCTCCTTTCTGACCGTGAGGATCAACTCCTTCTTCAACGCATCTACAGTAGCTGCATCGTCGGTCTTAAAGTTTCCTTTCAAGGAAACGTAAGCAGCAACGGCTTGACCAGTCAAGTCATCGGCAAATCCAACAACCGCACTCTCGCCCACCAACTCGTGCTCAATCAAGGCGGCCTCGATCTCGGCAGTGGAAAGTCTGTGACCAGAAACATTCACAACATCATCCACACGGCCCAAGATCCAGAAGTAACCATCTTTGTCGCGGGCAGCACCATCACCAGTAAAGTAATAGCCTTCGTAAGCTCCAAGGTAAGTATCGATGAAACGACTGTAGTCATTGAAAATACCACGGGTAATCGATGGCCAGGAGTTCTTGATGGCCAAGACACCTTCAGCACCTTTCTCCTTCAATTCCTCACCGGTTACTGGGTCCAAAATGTGCGCATCGATACCGAAGAATGGGAAAGAAGCTGAACCTGGCTTGGTTGCGGTCACACCAGCAAGTGGAGTCAACAAGTGGGAACCGGACTCAGTCTGCCAATAAGTGTCAACAATATGCGCCTTCCCGCGGCCGATATTGTCATTGTACCAATGCCAAACTTCAGCAGCGATAGGCTCGCCAACAGAGCCAAGAACACGCAATGAGTCCAACTTGTAATCCTTGATATAGGAGGTACCAGCCCTTTTCAACAAGCGCAACGCAGTTGGTGCCACATAGAATTGGGTAACCTTGTACTCGTCAACAATTTGCCAGTAACGAGAGTAGTCTGGGTAAGCTGGCGTACCTTCAAAAACAACAGTGGTGGCACCATTGAGAAGAGGACCATATACGACATAAGTGTGGCCTGTAATCCACCCAATGTCACCTGCAGTGAAGAAAACATCATCTTGATGAACATCAAATGTATATTTGGTGGTCAACATGGCACCAAGCAAGTATCCGGCGGCATTGTGCTGCACTCCCTTCGGCTTGCCTGTGGATCCAGAAGTGTACAACAAGAACAAAGGATCCTCCGAGTTGATTGGAGTGGGTGGAAAATAGTTGCCGTACTTGGCCAACTCCTCGTGCCACCACAAGTCTCTCTTTGGGTTGAAAGGAACATGCGAGTTTTCGGTCCTCTTGAAAACGAGCACATTACGGACATGAGTCAAATCCTTCAAAGCCTCATCAACGATCTTCTTAGTCTCAATAGTTTTTCCGCCTCTCTTGGACTCGTCAGCAGTGATAACGATTCTTGAGTCGGCGTCAACAATACGGTCTCTCAAAGACGTGGAGGAGAAGCCGGCAAAGACAACAGAGTGAACTGCTCCAATACGCACAATAGCCAACAAGGTGACCAAAGCTTCAGGAATCATAGGCAAGTACACTGCAACAGTGTCCCCTTTCTTGACTCCCAATTTGGTCAATGCCTGGGCCAACTTGCAGACATCCTTGAGCAACTCCGCGTATGTGATGATTCTTCCAGTGTTTGGCTCATCACCTTCATAAATAATGGCAGGCTTGTCTGGTGTCTCAATGGCCCAACGGTCGACTGCGTTGTAGGCAGCATTCAATTGACCTCCAACAAACCAAGCGGGCAAATCACCCCCTTTGAAATCATTCTTTGGGTCAACAGGGTAACGAGCAAAGTCGAACGGACGGTCCCAGTGCAAAAGCTGCTTCGCCTGGTCCCCAAAAAACGTGGAAGGGTCCTCAATAGATTGTTTGTACATCTTGTTGTACTCTTCGATGGAAGACAAGTTAGGAGCGGATGTGGATCTGTCGAAGAACCCCTGTGGTGGCTCCGAGGCCTTCTCATGGTCCATAGTCAAAGTCTCAGGCATTTTGGGAAGTCTTTCTCCTGCAACTGTTCAGATATTTTTTGGGAAGTTTTGAATAGAAAGCTGTGAAATCTTTTGGGTGCAAGTCGAGATGCAAGTGTAATCCAAAAAAACAAAAGCTTACGTTGGTGGTAGATTTAAAAGCTAAAAAATTGTTCAAGTGAGGTCAGAGTTAATTGGTGTCTCAAATCTAATCAAAAGAAATCAGGTTGAAGTTTGCCAGATTGCAGAATTGAAATATGGAAGGTCGGACAGCAGGTGCGCTCAATGGTGGATTATATATATTGCCCAACATTGGACAGACACCCCACAATTTCAGACAGTGAGCCCTTCGCCCCACACTCTGGTTGACTGCACATACTGGTATGCGCAGCCAAGAAAGGAACGGTTTTACGAAGTCCGGGGCATTATTGAGTAAGTCTGACAAAACCGCCGAGAAACAAGAAGCGGGGAAGAAAAGCTCTTCAGAATCAAAATCTTAATTCACTAAACCAACTAGGAGAAAAAATGACGTGGTTTCAACAATGTATACACTTTCGAAAATGTGCATCTTGAGGGCCAGGGCTGAAAAGTGGTGCACATATCCTTACTTTTCGGATCAAGGGATATGGGCGGAGCTTAATTCCGAAAGCCACATTTGTTCCCAAAACTATTTTTTTTTTTTTTTTTTTTTTTTTTTTCCCAA